CTGGTCTGGTCAGAGGCTGACTGCTTAGGAGAAGTGGACAAGGAGGGTTTGGTTTTGTGGGAGATCTCTCCCTTGTGTTCCCAATAACAGGCATCTATGGTTTGTGTGAGGGTCTTATATTCCAGAAGGGTAGCAGGTTTTCCCATGTGGCTGATTTCATCTTTGATATGAGCCAGAAGTCCGTTATAGAATTGTCGGCATAGGGCTCCATCACCCCATCTGCAGACTTGTGAGGCAAGCTGCCAGAACTCCACAATGTACTTATTGATGTGCTGTCCGTTGTCCTGCATGATTTGGGAATCATGCATGGACATGACTACTAGGTAGCCCCCCTAAAAGACAAAGTCTGTGAGCTTAGGCATCAGGCTAGTCAACCCATACCTTGGTTTCAAACCTTGATCATATAGTTCAGTTTCCCCTCTGTGATTCATGAATTTATTATATCTTGAAGAAAAGTCATTTGTGAGATGGGAATCACACAATGACCTAGTTGATATTGTGAAGCAAGAAGGTTAAGGTATTGCCTTGCCTTTGGCTTATTCACTTTGGCTAGAGAAAACCATAGAGAAAAGTTCAAAGCCTAACAAAAACCTATCTAAAAAGCCTGTGTCTTGTGTCTTGTTATTGTATTATTATTTCTGAGTTGTTTTCTCTAGTATTTCCTTGATTTATTTTTCTATTGGGATGCTCTGACCCATCAGATACTTCACAAAATTGTACCTACAGGGTATGATGTCATAATGATGTCATATGGCTCCACAGATACTCCTGCAAGTATTCTGTTGAAAGTTATGATGTCATTTGTTCTGGAATGTTCTGCTCCACAATGACTCACCTCTGATATCATTACTCCACCTATGGAATTTTCTGGAATGTTCTGCTCCACTTTCTGGAATATTCTGCTCCACTTCTGATGTCATTGCTCCGCTTTTTTACTTACATAATATTCCCACACAATATGTATATAAGGAGGGCCCATTCTTCCCCAAAAAAAATAGGATCTCCCACTTGCAATCATTTGAATCTCAGTTTGAGCTACTCACTGTGAAGATTGTTGCTTACAAAGAAAGCCCCTTTGAAGTACCAAGTGCAGGGAAAAGACATTCCCTTGAGATTACATAAGTTTCTTATGATAGAAACTTAATTTATTTGAGACCAGCTTCTCACCTAGTTTCTGATATTGACCAACACGAGCTTTGGTCAATCTGTTTGTTTGTGAGACCAGCTTCTCACCTAGTTTACTGAAATACAAGCTTTGGTCAATCTGATCATTTGTGAGACCAGTTTCTCACCACTTTGTGCCTATTTGACCAACCAGTCTTTGGTCAACATATTCATATTTGAGACTGTAGTCTCTACAGAGGATTATCTTAACAAGGAACCACATTTCAGTGTCTAGACAGTTTATCCTAGACAAGTTTATAAGTTGGGATATAACACAAAAGCTCTGGCTAAGTTAATCACATAGATTGGTTTAGCGAGCCTCCCAAGAACTCACACGTTATCTACCACAAAAGAAGAAAAGTTGTAGACCGTGTTAATTGAGGACTGGCAAGAAGTCTTATCCTAGTGTAATTGTGGCGTCATTACATTTTACATGCATTTATATAAGACCCTCGGTTATTAAGACACCATTGCGCATATTGAGTTGTTCGAGCTGCATTTCTGCATCTCTGGAGGGGTCATGAGGTCCGAAATTGGTCTGGAGTTCAAGCATGAACTTGGAATAGTCATCCATCCAGTCTGGATGATCAGTATTCTCATTGGAAAGGAGGTCTGGTTCAAACCATTTAAGGGCCATGCCTTTGAGATAGGATTGGGTGAAGTTGACCTTAGACCTTCCAGTACAGAAAGCATTGGGTTTGCTCTGGAAATTGAGTTCACACTGGACAAAGAATGCTCACAGTTTCCGGGGCTTGGTGCCATCAAAGACATCCAGCTCATGGACTTTGACCTTCGGGTCTTCAGAAAGGGTGGTGCAACGATTGTTTTGGGCGAGGTTATTGATAGCTCTGGATAGGAGTACCATGACACGGTCCTGCAGATTCAGGCCATCATTTTCATTGTCATCATCATCATCTGGATCATTGTCCGGATTTCCACCAGGGGTATCATCATCATTATCATCATTGTCATCATTGTCTGGATCTCCTTTGCCCAGAGGGGCCAAGGCTGGAGTCCATGTAGGGGTTTCCAGATGTTGACGACTCAGGAGTTCTGAGATGCTTCCAGCAGTAGCACACTGGCTAACACGATACTGAGAGAAGCTATTGAAGGTCTCGATGATAGGGGTAGAATCCCAGCAGGTGGAAACTAGTCTGGCTGCTCAGAGAGGGTTTGTTGTTTTGGTAGGAGCCATGATAGATGTAAGTATACTTGGAAAGGTGTGAGTTCAAATATACTGTTAAGGTCACGTGCTCAAGGGGGTCAGATCACAAGGGCTTGGCCTCAGCTCGTATGCTGTGCCCCTTTCCCGAGTATGTGCCCTTAATTTCCAGGGGCTAGAACAGTCATCCGGAGTTTCTGGGATTTGACTAGGGCAGATAATGGACATCTGGATCTGAAATGTGAGATAAATCCGATGGACGTCTGGATATTACCTGGGCAAGCGGATAAGACTAATCTGGATGAAGTCCAGACTAGAAACTAACAGAGGATGGACTACCCTTAAGGTAGAGTCAGAAAGGTAGTCTAAGATGCAATCCTAAGACTTGGAATATGACAAGAGACTTATCTTGAGTCCGGAGGACACAGGAATGAGCAGGAACTAAGATGATATTTGAACTGGAGTGTTTCTGAGAGTTACAGGAGGTTTATATACTGTAGGATGAAGACTTATACAAGGATCAATTAGCAAGACAGAAACAGAGATAACTGAGAACCGGAAAGGCGGAGATGCCTAAATGGGGATAGGCGCAGGATCTCAGACGGAGGGTGGGAATGGTCCAGAGATAGTACAGTTAATATCCGGAGGTCTGGAGATCTGGGGATCCAGAAGGCAGGGCAGAAACAGGACTGAGATATGTGAGGTGGTGGATGTAGTCTGGAATCCAAGAGGAGGAAAAGTCTGGATGTCTTGCTGGACAGAATGTGCATAGGGTGGACAGGATAGGGGTGTACAGATCAGGCTAGTAGTAAAGATCCAGAGGTCCGGAGCTCAGGGGCAATTCCATAGCAGATCTAATCCTGCTTAGATATGGAGCACACAGTGGAAGGGGATCTGGAAATGAGTCAGATATGGGGTCCAGAAATAGGTCTGGAAAGCGTGGGAATATGATGGGATCTATGTCTTGCATATGGGATATGACAGTGCACTTCTGTTTGGTGTCACTCCAACAACAAACAAAAGTGGCCAAGTGAGTTTTCCAGATTCTGGTCAATGATATGAAAATAGCTGTAATAAGTTTATACTGAAATAACTGACAGAGTGCTCAGCTGGAGTCCATGTTGTAAGTGTTGCCCTGGCACCTACCCTCTTTTCACCATGCTTATTGCATAGACTGCCCTGGTCAATGTCCATCAGCAGCACAGGCAGGCTTACTTTCATTACACAGCATTCAACCTCATAATGCCTTCTATGGTTTCTAACATCAGTCATGTTCTAACTGCGGGAGACAGGGGGCTGGACCTGCTGAACTGACAAAGCTAACCTTATGAACCCACAGCTTAATGTTGAGGCAGCCTGCATGCCTGAGTCCATCCTTGGAATTTGACATTGTTTACTTGCTTTTGAACCTGACCCTGCAAGACTATCATTTTACTACCTTTTCACTTGCCAACAGACAATTCATGTATTCTGCTCAAATTACCACCATGGTCATACCTTGATGACACATCTGCATGTTTATAGCCTGGTTGAGGCTCATTCTGCATCTTGCTCATAAAAATTCTGTTCTCTGTCTTCCTGCAACTCATCCAGCGCTGGCAAGATGTCATCAGCAGAAAAGAGAGAACTTGTCAAGAGCAGGTGTTGGCATTGAGCTCTCACCCAATCAAACAAGACAAGTTGCCAGTTTCTGTGACCCTCACTGTGCCCATGCTTTAAGCATCTCTATGGGTACCAATCTGAAATTGACAAAACAAATATTGTGACTCTGAGTCCCATCACACCCACAGAGATCAGGCAATGCAATGAGCCAGAGTACACAAATTGAATTTGTTAAATGCATTTTTGTAATGATCCTTATCCACAGTACATCAGGGGTCATGTCTGACCTTGAGGTTGGGGAAGGCCCTTTCAACAATCCAGAGTAAGCATTCTGTTGGGAGAACCATCCACAAAATTGAAATTGTCTTGTAGAGAGCTTGCTCTGATAGCGGGATGGGACTTAGCTGCTTGAGCACCTGGAAGGGTCTTTATTTTTCTATCACCCATACAAAGTAGGTCAACTGCCTTCTTGCACAGCCTCACTCATAATGCCCATCAGAGAGCCTTCAGTGTCCAACACCCTCGCATTGCAGTCAGTCTAGACAAGGCTTTCAAGTGGTCATATAATGAAGCATGCAAGGCAGGCATTATCTTGCCTCCATCCATTGAGCTGGCACTGTAGTTCATGTCAGTGAAGGGAGAGTTTGGCTACTACTTTGTTGATCACAACAGGCACATCATTTTCTGGTTCAAAAGCTGTACATATCATGGAGACAGAGCTACACCAGATGTAGAACTTAATCACTGTGTCAGTGAGTTATTTTTTTAGGACATCTGCCATTGGAATGTATCTCATTGTGTCACTGTCAGGGTATGTGCTAGAACCACAGTACTAGTCTGTATGGCCTCATGTATGCACCTTTTCCCACTTTGCCAAAGCAAATGCACTGACATTTTCTCACAGCCCTTACCTACCTCCCATGATTTATGCATCATGATATTGACAGGGAACACATTTGCCTGTTTCTAAACAAATGCTCTCTTCTGGAGGATGTTATTTTGAAATTTAAATAAATCATCTTACATGCTTGGGCAGGTAAGCAACCTAGTTAGTGGTTTACCTGGTGCCAGAATGACTCATATCACTACTGGAGATTCCTATGATGATGTTGCAAGGATGCTCGAAGTTATGGAGCCCCTTATGAGCAGATCATTCCCCAATCCCAGGGTGGCCAAAGTTGTTGATCATCTTTCAGGTAGTGTTAGCAAAGAGTATGAGCACACTGTGTGTACAACTGGTAAGTCCAATTTCAAAAGTCCAGTTGATTGCTTCTGCTCAATATATGAAATGAATCTGTGAGCTCATGAGTGCACCCCATTTCCTGATTACTCTGCTAGCCAACACCAACCTTTTAGCATCTGGACAACCAGGTGTCCAGTTTGGACCAGGGTTACCATTTCTCCAAAAATCCAGCACTAGATGTAAAACCTTTTTTCAAGTCATGAATCGTGTTATGTTTGGATTTCTTGAAATTCATCGCAAGGCTCTTAACATGATATAGGTCAATATTGATCACATTGTTCGAGTAGAGTGCCATGATAATGTAAGTGACAGAATTGTGAATGGAATGGATACACAGTGTTCATGAGTTGTACTTGTTGCTTCATCTTGTCCACAAGATCAATGTCCATGCTAGTCTACTGTGATGCTTGTTGTTAATATCAGCTTTCTCTCAGTCCCATTTGTCCAGGCTCAAATGTCTGTAATTCTTGTATCTTATCTGTCTACCCTTTGTGCCACAGGCTTGTTGGTGGTCACACTAGTCTTTGCTAGACAAATCAATGACACCTGGCGATACCCCCATAGATGTTTGGTAAGTGTCCTCTTCAATCATTTGACTTTTATTCTTTAATATATCTACCAGACTCTGCTCTTCATGCTTGGGATGCCATGTTCTAGTGAGTGCCTTGCCCTGATGCTCAGTCTACCATTTGCATTCCTAATTTTTGAATGTATTTCTAACTGAATACCATGAGGTAGTGATTCATTCCCTCTCAATCCCTGACAGAATAATACTCTTTGCTGCAACATTGTCTATTGTGACCTTCCACACTTCTGACATCACCTTGTGCCAATTGTAATCCCAATCTGGGCCACTATAGATATCCTAATGATGCGGCCTGCATCTGCTGCCCACATCAGGTGCCTTCTGCATTAGATAAAGGTCCAAATACTGATTCAGTCACATTTCGCCCATATCAGATCATTGAGGACTGGTGTGACTATTAGAACCAGTTCTTATGCCTTGTTTGATGCCAGGAATTTTGGTGGTGTGTGCACTTGTATATATTAGTAGCTCAAATTCTTGAACAGAAAGGTACTATCTCATTGTACACACTGGCAGGTTGTAGTATAATTATAGAATGTGTTACAGTCACATGTGCCCTATTCATTTTCCTTTATCATCCTTGTATTACATCATGAGCCGCATGATGCCGCCACTAGACCTGTTTCCTATATTTGTATTACATCATGATCACCATAGCCATCACTAGATGACTTATTTCTTATCTCTGACTTATTTCTCATCTCTGACTCATTGTTGACTTATGCCTGCCCTAAATCATCTATGTCTTATATATAGTCAACAATGTACTTAGTAGTTCTTTACTTTAATCTTACTAGGTTTTCACCTGAATCTTCTCTTGCTTAGGACCTCCAATCCTAAGTTGTCTGAAACCGATATTCAAGTCAAGGACACTCTCTTTGCCTTGTCTTACAACCCTTGCATTTGCAAGGTCTTGACTATAACCTCAGTCATTGCTCTTATTGAGCTGCTGTTGTTACAACCATCCTAGTTCATAACAGAATGAGTCCATGAACTGACATTAGCTGATCACTGGTGAGTTCTGCTATGGCAAAATCCAACTTTTGCCTCAAGGGTGTCCAAACTTTGTTTGCTCAGGGTTTAAACTTTGAAGGAACCAAGAAAGATCCAAATAATGACAGGTTACTATAAACTCTCCTAAATTCTAATGACCATGCCAAGCTAGTACACCTATAGTTGGACCATGTGCCAACTAGGTGAGCTAAGATCTCCTTTACAAGGTGAACTAAAATGTATTGGGCTTGACTATAATCCCTCTCCATCATGCTCTTCACTCATATTCTTGCTTTAGGGATACTGCAGCTGTATGTTATTGCCCTGGTTGTTGCTTTGGGTCTGACTTGCAGACGTGTCTACCCTCTACCTCTGCCACCCAGCCCCTGTCTGTTACCAATCTTGGGTAATGTGCTGCAATTGGATACTAAATGACCTTGGCTCACATATGCTGCATGGAGAAAGACATATGGTTGGTAGCAGACTAATTGCCTCTTTACCAAGCTCTTGGATTCAATCTCATATCTGATCACAGGGAAAATCATTCACTCCTGTATACTTGGGATTAACTTGATCATCATAAACTCTGAAACTGTCATGTGAGAGTCACTGGACAAATGTTCTGCAAATTATTCTACTCACCCCATCATTCACACCAATGAATTATCAACTGATGATGCAGAGCTGGACTGGATTTCATTACTGAAACCACATTGAAGGTTAGAATGCAACTAGTATCATTCCTAGCTCTACATGAACCTAAGAAATAGCTGCAGAGGCTATCTGATTTGATTGCCAGCCACCAAGTTGGATTGTTCAATATTACAGTCATATTTAGAGGATATGTGAAAGGTGAACTTGCCATGATGATTTGTGCATGTTAAATACATCACCATCCAGGGTGTTCATTGCTTCAAGGTCCCCACATCAATTGATAAGAGTTAGTATGTATGTATTATTTGAACACCATGGAAGCTTGTAGAGTGGTTCATAGCTTTGGGTATTTGACTTTCATCACTATCCATGGGATGTTCCTATTACACTTGCATCAGTCCAGGAGGTCTATGTATGAGTAAAGTCCTGTCACTTACATCAGTATAACATTAAGTGCCATATCATGACAGATCCTGCTGTCTTGGTGATTCTCAATGAGTATTGGCTTGAGCCTGAGGAGCGTAATAGCTCTCCAGAGCCCAAGGTCTCATAAAAGGCCACACATTGTTGGCTTGATGTAGAAAATCAGTACTGAAAAATACACAATGTCCAAATATACCAAACAAACTCATTTCACCTACCAGCCTCTCAGCCTCTGTAATGTCACTAAGTACATGTCTTGATACCCAATCCTGACCCTAAAGTCCCTAGTACCTGTGCCCTCATGCCCACCCTCACACCCCCCACTAATCCTGGGTGACAGCACAATAAGGGTGCAATTGAAAACCAATTCAAAATGTGCAGCACAAGTTATATCATGCAGTTGATGTATCACCATTAAACTAATTTGCACAGCCAGGTAACAAGTCCTGCAAACTGCTGTGTTTGGTGGATATATATATATCAACCCTTGATTAATTCCATGACTGAAAGCAGAAATGAGTGCCCATAGGAGAGAGAGAAAGTGAGAAATGAGCTTCCACTTATGACTGCACAGAAAGCTCAATGTGAGTCTTGTTCTTCAGTGATCTTGTTGTGTCCAGACTTGATCCAGCATGTATACACATGCTAGAACACCATGAGGACACTAGAGAGATAAGGCAAGCAATGCACTACAGGATCTTTATTGCATGAGTCAATAATACAATGGGCAAGCATGCAAGCTGCATGGCAGTTTCATAGTGCCAGCCTCATCCAGAGAATCACAGCCCAACCCTAAACTACATGTCATCCCAATGAGTGCTTATTCCAGAAGGGATGTTCCCAAAACAGAAACAAATGCATTGATGCAGCTTACAACTTTTAAGTACCTTCCAGAAATCTTCATAATCAGCTCACTGAAGTTGATCAAGGAAGCAAGGTCCTTGCAGATCATGATGGGAACCTAGGAGTTAAATGTGTTAATTGGACTAGCTAATTGTCAGTAGTGTCTATCTCACCAGTATCACCAGAGGTATTTATGAACTTGTGTCTGTTAGGGCACAACTGTTTAATTTGACATTTGTGCCACAGGTCCAAGTTCCAGGTGCAGTACTCAGGAAGAATAGTTGAGACCACTCAAGTGCTACCAGTGACAATGTTTCTATAGTGCAGAACAATCAATGATCATGAAATTTGAGTGAATGGCAGTGCAAGATCAGATATGTGCAAATTATCCATCAAGAAAAAGTAATGTCCTTAGTAACTTGAGTGAGGTCTAGTTTGCTCCATCATGAAAGACAGCAAAGGAGCCAACCCAAGGGATGTAAAGTAGAGATAGACATAGACAGTATAGAGTCTGACATAGAAATTGATGAAGATTTGTGTACTGGAAGTCTGGGATGATGGTCATGAAACAGAGCAGCTTGACTATCAACTACTGTTTTTTGAAACATGGCTAGAGGTCATCACAACACCTATGTGTGGCAATTGTCATATCCGCATATCCAGATCTCAGATCTGATCCACATCTTATCCCCATCCAACATCTCACCATCCAATCTGTCCACTCATCCAGTCCAGTCCACAATTCATCTGAATTCACAACCAGCACTCATCTCCTTTCAGTAACCCCCTGACTCTGGTACTTCAGTTATCTGTATATCCATCCTACTCACTGATCCATTACCTATATTTCATTTCCACTTCATTATTAGTGATCCATTCCTACTTACCAATAGACTATCCATATGCTTCATACATAGCCTCGGATCCTGCTGATTGATCATTCCATTAGATACCTATAGTATATAACCTCCTGTAAATCTCTGTAACACCTTAGTTTGAATATCATCTTAGTTCTGCTCATTCCTGTCCTCCAGACCTGAGTATCTCTACTCTCATCACCCTCTGAGACTAAGGATTGATTCCTATAGTCTATCTGTATCCACCTCTGTCTACGACAGTCCACTACCATTAATTTCTAGTACAGACTCATCCAGGTTAGCCTTACAATACTTATCCTACATCTGGAAGTCATCCAGATCCGCTATGCTACTTGTACGACCCTCCAGATGTGTTGGTCTTGTCCTCCTGAAATAAGGGGCAATACTTGGGTAAGGGGCACAGCACACAAGCTGAGGTTGATGTGGATAACACAACTTGGCTAGATAGTTGTTAGAATACCTAGCCAATATATGTCTACTAGTCCTGCCTAGCTGCTACACTTGCAAGCAAGAATGTTCAACCCAAGGGATCTGCTGTCTAGTCAAGTTCAATAATCAGTACTATGCAAAGGGTCAAGAGTCCAAAGGTCAGAGGTCAAGTCTGAAGGTATGGGACGAAGTCTGATGCACAGGAAATCGGGTCTGCAGGTGTGGAGATGCGGAGATGGCAGGAGAGTAAGGGAAAGGGAGGGAATGCATCAGGACTAGCTTGGAGATATCAAGGAAGGTCAAGTGAATGAATGACACTCATGTCAGGTCAAGGAGAGTGGGTAAACAGGTATATTGCAAGGGTAAATCTAAAGACAGGTATGGGGTGACCAGTATCGGGGATTTCTCCCTTCTACTAAGTGGTGATTGTAATTCTGGTTGCCCAGCCCTATATAACTAGCTATGTGAAAATCTGGAGTCCATAGGTGAAAGCAGTAGCAAAAAAGCAGGTCCAATAATATGTAGGTAAAAGGCCATGAGGTACTGTGGCCAGTGGGAATCCATGTAATAACGCTGTCTACTCAATCAGTAATGGGAAATAACTGACTATGCACCAGTGGGGTTAAGCAGGACTGGACTGGACATGGTAGAATGAGTGTGCAGGATCTCTGAGTGGGTCTGATGTGTTGGAGATGCAGAGATGGCAGGAAAGCATTGGAGATGGGTAGGAGATGTGCAGACTGGATGGGGATTGCAGAATGGGGTCCTAGCAGGCCAGCCTGAACATGATTGTCACACCAATGCCCTTAGGATCCATTAGCCTTTGAGTATGAACTTAACAGCGATGCATAGAGTCACAATGGGTAGTCATGACTCATGAGCAGCAAATTCATTGCAAAAGCCCACAGAGTTGCTCTGGTAAACATCATGTTGGGCAGTGCAAACAAATCATTTCTCACGACCTTACTCACTGGTCATTCTTGTGATATATCATATGGCCTGCACTGGCATTAGCACCCTGAATAATTGAATGATATTTCAGGTCATACATCTGAACCAGTATCTCTTTAGATTGTCAGGGATCACATCTTATGTCTAATCATACTATAGGACTTTCTGTGGCATCCACAGTTGCATAACCCAGTATCCTTGAATGACTACTGATCTCAATCTACATGAGTTGTAGTATGAGTGTATGTATTATTGTTACCCAATATTCATGTAAACCAATGTTGCAACAGGGAATGGCCCATGAACCAGTCAACAATGCACAGCCTGGTTGTGCTGGGTGACAAAATTTTGGAAATGGATCTGGTTTCTGAAGAGTCAACAGATTCAAAAGCAATTCTCTTGTTTATGGAACAGACAGAGGCCACAAAACTTTTGTCATCCAGTGCACTCTGCACCATTGTACATTTGTGCTATTGTATGACAGACCACCACAAGTACAAATGGAGCCTACTTCAAATAGGCCATTACTTGAAGATGACCTTCTCTCACTGTGTTTATGCTTTCAAATGAGCATTGAAATGGTTCAGGGTGACTTCAGCAGAGTCAGCCACATGTTCTTCAATACATAGTAGGTCACTTACATCACTATTCCAGTACTGAACTCCAGATTCATGTTAAGAACCATGCTCAAGGGAGAGAGAGACTGACTCAGAGGGGCTTGGCCTCAGCTCGTATGCTGTGCCCCTTTCCCGAGTATGTGCCCTTAATTTCTGGGGGCTAGAACAGTTGTCCGGAGTTTCCAGGATTTGACTAGGTGTCATATCTGCATATCTGGATCTCAGATCCGAACCTTATCTCATCTCAGGTCTGATCCACATCTTATCTCTGGTCCTATCCACATCTTATCTCCCTCCAACATCTCGTCATCCAATCTGCCCACTTGTCTGGTCCAGTCCACAATTCATCCAAATCCACAACCAGCGCTTATCTCCTTTTGGTAATCCCCTAACTCTGGTACTTCAGTTATCTGTATATCCGTCCTGCTCCCTGATCCATTACCTATGCTTCATCTCCGTTTCATTATTTGTGATCTGTTTCTACTTACCAATAGACCATCCATATGCTTCATACATAGCCTCAGACTCTGCTGATTGATCATTCCGTTAGATACCTATAGTATATAACCTCCTGTAACTCTCTGTAGTACCTCAGTTCAAATATCATCTTAGTTCTACTCATTCCTATCCTCCGGACTTGAGTATCTCTACTCTTGTCACCCTCCAAGACTTAGGATTGATTCCTATAGTCTATCTGTATCTGCCTCTGTCTCCAACAGTCCATTACCATTAGTTTCTAGTCTGGACTTGTCCAGATTAGCCCTACAATACTTATCCCTCATCCAGAAGTCATCCAGATCCACTATGCTACTCATCTGACCTTCTGGACACATTAGTCTTGCCTTTCTGAAATAAGGGGCAATACTCAGGTAAGGGGCACAGTGCACGAGCTGAGGCTGAAGCCCTTCGGATCCAGTTATCCCTTGAGTATGACCTTAACACTAGGGTGGACAACAGATGTCTGGATCTGAAACATGAGATAAATCCAATGGACATCCAGATGTTACTTGGGCAAGTGGATAAGACTAATCCAGATGAAGTCCAGACTAGAAACTAACAGAGGATAGACTACCTTAAGGTAGAGTCAGAAATGTAGTCTAGGATGCAATCCTAAGACTTGGAATATGACAAGAGACTTGTCTCAAGTCCAGAGGACACAGGAATGAGCAGGAACTAAGATGATATTCGAACTGGAGTATTTCCGAGAGTTACAGGAGGTTTATATACTGTAGGTATCATATAGGAATCAATCAGCACACATAAAGGCTATGTACAAAGCATTTGCAAAGTCTATTAGTAAGTAGGACGGATCACAAATAATGAACACCAAAAATGAAATGTATGTAACAGATCAATAATCAGAAGGGAAACATGGTTAATCAGAGTCCAGAGACAGGGGAAATCTAAATGGGGTTGGGCACTAATATAGGGTTTGGATTCCAGAAGGAAGATAAAGATAGATCAGATCATTTGAGATCCAGATCTCGGATCTGGATATCCGGAGAAGCGGATTTAGAGTTGAGAGTCCAGAATGGCATATGACACTATTTGTACAAGCATGTGGAAACACATTAGTAAGTAAGATGGAACATAACTAAATGAACTCGGAGATGAAGACTCATACAAGGATCAATTAGCAAGATGGAAACAGAGATAACTGAGAACTGGAAAGGCAGAGATGCCTAAATGGGGATAGGTGCAGGATCTCAGATGGAGGGTGGGAATAGGTCTGGAGATCTAGGGATCTGGAAGGCAGGGCGGAAACAGGACTGAGATATGTGAGGTGGTGGATGTAGTCTGGAATCCAAGAGGAGGAAAAGTCTGGATGTCTTGCTGGATGGAATGTGCATAGGGTGGACAGGATAGGGGTGCACAGATCAGGCTAGTAGTAAAGATCTGGAGGTCTGGAGCTCAGGGGTAATTCCATAGCAGATCTAATCCTGCTTAGATATGGAGCACACAGTGGAAGGGGATCTGGGAATGAGTCAGAGGTGGGGTCCAGAAATAGGTCCAGAAAGCATGGGAATATGATGGGATCTATATCTGGCATACAGGATATGACAATTCACCTCAATCCTGTCTCCATTCAAGTCTCTGGCATGATTGATGCACAAGATGGCAAGTATGGTAGCAGCTGCAGTCTGCAGGCTGTTCTCAGCAAACCAACAACCTGTCAAGGATATTTGGTGTTCTCAACACTGCCAGATGAACTATGAATCAGCCTACCAGGACAAACACGCCTGCAAGGGTCAGTGAATAATTGAAAATGATAACAAGTGTGGAATATTCACCTGCCATGACCAAAGGCACAATGGTGGACAAAAGGATCCCTCAGCTTCCCATCAACTGTCAGATGGTGACTAGGATTGAAACATGATGCATTGGGATACATGTCTTCATCCCAAGACAGTGCCCTGAGCTGTGCTCAGCTCAAGCTGCCATTACATGGACTCCACCACAACATACCACTAATTAACTATTACTCTCACACCTGATTGAACTATGGATGAGTCAATGGCAACCTCAAATTGTACGAATTTGAACCTTTGGGTATAAAGTACCCACCATAAACATCATCATTTGATGTTGCATGTGGAATTCCTGTGCAAAGGGTTAATTATTCAGAGTTATATTTGTGCAAACTGACCTAGGGGGGCAAGAGGATACCATCTCAGGACCTTGCAGAGAATGGCATCAAGGTAGGGCAGTGACACCCTATCATCAGGGCATGGCATTTTATCATGCCTCATAACTTGATCAATTTCCACATGAGCACAGGCTTGGATGCCAGGATAAAGCACAATAGCCAGCAGGAATGTCTGCAATGCAGTTGTAGTCTGCAGGACATCAAAGTAGGAATCAGGACTGTTTAAGTAGTGACTCACAGTGTCCATGCCAGCTAATTAGATGCTATATTTGCATCAATAGATGAATTCTGTCTTAGTAGAAAAAAAAATCTTACTCATGTATTCTGTTAATGCAACAGCTTTCATTGTGTCTTCATCAGTGTTGTTGTGAGCTTGACTGAGAAAGTCAGCAACTAATGAATATGAAGTAGTACTATCTGCCTTCACCCAAACAGATCAGATGAAATTTCTGTCCACAACTCTGCACAAATGTACTATCTGTGCCTTCACCTTGTCAAAGGCCTCGTTCAAAAGCTGTTGAGCTAATTCTCTACTGTGTCTCATAAGGGAAAATGCTCCACTGAAGCACAAAAATGGTAATTTTTTGATTGCCACCTCATGTTGAATGTTCAAAATTATGTTGTCAACAGAGGCACTTACAGAAAGGAAAGGCTGTGAACATTGCAGCCTTCTCTGGAGAAACAATTTGTTTGCCAATATGAAAGAGCTCGCATGCTTTGGTAAGCGATGGGTCTTCATGTCCATGAGTGACATATCCATATGTCACAGCCATGATCAGGGATGCTGTGTATCTGTCACAAGGATTGACTGTTGACTGGACCATACATAACAACAACACCACCAAATTAAGTATGAACACTTGAATCTGTTACTGCAGGTCCCTTGTGGCATTCAAGAGATTGATGACTAGATTGTTTGTGTGGCAACAGTACATCTCATGGTATGAGTCCAAGATTTCAGCCCTGAGAACTTGATAGAAGATCTTGCAATGTTGCTGTAAAGTCTTGCCATATGGAAGGAGTACAGTGTTGAAATCCAGTCCAGCTCTGCATCATCAGTGGATGAAGAACAAAATGAATGAAAACTGGCAATACTGTATACATACAATTCATTGGTGCAAATAATGGGAGAGTAGAATAATTCACAGAACACTTGTCCAGCAACTCCTGCACGATGGTTTTGGAGTTTATGATGATCATGTCCATCCCAAGTATGCAGGAGTGAATGATTTTTCCTATGATCAGGTACAAAATTGAATCCAAGAGCTTGGAAAAGAGGCCATTGGTCTGCTACTAACCATATGTCTTCCTCCACGCAGTATATGTGAGCCAAGGTCATTTAGTATTCAATTGCAGCACATTACCCAAAATTGGTAACAGATGAGGGCCAGGCAGCAGAGGTAAAAGGTAGGCATGTCTGTGAGTCAGACCCAAAGCAACAACCAAGGCAATGATACACAATATCCCTAAAGTGATAATGTAAGTGAAGAGCATAGGGAAGGATTATGGGGGCCAAGGCTCCTGTATTTATCTATCTATCTATTTATAAAGTAAAGGGAGATCTATACCTTGACTACAAGGTCAATGAGTCCATACATTGATATTGTAGCTGTATGGTCCCACAGTGCCCCATTTTTTGACCTTGTGAGAATTAAACGTAACAGCGCCAGGTTGGCAGTGGCAGTGCTAGTGTTGTGGGCAGAACTGGCAGAACCCTTGGCACCAAACCCACTGCGCGAAGTGACGAAGGAGTTCAGAGAGTGGGCATGAGGACGGAGCGAAAGTTGTACGAGATGCGGAGGGAACTCAATTCAAAGTAGCAGTACTAGGTACAGATTGGAGGGGGTGAGCAGTGGTGTGGAACTGAACAGAGACATGAGTGCATTAAAATTCAACATACTTGCAGGTATACTAAAGTCTTAGTTAGAGATAAGGTGCATCATAGCGAAAGAAAACAACAAAGAAAAGGGACGGATAAACAAGAGAGACTCTGTTCAAACGACGCAGATATGACATGCACGCAACGATCGCACTGGTAGCAACGAGGACTGCAGATCTGCCAGTGGTGAACCCTCCCAGCGCTGGGCGAGTGCGCAGTCAACGGTAAGCAACTCCCTCCACTTGCGGGCGACGTCGACGTCCTTGTTCATCAGTTTCGGCAAGCCAGACTTTGCATACTTGAACATGCCTTGTGCGGCCAGGTGGTCCAGGTTGCCACCAAAGAACGAGCGTGCGGCGGCGGCGTCTCGTGTGTCACGAGCCACCCGCTGACGCTGCAGAGCGTCGCAGAGCTTCGTGTATCCGACATGCTGACCGTTGACGTCAGTCCAGACCTTCTAGAATACATCATCTGATTCAAAACGCGAACGCTCATCCTCGAAGCGACAACCAGGGCAATGATGCACGATATCTAAAGCGAGAATATCAGCGAAGAGGCGCCAAGACATGTGAGTTTACTTGACAAGTCTTTGACACATGGCATATAGGGAACAGCGTAAACCCCGGTGTATCACCCTCAGTTACCCCCACCTATACCCACCAGGGGTACCAGAGATAGACAACCCTTCGGATAAAGAGTTGCAAAAATAGCACCTTAAAGGCTGTATTGGACGTCAAGTGAAATTCTAGACATTGGTCAGCGCTGAACAATATCCCCGGCGTTAATGATTGCAAATCATAATGCGATAGCCTATCTGTCAGGACAAGTCCAACGTGGGTGCGCCTGTCAGCGACGCCATACATTTAGGGCCATAGTCACGTGAGATAACACGCCACTAGAGCATGATGAACAAAGACGCATCCACTGGCCTTCCACACTGTGGACGGTGGTCAAAGTCGTCCACAGTATTCGGGATATAAAAATGCGTCTCAGTGTCCGTTGAGGCCGCCACAAATAGTTCGCTCTTCCTCGACTCCAGTCATACTCTCCATTAGAAAAGATGTCCACCACAACAGGTATGACGCACTGCGATAGCGCCACTTCGACGAGCATCACCGATGCTCTGGCACTCTCCTCTACCGACAGACTAACCCCCGCCGAACGAAAGGCCTTCGGTAAATCAGATCGCAAAGCTGGCAAGGTCCTCGGCGTCACACTCACGCGCAATGACATGGGACAGGTACACCACGATAGGAAACTTTCTCCATGCCTATCAGAAGATCAAGAGAATGTCCAAGGTGATAATATTCTCGAGGACATTAAGGTCACAGGTGCAAAGCGTTCATGTAGCCGCAATGCAAGCGCCGCCACCATCGTTGGGCCACTTAAGGACCTTGGCCGCGTGCTCGCTTCAGGTATAGGGATGGTAGAGAAGCGGAACAAGGGGCGCATGGACGCTGGGAGATATAAGCAACGCGTTGTCTTGGGCCTCATGCGGTCCAATAAATCGCCTGGCAAGGAAGGTAAGGAAGAACTACCGACTGGCGTTAGCGACAACAAGGCATGCTCGCTCCCGGAACTAGACGAGAGTGAAGATACCGAAGCGCCTCTGAGGCAAAACGATCAAGAGGGGGAAGACGACTTATCTATCGGTTTCCCAAGAGGCCTTGATGTCGAAAACTCGTTGGCTACACCTCCGAGTCCCGCCCTCGAGCGACGTGTCGAGGAGATACGGCTTAGCGAAACGACTGGACCCTTGGATGTTTCGCCGTTTACATCTCTCTGCCATACAACTAATTTTGAGGTATCATCCGATGAAGAAAGTCCGGTACTCTCCTCTGGCGACTCGTTCGACGACATGCTTCGTCCGGCGGAACGAGCTTACCTCGACTTTTTGATTGGACAGAATGAAGCGGAAGAGCGACCAATCATGGAGATGAGAAGGGAAAGCAGGGCAGCGTTACGATCCAGGAACAAGATACTGGATGTGTTGGGGCCAGAGGCGCGACAAGCGATTGATGAGCAATGCTAGACACTGCTAGCTGAAATCATGTAAATTTAGTGTGCCTGTTTCCTCGGGTACTCATATATCATCCAATCAGTGACCTCGGACGCCAACTTTTGAGAGTGATGTTCGACTTGAAGTAGCAATTTGAAAGACTAAACGCCTTATGGCGGAAAAAGCCGCTTCCGGGAGCGACTCGGCTCGGTTGGAGTGGGTGTGGGTGTGGGGTGGCTTCAACAATAGTACCGGCGTAGGTATTTGAGCTCGCGCCTGGCAAGGTGAATCTATGGAGTATCTGCTTACAAGCAACATACAATTATATAAGTGCGATGATAAATTAGGTTATGATCCCGACCCATTGTACAATCAAAGCCCTCCGAGTTCGAATGTAAGGAACGGCATCGACGACGATGCAACGTTTTATACTCTGAATCTCAGGTAAGCCATTAGAAGCGCAGAACAACCAGTCACTAAACGCAAAACGTCAGCATCCCAGCCTAAAGCCAAGCATTTAAATCTGCACATACCAAATCCAACAAGATACTGCAACGTCGTCGCCTAAACACCCAAGAGTTCAGTAAATCCAAGCTTCGCCGAAAGGAAGAATTCGAAACACACCTTCGATTGCTGGATCGTTGTCCTCAAGTTCGCAATCTCCTGTTCGATTCTCGTGTCCACCTCCTTGATCTTAAGCTCCTGCCCACTGCTCTCATCCCGCATCCGTCCCTTCTCCAAATTAAGATCCAGTCGAACGCCAGCCTGCGTACGCGTGATCTCCTCACGTAATCGCTGCTTCAGCTTCTGCATATCCGCAACCAAGCGGTCATTATCAGACTTCAAAGAAGCGAGGTCGTTCTTCTCGATAAGCTGCAGCTCAGATTTCAGCTGTGCGAAATCGACTTGTTGGGTGTATTGATGCTGGAATGCGAAGCGTATAACACGACAAATGAGAAATGGGCGGGCGAATTGCCTATTTGTTAAGTCTCGCAGCACTGCGAGAGGGAGTGGTAGTGCCCACCTTCTCCTGCTCTGCTTTCGTGACCATATTGCTCGTCATGTTCCGTATACTCTCGTCGATGACCTCCGCCATGGCATCCATTATGCCTTCCGCTTGTGCACGGTTGAGCCCCTCGCGCTCGAGCCGCTGCACGAAGTGGTGAGTGTCAAAGTGAAACTCATGCGCCGTGTGTGATGCATGGAATGGTCGGGCAAAGGCGGGCAAATCGGCACGAGAGAATCTTAAGTTTGACGGACCGGATGCATTGGTGCGATGAAAGAGCGTAGAGCTGTATGATGGAACTGAGCGATTGGCAGGTCTGAATGTTCCTGCACGAAGAGAGTGGGCTAGACGGGTGGTGGTAGTGCTCATAGATAGTGTAAACCCGCGTGGGAAAACTAGCTACACAAGAACCGAACCCGAACTGTGCTTAAATTGTTGGACATTGCTCTCCTGCTGGCATCTAATTCGTGTTGAGAAACCTTGAAAAAGTGACCATGTCAACGAGCACAAACTCCCATGCTCATCCACATCCGCATGCTCAGAGCACGAGCCATAATCCCTGGGGAAGCACGAGTGGCACAGGCCCCCTCGGCACGTCTCTCACTGACACCTTCGGGCAGTCCAGGACACATTACCAGCCAGGCTATATGATGGTACGCTTGTCCTACTTCCCACCACCTTAACTTCTCAACATGATTCACGCAGTCCGTGGCGCAACATAATGTAAGTGACTGTTCACCGTGTTCAGAAACAGGACTGACACATCAGGCACATAGGTCATGTCCCCCAGCGCACAAAATACAGACGAAATCCCCGTCGTGCAGACGAAGGCAAAAATAAACAAGGGTTTGTCCCGTGGTGCCTCGCATTTTGGCGCCGAGTCAATGTTTGAGAGCTCGAGCACGTACGTTTACGTTTTAATCATTATCCTGATATGCTCAAGTCGGTTTGTTGCAAGGCAAAGGCAAGCATTCACGGACATGGACGCGCCACCAACCAGTTCAGTCAATGATATATTCCGTGAGGGGTCTTCTTTTGGCGAGTCCCAACGGGCAGTTTTGCCCCCTTCGCGCGTACGTCCCGTCCTCATTTTGATTACTTTTATTTAATGACTCTCCCGTTAACAGCCCTTCTCCCTCTCAAACTCTTCCTCTACGATGAACACCTCCCAGTCTAAAACCCATACCCAGTCAAGCACCCCAAACCAACCGACCTACATCATTGTCTTCGGCTATCCACCAGATAAATATTCCCTCACCGTAGAATATTTCCGTTCGCTTGGCGCGAGTACCGAACCGGAGCCTAACACAGAAATTGTGAACGCGTTCAGAATCGGATTCCGTGACCCTGGAGAAGCCATGCGTGCGGTCAGGCGAAATGGGGAGGTCTTAGGGGGAACTTGGATGGTTGGCGTTAAATGGGCTGTAAGATACTTTTTTTTTGATGTCGAGCGGCGTGCTGATCCCACAACGCATGAAGGATTCTGCTCAGGACCCCCGCGGACCTGATTTCACAACGTCTACTTCCCCACCGCGGATGCAAATCCAGACTTCACAAGTACAAGCGCATACGGATGGAAATGCGATGGTGGTGGATGGTGCTGCTACTGTTGGGACGCCGATCAAGCTTGCGCCGTCTGTAGCTGCGTTTCGCAAAGCTCCTGCGCCAGCTCCCCAGAAATCTGCGTACGCTGTGCCCGTACCGGTCGTTAATGCGCAGCAGAGTCCTGCGAAGGGCGTGTTTGGGCAGGTTGGGGATCTGTTATTTGGGTGGTAGCGTTATGTGGTGATATTCGTACTCTGGTATGAGTGCGCTCTTGTCTTTGGTACGTCTGTAGATGCATGGATATGGATGCGTCTTTGGATGTGCGATGGACTTGCAGGGTGTTTTGCTAAGACAAACGCAGACTAACTTTGGTGCTACTAGTAAGTACGACGGCAGAAATTCGTAAGTGCCCTCTACTGTGCATGACCACGATGGATCACTTGGCAGCAGAAGACGTAATATTACATGCACTCATCCACAATTCCTTTAATTGTATACAAAACCTGCAAGCCTCTCCAACCCATTGTCCGACTGCGGATAGAAGTTCGGAACCATCCAACACATATGCGTCAAATCCGCATACTCCACAAGCTCAGCTCTCCCACCTGCCTTTTGGATACGACTGACGACTATTCGCGAGCTCTCAGCACAACTATCAGCTGTGCCGGTCATCACCAATGTCCTCGGCCAGCTTGCAGTGAATGGAATTAGGATGCCTGATGCTAGAGGGTGGTTGGCAGGGAAATTGCCTAGATATTGGGAAGCAAAAGCTTGGTAGTTTGATAGGGATATGGTGTCGTGAGGTATGGAGGTGTAGGAGGCGTAAGTGAGGTCTGCGTTCGGGGAGAAGAGTGCGACGCGTCCTGGCATCGGGAGAGCGGATTGCGAAATGACATATGTGAGGACAAGAGCTAGCAGATAAAAGTGAGAAACGAATACGAGAAGAACTTGGTAAATTATTACGCACCCAGGTTTCCGCCTGCACTGTCACCTGTGATAGTGATATTCTTGGCAGCGAAACCTTTCAAGATCAGGTGGTGGTATGCAGAGAATAGATCTTGTAATGCCGCTGGAAAGAGGTTCTTGGGGACCGTCGCAAGTCTGTGTGAAGGAGCTGCGATGATGGGTGTACTAGATCCTCGTGCGCCAGATTTCTTCTTAAGTGCGCGAAGTATACGAGAGAAGAATGCCATAAACCTCTGTTCCGTTGGATGTCCGAGGAGGCCGCCGCCTCCGTGCGCATGAAGGATGACTTTGACGTCATTCTTCGCACCAGCCAAGGACGCGGAATGCGCATCAGTGTAAAAGAAGACGGGAACCTGACCCGGTTGGATCGAGGTTGAGTGAATGGACGTGGGGATCTGGGAGGAAGGAGGGGCTAATTCACAAGAGATGCGAACTCCTTCCGGGATTCCTTCGGTGGGCACCCGTGCGCGCTCAGCAGGGGATTTGGCCTGACCGAACGGAGGCTTGGAAGCACTGATCGTAGTGCGGATGTCATGAACAGCTGCTGCTTGCGCAGGGGTCCAGCTGGTGGGTTGAGTGAGTGAAGACATTTCTGAGGTTGTATTCGTGCCAGTGATCCATCATTCGTGCGTAGGCGTTTTATGTGGATTGGTCTCTGGTATCCTGTGACTCGCGGTAACATTCAAGTGTAGAATCCTAGATATCGTTTCAAATCCGGAGACAGTACATCAAGATTCAACCGGAACCAGACCCCTGACCATGCTTGAACTGGGCCCTGGCGGAGGACGAGATAGATAACAAAGATAAATTCTGGAGGCGCAGGGTACTTGGTATCATTTTTTTCAGGAACCGAAGACTCGGAATCGCGATGTGAACGCCTCGAGGCAGCAAGAACATACCTACTACTTCTTTAAATACTTCTTGCAGGCAAGCTCTATACTTGGCTCGCAATATTAATGAACGAGCTTTCATCACAACCATTGGGGTTGCATTCAATCACTTCCTCTCAGCATGTGGGGCACCGCGCCCATTTTCTCGTGATCATTAAGGCACTTGGTTTCTTTACGCTCCGCCTATCTCAATAGAATGACCCGGCGTCCGTCTAGATGCGGGAGCAGTATCCTATATGTCGTCGGATACAGCTTATCTCAACTTTCACTTAGAGTTCGACGCTTAATCTTCTCTTCATCGTTTCGCACTTTCGCACTCCACATAGTCACACTGTGGGTGCGAACTTCTCACCGAACTACATCATCATCGAATTTCTTTGCCCTCGACTTTCCCTTTCACCTTCGTGCATATTCCTTTGTGTTTTGCCAGCGCGTCGCCCTAAAAATGTATATGTACTGCCCATGCATGGTATATACATTCATATTCTATAGCAGAATTACATGCAGCAGTGACTTTCAAGTTCCCCGCTATAGGTACGTTCGAAAAAGAGTCTCCGCCTTATCTCTCGGTTTCGTCGTCGATACGCACATCCTTTATCCACGTTGTCTCACTATTCCCCTTCGAGCTCACTCCCAGCCTTTACAGACGTCAAGCACGAACAACGATTCGTCGATCATAAATACCAGAGATTTGCAACATCGTCGCGGAGTTTGAAAGCGATTTACAATGTGATGTGAATCTAGAAAGGAGCCTTCTTGATATCACAATCTAGGAGTTGGGTCAGTTGACTGCGGACTTGAAGTTGTAACATTTGACAGCAGCTTGGAACTAGAACAATGCTGTGGGAAGGCATCCAGTCAGATCTTACTTGGTTCCTTCAAGCAACTCCAAATCCTGAGCCCAGACTCTGAACACCCTTGTGGCATTTGCAACAAAAAGACCCCAGGCAAGTTTGCTTCAGTTTAATATTTTGCAGCCATCATTGAGCAGTATACAATGACCTCAACATACCTATCCTCACTTCCTGCATGCTTGCTCCTTTGTGACTTTGTTGTCATTTTCCTTCATCAATGCTTCTCCTTCAACTTCGTACTGTTTCTATTACCTCTCATTAAAGTGGCAGTTAATCTTCCAACATCATGTCATTTATATTTTATGTAGCATGTAGTAGTGATGTTGATGAATACATTTTTAGGTTGACTCTCAAGAAATGCGCATCCTGTGAAATGGATCAGAGTGTTGAAGTCTGAACAATCTGAAGAGAGACAGATTGAGGAAGCTGAAGGATCCGACATGATAGGTATGAGCAGGAGAGAGAGGTCCAAGTGCATGAGCCAGACGGGCCAATAGGCTGTGCACAAATGATGTTGGCTTGCGCCCTGCAATATACATATGTCAGAAAACTTCTCCTTTGCAATCCTTACTTACCTACTATAAAACCAAGTGCCCATCAGACACACACATCTCAGTTCTAGTTGAAACTGAGATGTGAGTACTTGGAAACATGTATGTCAGCATTAGCTGACCAAAACCATAGCATACCTTTGTATTCTAGGTACTATGCATGTTAATATTAGAGTTCTAGTTGAAACTGAGATTGTACCTTTGTGTTCTAGCTCCCTCTCCTGTCGCTCACTTGCCTGTTCTCGCAACACAGAGTGTGTTTTGTTGTGGGCTGGATTGATTGACATTTGGAGTAAGATGAAGGGATTGGTATAAATCCAAACACACAACCACAAGGCCTGCTCATGGCCATAAAATGGGTTAGTGTCTTGTTGTAGGTTGGTGAAGGAATCAACTACTAAGCTATGGCACTACAAGGGATGCCAAGTCTGAGTATATGTGTGGTTGTCTCAGCTCTGCCTAGGCTGCTATACTTTGCAAAGGCAAGTGTGTTCGACCCAAGGGGAAGTGAGTGCAACACATCCACAGGTCGCATGAAGCGTGGGAAAGTCACGCGCACAGAGAGTGGTAGGATGTGCGAAGTGCGGGAAAGTTGTGCACTAATAGGTGAAAGTGCGCAAAGGGCTAGGAATGCGATGGGGACTAGGGGAAGATGATGACTGATACTGATGGGTGCAAGGATGACAAATGCGATGATGATAGAGTGTGATTGTCAAAAATGCTACTGACTATGGCTCAAAAAGCATGCACTATGCTGAGGAATGCTAAGGGATACTAACTGGAAACTAAGTGGTAGCTAACTAACTGATAAAAAATGCGAATGCTATCATGCAAAAGGCGACTAAGTGCGTTCCCATGATGCGGAGCTGATGCGAGTAAAGTGCAGGAATGAAGAAGGTATATGTAAGTAAGGGTCCATGATGGAATATGGTGTCATGATAAGAGTAAATGCGAAAATGTACCAGTAGGACTTGGTGGACAATGGATGGATGCTCCTGGATGATGGGTGATGAAGTGCGGGAAAGCGCATGGGATGCGTGCGGGAATGCATTGTGGGAGAGTAGTGTGCGTGTTACGCGATGCACAGGAAAATCACACATGTATAGGCTGAATGATATAGGGAATGATGCTGTGAGTTTGTGCTGTGAACTGCATGCAGATACATTGCAATATAGGGCTCTACAGGCATACAGAGGCACAAGTCTCTACATTAGGTATGTTGATCCAGGTTTGGGTGGTGCCTAAGTATGGTCAACATAGTGAGGCCACCATGATGATGTATTATGTTGTCTTTATACTCGTCCAAGCTCCATGCAGTGCACCATTGAGAGTACTGAACTGTGAGATGGGAACATGGGTCAGGTGGAGTGGAATTACTGAGTTGTCAAACTTGCTAGTCACAACTTGGAGAGCAGTGATAGAACTGTGTACAGTATTAATGAAGTCGAGAAGTTGAAGGCAAGTGTGTTTTTGTGGATCACATGATTTTGATGTGTTTGCACAAGTTTTTGAACTCTAAGTACTAGTAGGACAAAAGAAACCAAAACCTTGAGTGTGAGGTATTTCCAGATAAAAGTTTTGGACCTTGATGCTGTGGTAAACATACATGATAGGTAGTCTAGACATCTAGACCTCATGCATGTTTAACTCTACTGCTAGTCTGTAATTCATGCATGACATACATGCACATGACTGCATTGATTTCACCTGGCCCAGCAGACTGTACTTACTACAAGAACCTCTGCATGCATATGGCATACCCTCACAAGGGTAGAAGCCTATTGTAGCACCTGGGGGAGACCCTCCCAGGGATGATGCACCTGATGGTCTTTCAGCCTGGTTTATTATAACATGGAAATTGGGTCTGAAAGACCATGGGAATGCCTTGCTAAGGGTGGCAGGAATCCAAAAGTGCCCTCTACTGTGCACAACCATGGGTCACTCTGGAGGCACAATCAGCATCAAGTTGCATGTACTGCATGCTCATTTACAATTTATTCATCTGTATACAAAATCCACAAGCCTCTCCAACCCATTGTCCAACTGTGGAAAGATATGAGGAAACATCCACCATGCATGCATCAAATCTGTGTACTCCACAAGTTCAGCTATCCCACCCACCTCTTGGATACCACTCATGATTCTCTGTGAGCTCTCAGTGACATTATCAGCTGTTCCAGTCATCGCCAATGTCTTCAGCCAGCATGCAGTGAATGGAATTAGGATGCCTGATGCTAGAGGGTGGTTGGCAGGAAAATTGCCTAGATATTGGGAAGAACAGGCTTGGTAGGCTGACAGAGGTATGATGTTGTGAGGTATAGAGGTGTAGGAGGCATAAGTGAGGTCTGCATCTGGGGAGAAGAGTGCAACATGTCCTGGCATCAGGAGAGTAGTGCTGCTGAAGTTCAGTTCCATCTGGTTTTTTCAAAATAACTGAGGACTGAGAACTGAACCTTGGTCAAGTTCACAAAGGTAGGGTGGACTCTGGGCTGGACCACTTTGAACGGGTTCACAATGGTCAGGTTCGAGTTTGAACCAGTTTGAACCGCCGAATGCAACATGAAATTAGCAAATTTACCAAGTACAAACAATTGTAGGCTAGACTATTCAACAATAAAATTTTGAGGAGCAACAAGCTCAGCCTGCACCATTGCTAAGACATGGCCTTGACAGTACGCACTCTTTAACAGTTGAAGTGCCTTGAATGTCTCTGGAAGCAAGCAGTTGCAGTGTGTGGTCCTGGTGATGCCACCACTTGAGAATGCCTGTTCAGATGCTACCACAGACCCCTGGAATAGCAAGGTAATCTTTTGCGATGTGAGCAATAGTGGGATATTGAATTGAGTGATGCTTTAAAAAAATACTTGTCAGCTTCAAGTTGCATGGAATATAAGGATATGAGGGAAGTGAACTTACACCCCACCACACTACTACATTCTCAACATCCTCCAGTGGTGCAGCTAAATAGTCCTCGAGTTCCCAATGAGGCATTTGACAAGCTGCATTGTGTGAGATGCGAGCTTTGATTGCATCATGCATCCAGCTCTGGCCATAGGAACCTTGGCGTGAGAGGGATGGTACAGTAGCAGAATGTGTCGTCACAGCAGATGAAGGAGGGGCACAATAATACTGATCAAACTAGATACTAAGTTAGTGTGCAGACAATTTATTGAGAGACCCATGGACTTACCACATCTTTGAGCCATTTCACTCCATCAGCAAAGTCTTGAGACGCCCATTTTGCCTTAGCATAGGCAACTTTGTAGTTAGGGTTGAGGGCTGCATGAAAGTAAGAGTGTCATCAAAATGAGAATGTGTGAATTAAGAATGGGGCACATACCAAGGCAGATGAAGTAGACATCTGTGTCATTTGTCTTGCAATACCACTTATGAAGATTGTTGAGGCCAGATATGATGAATGCTGAAAGTCCATTGAATGTTGATGTGCCAGCCATGCATTCCCACATCTCTTGAAGATATTTGAGGACAGGAATGGTACACCAGACTGTAGGCTCCTGAGTAGCTGAGAAAGTCTGTTGAGCATTAGCAGGCTCCTGCACAGTGTAGTGCTAGTTAATACATAAGGTGAAAAAAAGATAGTTGAAGGAACTGACCTGTAGCACATCTCAAATCAATTCCAACTTTGACCACTCCTGTTGTGTGAGCTTGAATGCTGAATATGTTTTCCCTTGTAAATTGGGGACTTCTTCGCTGTTGTCAGCAAGTTGCATGAACCTGTTCACTCCCTTAAATTCAAATAAATTAGATAGAACATAACACTTAAATATACAACAAACCTTGCGTAAACGGATCACTCGCTCCAACATTTTGAAGCATGATGCTCAATGTGTTCAAACCCATTTGAGAAGTTTGAGAGTGGGGAGGTCAACCTCAGCACAGCACTTCTTAAAGAAAACATGAGCTTGTGGGGACTTTTGTATTTGCATGACGAGTGAAAGGGCTTTACCAATAGTATCAGCAACATCAAAATCAGTCTCGTCATTGTTGTTGTTGTCATCTTCTGCTGTCTTCTTGAGTAAAGCACTGGCAGATGTTGGAGCAACCCTCTCAACAAAATGCTTTGCTGCAAGATGCAGCACATGTTCCATACAATGGACACAATGTTTGACTGGGTCCCAGTTGATGCCATGGGGGTCAATCTCCATTGCAACAGTTCAAATAGCTGTGTCATTGTTTGTGGCGTTGTCAGCTGTGAACCAGCCAACCTATGATCAAACGATTAGAGAAACAGTAAGTACAACAACATAAATGCTCACCTTTTTGCATATATCATACTTATCAATCACTTTGATCAAAATATCACCAATGTTAGTGCCGCTGTGGTTACCCATGATGAGCCTAAAGGCAAGTTGCTCTGTCTTAAGTTCCCACTCCTGAGGCTTGTCTGTGGGTGAGTTGATATAATGGGCTGTGACAGAAAGGAATGGGTCGCCTGGTTCAGATGTCCATGAGTTGAATGTCATTGAAATCTTGCTGTCAACATGCTATGACAATTATAATGAGTGAAAAATAAACAATCACAATTATCAACACTTACTGCTAGTTTTGCTCTCTCTAGAATCTCATCTTGTGTCTTAGTGCGGTTCTTGATCTGAAAGACTTGGCTGAAGGTATTGCAGGAGGTGGTGAAAGGATCCTTTGTTGACAAGTTGAAATGCCTGCAATTGTGTGAGGATGTGTACATGAAAGAAAGAAAGAAATAGTGAAAGTCACAAACCTCATCCTCAGCAATGATAAGCTTGACAATATAGTCAACAAGGCCTGACTTCGAAAACTGCAGTGGCTTGGGGACAAGGGCACAATCAAGAGTTCACTGCCCTCTGTTGGATACCTTGACATTCAAGGGAATAGTGCACTCATGCATGATGATGCCTTTCTCCTTGCAGTGACTCTTGTATATTGGAAAGTGGCAGTTTGGATTGCTAGTCAGATGATTAGTGTGACTTGGACTTGGACATGTTTGAGAAAAACCCTACCGGGCGATGTGAGTACAATGGGTAGAAATACTGCCTTTGAAGAAACAATTTTGAAGAGGCAAATTTGCTTCCCTATGAGACAGAAGGCAAGTTAGTAAAAAGATGCTCAAAAATGGGGAAGAGAAAAACACACTTGCAAATGTTACACCACCATCCATCCTCACTTTCACCGGTGTGTGCATTCTTGTGGCCTTTTTCCTCAGTGAAGATCATCCACAGATCTGCTGTTCACTCATCTTTCTTCAAACTTTTGTGAACCTGGAGGTCTGATATCAGGAAAGTAGGAGAGAGTCTGAAAACACACTTACATCTCGGTCAGCATCTCTGAATGCTTTAATTTGCTGGTAAGCTTCTTCAGCTTCCTTGGCTTCTTCGTCACCTGAATCTGCAACAAATGACTCATCCTTGTTCATAGATATGTCGTTGTCGTCATCACTGCCGCCATCATTGTCGCCAATTGTAGAAGAGCTGGTTGCAGAGACAAGCAGGCACTTGGTGGCAGGGGGCATGGTGGTAGTACCTGAACATTTGGCAGGAATGGCACTGCTCACTGCTTCTCACACCTTTGCAGAAGGCTTGATAGGCCAGCCAGAGCGACAAGAACCAGCAACAAGTGTTGCAGGCATTCAGTGAGAGCCTACAAAAGAGTCCAGGGTACAATGAGAGGGGCCAGGGGGCAAAGCCTTAGAAGAGGATTCAGGATGGGGTGAGATGGGCATGTCATTGTCAGGATCATGATACCATTCGATTTCGGACACATCCTTCAAAATGCCATTAGCATTAACTGCAGAGTTTGACATGTTTTGATAAATAAACTAACCTTGCATACACCCCACCCTTTTATTCTTGGCTGATGTTCTGTGCAAGGCCAGAACAAGATGTGAATGTCCATTCTGATTGATAGTGTTGGTGATGATGGTGCCAGTGATGATTTCACTGGCAAACTTACTGATGTGTTGACAGTGAGTATCCTTCATACCTGAGGAGTTGCAGAACAGAAGCAACAAACCTGCAACTTGAATGATGGGTTTGGACTGGTTCAGACTTGTCCGAATGGGTCTGACATTCATCTGAGACCACCCAAACGAGGAACATATGTAAGGTTTGGTCCTGTATCATATGTCGAACCACTGACTGAACAGTGGTTCCATTTGCAAAAGTTCAGGTTTGAACCTAGGTTCAGGACTGAACGGCAGCAGCACTATGGGAGAGTGGATTGCGAGATGATATACACGAGGACAAGAGCTAGATGAAAGTGAGATACAAATATGAGAAGAAATTGACAAATCATGATGCACCCAAGTTTCTGCCTGCACTATTACCTGTGATAGTGATATTCTTGGCAGCAAAGCCTCTCAAGAACAAGTGATGGTATGCAGAGAATAGATCTTGTAATGCTGCTGGAAAGAGGTTCTCAGGGACCATCACAAGTCTGTGGGAAGGAGCTGCAATGATGTGTGCACTGGATCCTTGTATGCCAGATTTCTTGCCAAGTGTGTGGAGTATGCGAGAGAAGAATGTTATAAACCTCTTTTCTGTTGGATGTCTGGAGACGTTGCCACCTCTGTGCACATGAGGTATGACTTTGACATCTTTCTTCACATCAAGGGACTCAGAGGGTGCATCGGTATAAAAGAAGACAGGAACCTGACCTGGTCGGATCAAGGTTGAGTGAATAGATGCAGGGATCTGAGAGGAAGGAAGAGCTAATTCACAAGAGATGTGGATTCCTTTGCTGGGCACCTGTGCACATTCAGTGAGCAATTGGGCCTGGCTGAATGTAGGCTTGAAAACGCCAATTGTGGTGCGGATGCCATGAAGAGCTGCTGCTTGCATATGGGTCCAGGTGGGTCGAGTGAGTGCATCAGTGAACTCGTGAAGAAAGTATGAGGCCATATATCATGATATATAGTACATAATCACAAGAACCAGTGTATATCTATCAGAATGATACTATCTGGAGTAAGTTGGACAGAACTACCAAAAATGTGAACATGACAAATTGCTTGCAACCACCTGCCATCTTATCACCAGCACCAAATAATTCTCAACCTTAACACTCATTTTATGAAGAAAATCAATTTTATATATATTAGAATACATATGTAGTTACAGGACAAAAAAGAAACAGGGAAAGATAGTGGAGAGGAAATAGCACAAGATGGATGACAGAGCAGCCACAAGGAAGAGCCAGGATGGGACCATGAGGAAGGGCCACGGAGGGACCACAAGGAAGGGCTGAGGAGGGGACCACGAGGGGCCAGGATGGGACCACGAGGAAAGGCCAAGGAGGGGACCATGAGGGGCCAGGATGGGACCATGAGGAAGGGCCAGGGAGGAACCACAAGAAAAGGCCAAGGAGGGTCCACCACGAAGGGCCAGGGAGGGACCACCATGAAGGGCCAGGGAGGGACCATGAGGAAAGGCCAAGGAGGGAGCACCATGAAGGGCTGGGGAGGGAACACAAGGAAAGGCCAGGGAGGCCAGGAAACACTGAGCTCAAGAGGGTGGTAGTAGTAGTGGTGAAACAAAATTGAAAAGAACTTGTGTGAAATTTTTCAAATGGTTTACCTAAGCAACCTGTAAGCTTGAGCACTCTAGCATTGCCAACTTTCACCTTGCTCTGTCCTACACAAACAATGACAAATCAATTTCAGCCACTTGCACTGGTCATGTGATCTGGGGTTACCCACAATAATTCATTAGTAAAATCTGAGGCTGTCAATGTAAACAGTCATTGACAATGAATTTAGCTATACCTGTAAATGTTTGAACCCTAGAGGCTGATACAATGGTCAAAAAAATTTGATTGAGAACACCACAGTAGTGCCAAAGAACTAGTCATTTACTGTGAAAGAAACAGGACACATACATGTACAAATAAATCATCATTTATGAATAAGTGTTTGGGTCCTGATTTTCCAGCCTTGTGGAGCAGGGTGATGGTCATGTGCATGACCTTGAATGACATTGTAATTTACACAATATTTGAACCCACTTATATAGTTTTGTAAATCAAATATAAATGAGGGAATATTATATGGCTCAACAAATGGTACCTTATTACACTATCATACCTCACTGGCCATGATGGTACAAAGTCATGGCCTTGTCGGTGTCATATCCCACAATCCAGACCCACATTCCATCATATTCCCATGCCTTCTGAGCCTACATCTGGACCCCACTTCATATCCAACTCATTCCCAGATCCCCTTCTGCTGTGTGCTCCACACCTCAGCAGGATTGACTACGCTCTGGATTTACCCCTGAGCTCTGGACCATTGGATCTCCACTGCTAGCCTGAACCATAACCCCTTGTCCCATCCACCCTATGTACACTCCATCCAGCAAGACATCCAGACTTCACCTCATCTTGGATTCTGGACTCTATCCACCTTCTCATATCCCAGTCCTGTATCCACCTTGTCTTCTGGATCCCCAGATCTCCGGACCTATTCCCACCCTCTGTCCAATATCCTGCGCCTATCCCCATTTAGACATCTCCACCTTTCCAGCTTTTGGTTACCTCCTGTTGTGTCTTGCTTATTGATCCTTATATGAGTCTTCATCTTCAAGTTCATTTAGTTATGTCCTGTCTTACTTACTAATGTGTTTCCACATGCTCATACATAGCCCTGCTCCTTTGCTTACTGATCCCCCCAGATATTCTCCAGTATATAACCCCTGTAGATACTCCTGTAGTTTCCTTAGTTTGAATATCATCTTAGACTTTGCTCTACTTGCCCAATCCTCTCTTGGACTTTGGTCCAGCTAAGTCTGTCCTACCCATCAGGCCTAGGGATTAATTCCCTAGGCCAGAGCTCCACCTTTCCGGCACTTACCCTCTTTCCGGACTTAGGTCCAATCCCTGTCTCTCTGACTCTACCTTAGGGTAGTCTACCTCTGTTTGTTTCTACATCAGACTCCATCTAATGTAGCCCCTATTCCTTCCAGACCTCTGGGTGTCCTGTTCTTCGTACCTCTGGACATCCTGTCCTTCTGTCCTCTATCCTCCTGTCCTCCTGTCCTCCTGTCCTCTGGACCTTCAGACCCTCGGACCTCCTATCCTTCCATCCTGTTTCCTGTAGAAGTATTACCTTGCAGTGAGAACTCTCCTGAGCACTTCCTGCATTCCTCTGGAACTCTCCCATGCTCCTCTGGACATTTCCTGCACTCCTCCAGAAGTCCTCTAGCACTCTCCACCAGAGTAGCCAGCCTCCAGACTTCATTGGACCATCATTGGACCTCATCTGAAATGAAGGGCCCATACTCAGGTAAGGGGCACAGTGTACAAGCTGAGGCCAAGCCCCTCTGAGTCAGTCTCTCTCTCTCTTGAGCAACATGGTTCTTAACAGTCAGAAACTCTCATAGGAATCTACATTAGGTTACAAGTGCTAATGGTGCTTTCCATGATAAAGTCTTATATCACTTGGTAGTTCAAAACATAAATGAAGGAATATGGTATGAGTCAACAAGTGTGACTAAATGATGCTACTGCACATTGATTGCTGCAGCAGTATAACATCATGATCTTGTCACGAACTCCTCATGGTAAAATGGATTTTCAAACATCCATAACTATGTACCAATCACTCATATTTTTCACTGTATACATACAGTGGCTCAAAAAACTGTCCACATGTTTTTGCATTTTTTACTATTTACAATATTATGTGAGAATACATAAAGACCTCAGTGACATGCTGATACCATATTGTGGTGCTGCTTCAGGGCTTTGGATTGAGCACCACATCGTGAGAATCAGAGGAGATATGGTGGAGATACAAGACTTACAAAATCATGACTCATGCAGACAGTTTTTTGAGCACATATTAAAACTATATAAATCATCATTCATGACACCATAACAATCATGCCACCATTAAATAAATTATAAAGTGGTGTCATTATGTCATTTTAAAACCATATCTAACTATACAAACCAAAAATTTCCATATGTCATGGTTATATTCACCATGAAAGCCACCCCCCCTGCTCAAAGGGATAATATCCTCTCTCTTTCCTATTCTGGCCTCTCTGCTTGTCAAATTTCCTCTAGAACTGGAGTATCCAAGTCCACTGTGGCCAAGTTCATCAAAGAAAGTCACACAGACAAGGAAAACTTCTGTGAAGGACGTCCATCCAAGCTCACCTCTACTGATAGGAGGGCTATTATTCAACATATCACTACAGGAAAGGCTGATAATGCTGTCCAGGTCACCTATTACATCAATTCCACCATCACATTCCCTGTCTCTTCATGCACTGTGAGAAACATTCTCAAGACAGCTCATCTCAGGTCAGTAACAAGGAAGAAAAGGCTCTCCTCTCTATCACACATAAACAGAGATGACTAACCTTTGCCTTAGCCCATCAGAATTGGATTACATGGACTGGAAGCATGTTATATGATCATATAAGACCACAATAAATAGGATTGGGTCAGATGGCAAGGTATATATGTGAAAAAAGAAGGGTACTAGTCCTCTCTGCATATGTGTGATAGAGAGGAGAGCCTTTTCTTCCTTGTTACTGACCTGAGATGAGCTGTCTTGAGAATGTTTCTCACAGTGCATGAAGAGACAGGGAATGTGATGGTGGAATTGATGTAATAGGTGACCTGGACAGCATTATCAGCCTTTCCTGTAGTGATATGTTGAATAATAGCCCTCCTATCAGTAGAGGTGAGCTTGGATGGACGTCCTTCACAGAAGTTTTCCTTGTCTGTGTGACTTTCTTTGATGAACTTGGCCACAGTGGACTTGGATACTCCAGTTCTAGAGGAAATTTGACAAGCAGAGAGGCCAGAATAGGAAAGAGAGAGGATATTATCCCTTTGAGCAGGGGGGGTGGCTTTCATGGTGAATATAACCATGACATATGGAAATTTTTGGTTTGTATAGTTAGATATGGTTTTAAAATGACATAATGACACCACTTTATAATTTATTTAATGGTGGCATGATTGTTATGGTGTCATGAATGATGATTTATATAGTTTTAATATGTGCTCAAAAAACTGTCTGCATGAGTCACCATTTTGTGAGCCTTGTATCTCCACCATATCTCCACCGATTCCCACGGTGTAGGGCTCAAATGAAAGCCCTGAAGCCATACTACAATGTGGTATAAGCATGTCCTTGAGCCATTTGTTCAATCTCACACAATATCATAGATAGTGAAAAATGTCAAAACATGCGGACAGTTTTTTGAGCCACTGTATGCCCCAAACAACCCAACCCAACACAGTAACTTTTGGACAACAATCAAAGACTCAGAAACCAGAAGAAACACTCAACAGATAGACCTCATGCTAGGAGACTCCAACCTAACAGAGGACCTGCTAGATAGAGCCCCCGCATGCCCAGACAACAAAAGTGCAATTGATGCCCTGAGAGATCTAAGAGAAAAGTTAAACATACATGACACCTGGAGAAAAACGCACCCAGTATCCCGTCTCTTCACATTTTACAGCAACACCAACTCATACTCAAAACTTGACAGAATATACTCATCCCCAGTGCATGATAAAAGCCTACATGACTGGTCAACATGTACATCAGCCATCCTGACTGACCACAAAATGATACTAGTTTGATACACACCCCCAAATATGCTGCACATAGGTAGCAGGAGATGGTCCTGGCCACTAGGTCTCATAAACAACAAGAAACTAATAAATAATATAAGCAATCTAGGAAAAATGATACAACAGAAAATAGAAATGTACAGCCAAACAGACGAATCAAACATCCAAACAGCCTGGGAAGACTTTAAGGTCAGAATCCACCAGGAAGCAAAGAAAATGACAAAAGAACATCTATATAAAATCAACACCAGAATAAAGCAACTAGAAAATGATATAAATCTCACCCTAGAAAACGATGACATAGACACCAACAGCAACACAAGAAGGCAAAAAGCATGGCTTGAAAATGAGATTAACCACCTAGAAAAAAAGAGACTCAAAAACATACAACTATGCTCAAAAGCAAAATGGAACACTGAAGGAGAAATAATTGGAAAGTATTGGTCCAAGATCAACACCCCGAAAAAACCTAGAGATATAATATACCAACTGAAAATACCAAAAACAAATAGACTCACATCACACTCCAGAAAAATGGCAGAAATTGTGAGGCAACACCACAAAGCTCTACAACAAGAAGAGACCCATCCTGCAATACAACAAAGAAGAAATGAAATAAAAGAAAAAACAATGAATGAAATACCAAACCAACAAAAATTCAATAACAATGACTCCCCCCTGAACCAACCCCTAGAAGAATACCATATACATGAAGCACTGTACACATCAAAGTCAGGAAGTGCAGCAGGCATAGATGGGATACCTTACAAAATATGGAAATGATTCCACAAAAAACACCTATCTGACACCGAACAAGAGATCCAGAGCTTCAACATAATTAAAACACTTACCACAGTTATAAATGACATACAAAAAAATGAAGTCAAAGAAGAAACTGACTTCACATTAGGATGGATGTGCCCAATATATAAGAAGAAAGAACGCACCAAAATCACCAACTACAGACCAATAACACTATTAAACACAGATTACAAACTACTAACAAAAGCATTAGCAATGCAACTTGCCAAGGCAGCCCCAAAACTAATACACCCAGACCAAAGTGGATTCATACCAAACAGATCAATTTTCAACCCCATCTGCCTCACAAAGATGATGATCAAATACACTGACATTATGGAAGAAGATGGCGCTCTGATCACACTCAACCAAGAAAAAGCCTATGATAGAATCAGCCATGACTACCTAATAGAAATGTTATGAGCATTTAACCTCCCACAAATGTTCATTAGCACCATCAAAGTACTATACTCCAACACCCACACAAAAGTAGCTATCAATGGCATGTTAAGTGAATCATTCCAAGCCATGAGAGGAGTAAGACAAGGAGACCCACCTTCCTGCCTCCTCTTCAATCTAGCTATTGAACCCCTAGTGTGCACACTAAGAAACTCTGAATTAATCAAAGGATATGATATCCCAGGAATCACTCACTGAATCAAAATAAATCTATATACCAATGACACAACAATATACCTAACCAAAAACAACAAGTACACTGACCTAGAAAAGATCCTAAACTACTGGTGTCTGGCCTCAGGTGCTAAGTTCAACATGGAAAAAACAGAAATAATACCAATAGGATCAAAAACTCACCATGAATGCATCATTACAACACAGAAACTCCACCCCAATGATACCCCCCTCAATGACTCCATTAGAATTGCCCCAGATGGACACCACATAAGATCTTTGGGAGCATGGATAGGAAACGAAACAAATGACACCACACCATGGGAACCAATCCTAGATAAAATCAGCACATCCTTAAGTCACTGGAACAAGGGACACCCATCCCTTGATGGTAAATGACTGATAGCACAGATGATAATAGGAGGAATGACACAGTTTTTAACAAAGGCACAAGGCATGCCAAAAAACATTGAGACTGCAATAATTAAGATAATGAGAAAATTCATTTGGAACAACAAAAAAACCTCACCAATTAGCCTGGAACAACTACAAAAACCAATAGAAGAAGGAGGGATAAACCTCATAGACATCAAAGTCAGGAATGAAGCAATCAAAATAACATGGCTCCAATCCTACCTTGACCTATCATCATCACGCCCAGCATGGGCTTTCCTTGCGGACATAATAATAAACAATCTGAAACCAACCAGAATCAACAACACATCAGACTTAAACACTTTCCTGCAATCATGGGACCCACCTACAAGAGGACTGAGAATGACAAACCTCCCAAAAGAAATAACAAGCATGCTAAAAATAGCAAAAAAATACAATGTTAGTTTCGTACTAATCAAACTCTTGAAACAACTAAAGAAACAACTACTGGTGTGGTACCACCTAGGTGCCCCACCAAAAACATATCACATACAGAGAGACCATTGCCTACAAAACAACCATAAAGCCCAAAAAATAAAACACCTGATAAAAATAAGCAAAAAAATTGCACCAAACAACACCGAGACAACCAACAACAAAAAGAAGCACTACCCATGAAAAAACTGCATGTTAAGAACCATGTTGCTCAAAGGAGAGAGAGACTGACTCAGAGGGGCTTGGCCTCAGCTCATATGCTGTGCCCCTTACCCAAGTATGGGCCCTTCATTTCAGATGAGGTCTAATGATGGTCCAATGAAGTCCGGAGGATTTCTGGAGGCTGGCTACTCTGGTGGAGAGTGCTAGAGGACTTCTGGAGGAGCACAGGAGAGTTCCGGAGGAATGCAGGAAGTGCTCAGGAGAGTTCCCACTGCGAGGTAATACTTCTACAGGAAACAGGATGGAAGGATAGGAGGTCCAAGGGTCTGAAGGTCCAGAAGACAGGAGGACAGGAGGATAGAGGACAGGACAGGATGTTCAGAGGTATGAAGGTATGGAGGGCGGGACATCCAAAGGACAGGACACCTGGAGGTCTGGAAGGAATAGGGGCCACATCAGACAAAGTCTGATGTAGAAGCAAACAGAGGTAGACTACCCTTGGGTAGAGTCAGAGAGACAGGAAGTGGACCAAAGTCCAGAGAGAGGGTAAGTGCCAGAAAGGCAAGACTCCAATCTAGGGAAGCAATCCCTAGACTTGGGACAGAGACATAGGGGACAAATCCAAAGGTCCAGAATTCCAGCCTAGGGAATCCATCCCTAGGCCTTATGGAAAAGGACAAGACTCAGATGGACTGAAGTCCAGAAGAAGATTGGGCAAATAGAACAGGATCTAAGATGATATTCAAACTAAGGAAACTACAGGAGTATCTACAGGGGTTATATACTGGAGACTATCTGAGGGGATCAGTAAGCAAAGGAGCAAGGCTATGTACGAGCATGTGGAAACACATTAGTAAGTAAGACAGAACATAAGTCAATGAACTCAGAGATGAAGACTCATACAAGGATCAATAAGCAAGACAGAAGAAGAGGTAACCAAAAGCCATAAAGGCGGAGATGTCTAAATGGGGATAGGCGCAGGATATTGGACAGAGGGTGGGAATAGTTCCGGAGTTAATATCCGAAGGTCCAGAGATCTGGGGATCCAGAAGACAAGGTGGATACAGGACTGGGATATGAGAAGGTGGATATAGTCCAGAATCCAAGACAAGGTGAAGTCCAGATGTCTTGCTGGATGGAGTGTGCATAGGGTGGATGGGACAGGGGGGTATGGATCAGGCTAGCAGTGGAGATCTGATGGTCCAGAGCTCAGGGGTAAATCCAGAGCATAGTTGATCCTGCTGAGGTGTGGAGCACACAGCGGAAGGGGATCTGGGAATGAGTTGGATATGAAGTGGGGTCTGGATGTAGGCTCGGAAGGTGTGGGAATATGATGGAACATGGGTCCGGATTGTGGGATATGACACTGCACCTGCAAATACTGTAAGAAAGACAGAGACAAAGGTTGCGAAAACCCACATAAATGCACTATAACAGCAAAAGAAATCCTGAACAAAATAACCCCAAAATTCAACACTAAAACAAAACCCAAAAAAGACAGACTATCACTCACGCATAGCAGAAAGAAAAAGAACCAACAAGCCCACAAAAGGAGAAGAGGAGAGATCATCTTCGACTCCACCACCAGATCCACACTAACAGACTGCTTCAGAATTTTCACCGACCCCTCCAAAAAATCCAAAAGACCAGCTCACCACCTACAGAACCCAACGAGAGGCCTAAACATACTGGAAGATAAAATGACCATATACACAGACGGATCTTGCATAAACAACAGGAAATACAATGCAAAATCTGGCAGCAGAATATGGATATCAACAGATGACAAATGAAAAAAAAATACCCAGAAACCAACACTCAAACCAAATCACAGAAATAACAGCAATTCTGATCACACTACAGCAAATGGACCCCTATATTCCAATAACCTTCATCACAGACTCAAGATACATAATAGACAGCCTTACCAAAAACACCAACCAATGGGAGAAGATAGGATGGATCAGAATCGCAAATTGTCATATCCCATATGCCAGACATAGATCCCATCATATTCCCACGCTTTCCGAACCTATTTCCAGACCCCATATCCAACTCATTCCTGGATCCCCTATCCTGTCCACCCTACACACATTCCATCCAGCAAGACATCTGGACTTTACCTCCTCTCAGATTCTGGACTACATCCACCACCTCACATATCTCAGTCCTGTTTCCACCCTGCCTTCCAGATCCCCAGATCTCCAGACCTCCAGATATTAACTGTTACTATCTCCGGACCTATTCCCACCCTCCATCTGAGATCCTGCGCCTATCCCCATTCAGGCATCTCTGCCTTTCCAATTCTCGGTTATCTCTGTTTCCGTCTTGCTGATTGATCCTTGTACTAGTTTCATCTCCGAGTTCATTTACTTATGTTCCGTCTTACTTACCAATGTGTTTCCACATGCTTGTACATAGCCTTACTCCATTGCTTACTGATCCTCTCAGATATCCTCTAGTATATAACCCCTGTACAACTCCTGTAGAGTCCTCAGTTTGAATATCAACTTAGACTTGCCCAATCCTCTCTCGGACTTTGGTCCACCTAAGTCTGTCCTACTCATCAGGCCTAGGGATTGATTCCCTAGGCCAGAGCTTTGCATTTCCAGCACTTACCCTCTTTCTGGACTTAGGTCCAATCCCTGTTCTCTCCAACTCTACCTTAGGGTAGTCTACCTTTGTTTGCTTCTACATCAGACAAAGTCTGATGTAGCCCCTATTCCTTCCAGACCTCCAGACCTCCTGTCCCTTGTACCTCCGGGCATCCTGTCCTTTGGACATTCTGCCCTCCTAACCCTCAGACATCCTATCCTCTGTACCTTCAGACATCCTGTCCTTCATACCTCCAGACATCCTGTCCTTCTGTCCTCTGTCATCCTGCCCTCCTGTCATCCTGTCCTCCTGTCCTTCCATCCTGTTTCCTGTAGAAGTATTACCTTGCAGTGGGAACTCTCCTGAGCACTTCCTGCATTCCTCCAGAACTCTCCCGCACTCCTCCGGACTTCATTGGACCATCATCAGACCTCATATGAAATGAAGGGCACATACTCAGGTAAGGGGCACAGCATATGAGCTGAGGCCAAGCCCCTCTGAGTCAGTCTCTCTCTCCTTTGAGCAACATGGTTCTTAACACAAATAGTGAATACCTAAGAGCAACAATCTACCACCTAAGGAAAAGATTAGCACAGACATCCTTCATCTGGACAAAAGGACACAACGGAGACCAAGGGAACGAACATGCAGACCGGCTAGCCTCAGAAGGAGCAAACAAAACAGCCAAAGATAGGGTAGACCTCACAATCCCCAATGAATGGAACCTACAAGGAGTGCAAATCTCATCAATAACACAATCCCTAGCATACAAAGGAATTAAAATCACAAATAAAAAGAACAACCCACCACGAAGGACAACACTATGTAACCTCAACCTTGCAAGATATGCAATCCAGGAGATCACAGGAGAACTGGAATATGATAGCACTATATGGTCAGGATCCTGAAACAAAGACATACAGAAAAACATATGACAGTTCCTATTCAAGGCAATACACAGCACATACTGAATTGGTGAGTACTGGCTGAACATCCCAACATATGAACACCGCACCAAATGTGCAATGTGCCAAGCAGAAATCAAATCACTAGAGCACATCATGTTAGAATGCCCCAACAATGCACAAGAAACCATATGGAAACTCACCAAAGACCTATGGCCAACAAAGTTTGGTGCCTGGCCAAAAATTAAACTAGGTACAATACTAGGATACGGCAACCTAAACCTCAGGAAAAACATACAAAACAGACAAAACAGCGATGAAGAAGACAAGAACATCAACATAAGAGACAAGACCAATGGTGCATCGAGACTCATGAGAATTCTAATCTCAGAATCAGCTTACCTAATATGGGTCATCAGATGCGACAGTACCATAAACGAAAGAACACACAACCAACAACATAATAAAGAGATGGACAAACAAAATAAATAGTAAACTACAACTAGATAGAATATCCGCCAAAAAAATTCACAAAACTCGTAACAAATACATGGGAAAACACCATCAACATCAACCCCAACTCCCAAATTCAGAAAGACTGGGCTACCGCCCTCGAGGTTTTAGTGGGTATTAGACCACCCAGGCCCTGTACGATCGAGGCCCCCTAGGCAGTAATGAGTCCCACACACCCCGCACACCGTGGGAGTGCATAAACGCATTTTCCCTCAGACCGGAGTTTCCCCGAAACCCCGCTATAGCGTGTATAAGTAGAACTAGGCTTAGTCAGTTGCTACCAATACATATCGCTTGTCCAAAAAAAAAAAAAGAATTATATCACCCTATATTTCTCACGGCTACCATATCACGGACTCATCAATTCACTGATGTGGTGAAGACGTTTCTGAGATTGTATTTGTGCCTCATCATTCGTGCGTAGTCATTTTATCATTTGTGCGGGGTTCTATATCCAGGCCTAGGCGCTGCTATCGTTGATCGATGATCGAATCACCTTGCTTGCAAGTCATTTATGATTTGACTCCTTGCAGATCATCTACATGCACAAATAACAACAACGCCTCTCGGCCTAGACTCGCAACGAGTCTTACCACGTCTCTGAGATATTAAGTGCTTGAGTGGCTTCGCCACTCGACTTGTCTGTGGTGTATAAACCAGGCTGGTCACCATGAGCTTACTCCCAGCCCACACAGGACCATCGGGAGCATGTCGGCTGGCCGGGGAATGAGGCCGAACCGATATGCTCCCTATGTAGTAGACGGTTGTCTTTAGGTAGACCAATAGAATGAAGGTAGTCATTCCTTCTATCAAGACAAAATGGTAGCAGGTGTTGGTAGGTGTTGGCACATACATGTCACAGGCGCTATTGGGTTACTTCTAACATGAATATAATCATAGGCCATTTAAGCAAGGTCAACGCCGGTGTTGCGTGGTAGTGGCCTACTATTCAAGGATGAGCATCTGGTGTAAGGAATGCCATTGTGAAGGTCACCGAATGAACGATGGGACAAAATTCACAATTACCCTGCTCGTTCCAGAAACGATCTACGTTCCCGTACATCTGAGAACCATCCCCACGAAGTGCACCTTGTGCGACCTTCAGAACAATGGCGGTTTTCGGGGTTCAGGCTCAACAACAGACTGGTTCTATGGTTCGATCTCACCGTTCAGTAGCACACGGGAAAGTGTTCGCAAAGTATGTATGATGAGATAGCTCATATACACCTCTGTGATGTGATTGGTGCCAACTTCCAGTAACGAAAACTGATGGGTAGATCAATAGTGTCTATAAGCGAGTCGAGGAATATCGTCCAGGTTGGATCGAATCAGCGAGAAAAAGTGACCGATGATGAATGAAGATGTTTATCCGGATCGTCTTGGTGCTGGCACGTATCTAGCCTAAGGTGGACTGAATTGTGGTTGGCTGTGGTCGACAATCGTGCTGTTGAGTCAAACCTCATGGAGTCCCTTAATTTGGGTGCAGGGAAGCTTTTATGCAACTTGGACGTGTTCGTCAGGCACCAGCATTTGGAAGGCAAAAGGCCAGTAGAGATGAAATAGACGAACGAAAGAGTATCCTCCGTCTATACTAGGCACGGGATGTGCGCATCCATCATTGCACATGCGAGCCTGAGTCGAGTATCTCGCGTTTCAATGCTGTCAGTAGTCGAATAATAATAATGAAGGCTCATTGTGATTGACAAAGCTGATGGTTTCTTGTAGTTAGACTAGTCAGGACTTGAAGACAGTCGTTGCTTTCTTTCACGGAGCTGTTGCAGTTGTGCGTGGCTTTCCTGACTTTTCCCGACGGGTCATCTGGCATCATTGATGTAAGATGACTCTAGTCCTAGAGCTCCAGAGAACGTCGATAAAGGAGTGAGGCGTGCGGTGTGAAGTCAGCGTGAAACTCTAACTCCATAGCTGCGAGGACTTAAAAGCAGGAAACTCATGCATCGTAGGAGACTGATTACAAATGAGTCCACTCTATGACAGCAAAGTATGCGTTGGGGAAATCCTGCGTACAATGTACTGAATGCGATGTGCCCAGTGGGCTAGGAAATCAAAAAGAGAGCCGTCATCCTCATGAGCCACCCGGGAACGTAATTTCCATTTACTGAAACCCTGGCGTAGAACCTGGAATCGAGAAAAAACTTCGTCCATGTTTGGACGCTGTGCTGGATCCGAGTGCATCATGTCCGATACCAGACCGCTCAGGAACTCCACACCTGAGTAACGCTGTTTTGCTCCAAATCAGAGTGTGAAAAATGAGAAGTCATTGTTCCACTTTACGTCAAGAAATGTTTCTTGAATAGCATGTCCAAGATACCAAACATCAGTTGGGAATGGGTTTCGAGGTTTAAAATTGTCTTCCTTGAACTCAGGCACATCTTTATCTCCACCAAAGATGGGGTCTTCTAATGGGTTGGTGTTAGACGCCTCGTACTTGCGGGAAATACCAAAGTCTATGTAGTAATATCGTGGCGGAGACTGCGTGCGCGTACGATGCCTGGCTGCGCGTTTGAGGTCCTCCGACATGTATTGTTCGCTTGGATGCCACGCATCTATGAACATACTACCGTCCATCAGTATATTCAGTTGCATACAGTCCCTTTATTTAGGTCGTGAGATAAGTCATTCGAACAACTTGAATACGTACCTGTGAGCAACGTGGTGCCTGTGCATGAAGCACAGCCCCTTCAAGCGAAGAAGAAATAGTCATGAAAAGCGGAAGTCCGCGAATAAAGACCTTACCTCGAAAAGCTGGTGGATGCAGTCTACAACTTCCCCCACTGTGTCAAAATAGGGATCCGTAGCATTTCGAAGTAACGGCATGACCAAGATCATAAGATGTTCGGCATTGGGAACCTCTAGAACGTCATAAATTGGCACGCAATGGTTGGCTGGGTCTTCGCTGAGAGGTGAGCGGGAAAAATAGCGGCCGATCTCTATCTCATACGGGTGTCGCGATACGTCAATACATTTAAGTAATACGCGAGCACCGTCTTGAGTGCGCCGTGCATCCAGTAAAAGATAGTGCTAGATGATGCATGGTAATTGATCAGCACTGCTATTAACGAAGCACCTACCGGTGACGAAATTCCATCCTCGCAATTTATGTCAACTTTGTTAGTGTTCGTCCAAGACGGCACCCAATCCGGACTGTAGCGACTGCGCAGCTTGTAGCCTTTTTCTTCCAGGAAGTTGTAGTGGTCCCTCCACCAAATCTCGTATTCAGCAAGATGTGAATGAGCAGCGGATGTCGAGGTCATCCTCAGGAAACTGATTGAGTTGTGGTATGAACTCAAAGTAAAAGGTGTCAAAGCAAGAGAACAAGTATGAACCCACATGGGTAATTCGGACCCCGGCACTTCGCGGACTTCAGAACCAGCTTACCGCTTAATTACATAATGGCAAGGCTGTCGATCGTGAGTTGTATCGCTCGTTCTGGCAGCACTCAGCAATCCATATCTACCCTGATAGGAAACTTTTATCCGAACGACGAAGATGTTCTACTGCATTCGCTGTTGTTCTATCTATTGCAATCATTACTTCAAGGATTATGATGTACATGATTTTTTGGGGTTGACAAGATTCAGGCAGCTCAAGCGTCAAATAGTCATATCACCGGCAGCTGCCATTGCCATGTTCCCATAATCTTTCTGCGGCTTGTTCTTTTTGCCGCGTATCTAGACTTACCATCTTTGATCGCCCGTGTATGGTTTTTTATATTTAACCAAGCAGCTCCGAGTCAAAGCAGGACATATTACACCAGTTCCCGTCATTTTTAGTTCTAACCAATGAATCCCCCAAATCTTCAACGACAATTCGGATCAGCACGCCCCTGGGTCCAGCGGGCCAATTTGCGAACTCGTCCATGACCGTTGTCGAGCTGAAGGGTCGAACAAAGTACGAAAAGGGAGAACACTATCTACAATCATCGCTGTCAACCCTGCAAGAGCTGGCCGACCTATTGGATAACGATCGCCTCACAGAACCTGAAAAAATCACCTACAATCGAGCTTATACCACTGGCCAGCGTCAATACGACGAGTAGGCTCACTCACTCAGCCCAAAGGCCTCGCTCATTGACCTCTGCAGAGCGAAAAAAATAAGAGACCAACTTTTGACGCAGAAGAAATCCATTCGCAAGTTCCTAATTAACCTTTTCGTCCGCAAGGATGCCCGGTTTTATAAAGTCTCATATGAGACCTTTGCGAGCATCAGAGTAAGTCGACTAGCTGCATAACAAGCATCTCAGAATAGCAGTTGAATAAAAGTACAGCGAACTTCAGAAGATCTAACTAGACGGTTGCTACCAGATAAGAGTGTTAACCCTGGTATGTCGAAAGGAAAGAGCAAGCTTCCTTGCTGACTCTAATCTACCGAACAGCATCGGGGAGTCCCGGGGAGGAGCCTGCACGAGGTCATGTCTCTGTTTGTGAGGAGAATCCACGGGAAGTGGAAGAAGGTATGTATCAAGAAGAGTAAGTTCCCCTACTGACTCCAGTCTCCCGAACAGCATCGGGGAGTCCCAGGGAGGACCCTGCGCAAAGTCATGTCTCTGTTTGTGAGGAGAATCCACGTGAAGTGGTAGAAGGTATGTATCATCTTCGCATTCTATGACAAGATACTAAGCATATTCTTGACAAAGGCGGTCTTCCAGGTTGGTGCGATCATTCTCTCCCTTCGTCCACATCTCACATGTAGTGGTTCAGTCGCCAATCTTCCTCCAAACGAAATCATTCGAGGCCTGAATGTGGAGGTACATAATGAACAAGAAGAGCAACAGGTCCTTGTGGCCCTGAATCGAATAAAGAACTCTAGAGAAGCAGACGAAGATGATGATGATGATGATAGTCAAACCAGTATGTTTTCAAAATCATCATCCATCATATATAAACTGAACTGGTTCCTGATATCTCAGTCACACCCAAACCCTCACAAAGTAGACCGTCGTCTCCTACTCCCAGCTGCACGATTGTCTGGAATAATTATTACTTCAACCGAAGTATAGTGTCATTTGATTCAGAATTGAAAGGAACAGCTTTGAACAATGGGGTGGATGGAGGTTCGTCATGTTCGCTGCCAATGTCATCATGCGATGTTTAACGACGATGAAGATGATAGACCCCTCGTGTTGGCTTACTGACTCGGATACCAATCAGCTACCGTCTCAATGACATTGATTTGTAGGTGGTAGCGTGTTCATTATGTCTAGTCGGCAGTGCTGTATCAGCAATATATCATTGATCGAACATTCGTGGGTCTCTGGATCCACTCGCAGAGCTAGAAAGTCGTGATGAGCGCGGTAACCATAATTACGCCCGTACCTCCAACCAATCCGCAATGTTACTGTCAAACCTCATTTATGCAGGTTATAAAGGGTTACAGCTTCAGTTCAAACTCCGGTAATGGTGCTATAGTACATAACTTAGTGTCACAAGTCACATTCCCAGGTTATACTCCGCGAGGTTGTAGCGATTGATGAGATCGATGAGATTTCTCAGAGATGGCACATTGTCCTTAAGAGCAGCCCACGTAACGAGTGTCAAGCAATTTGACGTATGGCTGTCAAATGACTGTCGCTGCCAGGAGGACAACATATGTGCCACTGATCCGCCACATGATGAGTATCACCATCTACTCCTTGTTCTATCATGGCTACTGCCGTTAAAAACCACAGTCCTCAAAGATCACAGCAAGACCGTGCAGCACGGTCTTGCTGTGATCTTTGAGGACTGTGGTTTTTCTGAACTGGACCAAGTTTCTTTCTTTCTTTCATAGCAAATAGGTGTGTATGACACATAATAGAGGTAGTAGTAAGGGCTTACAGCGCCTGAAAAATGTGTACAAGTTGCTGCAGGAAGCTGACTACGAGCGTCCAGACTCCACAAACTATCGATTTCCTTTAAAATTTTTGCGATTGGCAGTAGTTTTGCGAACAGCTGCAATTACTCAATGCACGTCGGACAAGTTGCTTGAGCTTTCTCTTGGAACATTAGGGAACAATAATACCCAGAAGCTGGCGGCATCAATGCATCACTGAGTATATAATAAATGTTGCTGCAAAGGAAATTACATAAATGAAACATGAAATTTCCCGACCCTTTTTGGCTGGTCACCTGACGTCATTGTCAGCATCTTGCTCAGCCATTGCCAGCACATTCATATGATCGCAAACCCTGCCAGTCTACTGCGGTATCACAGGTCTGTTGCGTCTTTCACCGGCATCAGAAGAGCCTCTTTCCTGACTTTCAAATATCGTTTCCATCAATCCTCCTTCGCCATGGGCGCTAACTCCAAGTCTGAAGACGAATGGCGTGCCATCTTGTCTCCAGAACAGGTGTGTTCTCCAATCTACACATTAGACATATGTTCACTCCTTGCGTCGGAGATAGTTTAGAATTCTCCGTCAGAAGGGAACAGAGGCACCCGACACAGGGAACTACAATCACCATGACGCGCCAGGCGTGTACGCCTGTACTGGCTGTGGGACTCCACTATACAAGAGCAGCACGAAGTTTAACAGCGGCTGCGGATGGCCCGCTTTCTTTGATGGTAATTTATCATTCTGGAAAAGCCATCTTCTCTCTCATGGTTCATCGTAGCGATCCCTGGTGCCGTTAGTAGGCATCAAGATCGGTCAATGTTTATGACTAGGATAGAGATTACCTGTACCGCATGCGGTGGCCATCTCGGGCATGTGTTCAAGGGAGAAGGATTCGATACGCCAAGTACGCTCCTTTCTATCTTGCATAATTTGATCTGGGCCTCACAACCTCTACAGCCGACGAACGACACTGCGTGAATTCCGTCTCGCTGAACTTTAAGGAGGAATAAAGTTTTGGTTGTATGAATATCATTATAATTTAGATACAATATGTAGCATTGGCCGGTGATGCGTTGTCGATTATGAAATTGAGCTTATTCAGTATCTCACCTGAGGAAGAGGACATTAACAATAGTTGAATGTCAACAACGATTAACCAGGTGATGCACTTTGATAATAAGAATGCATAGATAAGTAGTTCCTCACTTCGATAAGAACGTCCACGCAGTCCCAAATACGACCTGGAGATGATAAGCCAAACTCAGCACTGAGGCACTGTTGCAAATGGACGAATGAGAGGGAGACCTAAGTATAGAGCCCAACTAAGCAACAGCAGAACGTGAATACAGTATCGGGCGATACATGATAGGATTGAGAATCGAGAAACACAAGATACATAAACCTCGGACGATAACTGGTGACTTGCAGGCGAGTGAGCTAGGACCGGCTCCATCTGTATTGATGAAATTCTCCGGGAATTAAGAAAGGAGAAAGTGTTTGTCATCAAAGCGGACAACATATTGGCTTATATTCAGTGGACACCAACTGCCTGGTATTGCTTCACGCGGTTGATAAAAACGGTCACCTTGTACGCGGTAAGTAGCAAACAATATGTCTGTTCCTGTGTTGTGGTCCCAAATGTCGCGCTGAAGAAGAGCATGCGATGTCCACACGTTTGTGAATGTCGGCTGCCAGCTGGTCATTCTGATGGAAGAATCGATGACTTGCAGAAATCCAGACGCGTCTAGTCACGTGCCAACAAAATAAATGTCTTGCAACTTATGTAATCATGACTTGCGAACCCCCTAACACTTCAACAAGGAACTTACTAAGAACAAAGAGTGCCGGATCGCGAGATCAGCCAAAGGATCTAGGGCAAGAGTTCATCCAGTTAAATAATCAAACACTATTCCTGGTAGAAAAATTATGAGAATGTCGCGTAGAAAGTCGTGACCGTGCAGGCTGTGGTATGAGATAGCCAAGATCGAAGCTCTATATGAAGAGCGCGGGGGGCATAAAGGAGCAGATCACAGTGACTCCATGTTGGCGACCATGTTGTCCAGTTCTGCTTGGGACTGCTTGTACTTCTGTTGCATTTCCTGTGCAAGAGTGTTAGTTGGCATGTCTAACAGCGTAGAGCGCATCGAGATACCTCAAACTTCTTCTCCCATTGATCACGCTCTTGCTCGATCCGTTGAACTTGGCGCTCGAAGTGTTCTGCCTTGACGTCCACTTGCCGCAGCCTGAATAGGTAATTAGTCGTTGATAACAGATGATGGTAGTGGCTACAACGTACTTCTCCATCGTTTCTTTCACGTTCTTCTCAGCAGCATCAAGTTCCTCCTCCAGTAACGCAATCTTTCTCGTAAGGTTCTCATTCGTGCTTCTCAATGATTCTCCCTCGTCCTGTGAAGCCTTGGCTTCCGCAAGTTTCGCATCTACCTTGTCAAGTTCCGCCTCAAGAACAGAGATCTTGTGGGTCATCGAAGTAATCTCCTGGTCCTTTTCAAGGATAAGTTGATCATATTTCTTGTTCTTGCCTTCTGCTTCTTCAGCGCGAGTGACCGCATTGTCTGCCTCCAAGCGCAGCTGGTTCATTTTCTACAAGCGCATGTTCAGTAAGATCGAATGTACGCAAACGATCGCTGCCGACCTCTTTGATCTTCTCCATTGTGTTCGATGGATGTACAGATGGTGTAGACAGTGGTAATGATGAACGAGGAAGGAAACCAACTTGGACGGGCACCTTGCTGGGCACTGCCAATAGCCACAGTCAGCTTAAATGGGATGATATCGTGGGAAACCTGAAATCGACCAGAAAGCAAGCACTTGCCTTTTCCGATCATGACAGGTCAAATCTGGTTAAGCTGAGACGAGGCTGGTTTGCTGGCGTCTCTGTTCCTTGAAGAAATACAATCAGTGTCCAACGTACTCGACGACGAGCAAGAACCGTGAATCGTACAGATGAGCGCACCGGTCGCGCAAGAGGGCAAGTGGCAGATGATACTTTTGATCCCGGGCTTCACTGACTCATTCTTATATCAGAACTACCGATCCTCGAGGCCGTGATCAAGTAAGTCTGGTGCGCTCTTGCGCTCTTATTGCTATGCGTGCAACGAACCCTTACCCACCGCAGCATACGAAACCGGCTTACTGCCCTGAAGAGGGACCGTGCCGAGTTTATCAAGCCGTCAGATGTGAATGCCCTTTACCAGGCCGTCGTTAAACAAGGTAGCTATAATTCTTTCTTTCTTTCAAAGTACTATTTTATCTCATTTTGAATATTTCTCTCCGATAGTCACAAAACTCAACGATGTTCGTGACGACAACACAACTTACAACAATCGAGTGGATACAACACTGGCCGATGTGTTCAGCCTCCTTTCCTTGTGTTATCTTACATTGGGGCGAACGAAGGAATGCCCCGCTGTGTACTCACAGCTGGCCTCCATGAGGGTCAGTATTTCATTTCTCTACCATTTCATTAATACTGCGGATGATAAGCGCCCTGCGTTGTGGAGATCCAGCCGGCTATTACCCACCGCATTCCATAATGTCACGATGTCCTCAGACATCCGTCTGCTGCATGAAGATTCGTACTGATCTTTATTTGTCATGCACAGCAATTCCTCAGTCACATGGAAGAATCAGGAGTCTACAATGAATCGGACCTAGCCCCTTTCCAACGGAGACTAAGCGAGCTCCGACACATAGTACAACAAGATGCTGAGAGCAGCAAGCACCCCGAAGCTATGACGAAGCTCCTGGAGCGCCAGTTCAATGAATGTGGTACGTCTTCATTTCCGAATATCCTTTTTGAAGTCACTAAATGTGTGCTGCGGTTCTAAAGATGTTATCATGCGATCACTTCAAGATTCCCTGTCGGTGCTCTCAGTAGAGCTGGTTCCCATTCATGAACGCCTCGTCACGATTCGCAGACAACTCGTTGCGCTGGCTGCCAAAGAGGGCTCACACAAAGCCGAAATAAAGTCTCTGGCCGAGGAACTGCGTAAGATTGATTCGTGAGTGCGCCATCAACTAAACCGCATCTTCCTTCTTCAACACCTTCACAGCAAACGTGTCGACGGAAAATTTCTTGGCCCAGGAGGAACCATGCCAGCTTCTCAAGCGCTTTGCACCTCCCTCATCGAAGAATGTTTTGACATCCTGCAGCAAATTAAAGCGCAGGATGAGTCAAAGAACGTAGCGTCTTCTCTCAAGCCCATTCATGACCGCCTGAACGAGCTGCGCGCGGAACTGGAGAACCTCGTCCTCACGCATAGATGGAGTCTCCGCGAGACAGATCTCTACAATTATTCGATGAGCCTGCAGGAGATCGACAAGATGCGTATTGATGGCAAGTTTGTCGATACAGAGGGTAATAGGCCACCAGGACAGTATGTGAGTGGTGCCTGTACTTGGGGCAAGTGCAACTATTCACAGATGTGCAGGTTCTGCTGTACTTGTTGAGACGGTGTTATGGTCTTATCTACCGTCTGTTATCGTCGAGCGAGCCAGTATCCGAGGAACTCATCCCCATCGTGCGTCTGTCTCCCATCTGTCCTCGATTCTGTTTCTCATACATCGCATGTAGGCCAATAAACTCTCCACAGTGAAGAAGTGTCTCAACGAAGTATACAAATTTGGTGGTCCATTTACGCCTCGGGACCTCTACCCCGTGAGTTTCCGGTTCTTCGATTCTTTTGGTATCAGCGAGCTCATTTTTCATAGTATCAACTGGCCCTGCACCAGATCGACTCTATGCGGAAAGACGGCAGATTCGTGGGCGTAGGTGGAAATGTTCCCGAAGGACAGGGTATCGTCATGGCACACCTGAACGAGTGTCATGAACTACTAGAGATGGTGCGTACTTGTACTTCCCAGAACAGTAATGCTGACGTAATCTAGCTCAAGGAGTCCATGGGCGAAAACGAAGACTATGACGACGAAGATGAGAGCGAAACAGGAGTTGCAGAATGAAATTAATTTTACCATGTTTCCAACTCTGCCGAATTCGATGTACCCCACTTACAGGCCTCGTATCTCATCGTGCTGCTGACTTATATACAATATCACAATCGCGCTGCGAAAATAATCATGGTATTCGCGATAGGACTTTAGTGCGTGTCCATTATAACAATAACCGGGAGAGATACACAAGGATATCTAATCTACGAGGAGGTAAACGACGAGACGTGGTCCTCGACGACCTTCTTGATTTTTGCTTCCATCTCGGGGGTAACATTGCCAGTCGCTATCTCTTCCAGAAGCACAGTTTGGGTGGCAGTCAGATGTGAACGGAATTCGGCTTCCCATGAAGTGATTTTGTCAACAGGGATGGAGTCAAGCTGCGTGATAGAGATCAGTGAGCAGTAGGTGAGGCTTAGAAGATAGGTTACGCACGAGACCGTTGACACCAGCGTAGATGATGGGCACCTGGATTTCGGTAGGCAGGGGCTGGTATTGGCCTTGCTCTATTAAAAGACATGAGTTATATTTGTAGATCATCGAACGCATTTGCTTACTGAGGAGCTCAGTCAAACGTGCACCACGGGAGAGGAGGAAACGTGTTGAAGCATCGAGATCTGAACCGAATTGGGCGAAGGCAGCGACTTCACGGTACTGGGCAAGGTACAACTTAAGAGAACCGGCGAACTTCTTCATGATCTTCCTATAGGCAGAGAAGATTGGGTTGAGGATGTCATACAAAAAACATAACGAGATACAAACGTTTGGGCAGCAGAACCAACACGAGACACGGAGAGACCGACATTAATGGCGGGACGCACACCACGGAAGAAGAGCTCAGCCTCCAAGAAAATTTGACCGTCAGTGATCGAAATGACCTATACGCGAAATGGGAATCAATAAATGTGTGACGCTGAGCTAATATCACCTACGTTGGTAGGAATATACGCGGAGACATCACCACCTTGAGTCTCAATGATAGGAAGCGCAGTGAGAGATCCACCACCGAACTTGTCGCTCATCTTGGCAGCACGCTCAAGGAGACGGGAGTGGAGGTAGAAGACGTCACCAGGGTAAGCCTCACGACCGGGAGGACGACGGAGGAGGAGAGACATCTGACGGTAAGCAACGGCCTGCTTCGACAAGTCATCGTAAATGATGAGGGCTAACGTAGTTCTCAGTACCGAGTTCGCCCGAAGAAGCGAATAACAGCATACCATGCTTGCCGTTGTCACGGAACCACTCGCCCATAGCACAACCAGAGAAGGGCGCAAGGTACTGCAGGGGAGCAGCCTCTGAGGCGGTAGCAGCAACAATGATAGAGTATTTCATTGCGTCGTTTTCCTCGAGGGTCTTGACAAGCTGAGCGACAGTCGAACGCTTCTGGCCGACAGCGACGTAGACGCAGTATAGCTTTTTGTCCTCATCCTTGCCATCATTCCATCGCTTCTGGTTGAGAATGGTGTCGATTGCGACGGCGGTCTTTCCAGTTTGACGGTCACCAATGATAAGCTCACGCTGACCACGACCAATGGGCACCATGGCGTCAATGGGCTTAAGACCAGTCATCATAGGCTGGTTGACGGAACGACGAGGCAAGATACCGGGGGCCTTGAGGGAGGCACGCCTCCGCTCGGCAGCCTCAATAGGACCCTTTCCGTCAATTGGGTTACCGAGAGCGTCAACGACACGACCAAGAAGACCTGGGCCAACGGGAACATCGACAATTTGACCAGTACGCTTGACAGTGTCGCCCTCCTTAATGAGACGATCGTTACCGAAGATGGAGACACCGACGTTGTCGGCTTCCAAGTTGAGACACATGCCACGGACGCCAGACGAGAATTCCACCATCTCCTCGGCTGCGAACCAGGTCATTTGCATGGAATGAATGGTCGAGATGTACGACTTACCCTGGACATTTTTGAGACCCCAGACACGTCCAATACCGTCACCGACGCCTGCGAATGCTATGAGACTAATTGACTGACAATGACCACCGCGACTACGCACTCAAGACACGGCCAGTCTCCTCGACGTTTCCACTAATGGCGGTACCAGCGATACGGGACTCCAGTATTGAAGAGACCTCGGACGCGGCTGTTTATGGCACGCAATGTAATAAATGACACCGGGAAGTTCCAATACACGTCAAACACAGCAGGACACGCTATAAAGGAGTACGCACCAGGCTTTGCGGTGGCATATGACCGGGCAGCAAGTGCAGCAACATTCTGAACATAAAAAAGTTGTATGAGCATGGAATTGAGTAGGAAAAAACGGCAAAAGCAGGACCTTGGGAGCAGCGGCAAAGGCAGCTCTGCGCGCCGAGTTCTGGAGAGCGATTCTGTGCATTGTCGCGACAGGAAAGAATTGGATGAGAAGGAACGAGCAGAGTCGGTGTTAAAGGAATTTCTCGGAACAGACTTAATTTAAATCTCCGACTAAATTAGCTCTCCGTGTCACGGTGTCACGCGGTCACGTAGTCTTTACTTGAAAACAGCTGCTAGTCTTCATTTCGCCATGGCTAGTTGGCAAATTCGCAATTGGCTATCAAATAATCTGAGACGCGGTCTGTCATTTTTTACATATTTGCAGTGCTTTCTGACATGATTTTTAGTGGCGTCATGTTCGGTGTCGACGCAGGCGGCGCTTCCGAAAAACACTTGTGCCGCGTTTTCTCTTATCCGCTCCCAGCCTTCGCAATACATTGTCGCGTCTCTCGCAGGACGTAAATATCTCCTCGCACCCAGGGACTTACTCACAGTCCCGCATCTTAAAGACGTACATGTTGGCGATGTGTTGGCGTTGCAGGACATACATGAAGTTGGTTCACGGGATTACACCCTTCGCGGTGATCCCATAATATCCCCAAGTCGCGTCAAGGTTGAAGCTACCGTAGTCGAGCATACCAAGGGCAAAATGGAGGTGGTGTTCAAGAAGAAGCGTAGAAAGGGTTACCAGAAGACGATCAAGAACAAGCATCCATACACTCGTCTGCGTATAGGCTCCATTGAGTTCCCCGAGCCTTCGAATCCATAGCATTAGTCTGAGCACTACTAATAATGTTTTGTTTTCTAATCTGAATGATCACACGAGAAAACTGAAGTCAGTGAATATTAAAAATGCAGTGTATAAGTATCATATCTCCCCTTCTTCAGGCGTTTCCGCCCTCCGGGATCGTTCTCCGCGTTCTTCCCTAGAATCTATATCAGGATCATAACGAGCACGTTTTTCAGCGCGTTCACTATGTGCCCTATCAGAGCCCCGTTTCCGTTCTCTGCTCTGTTCAGGTTTATCCCCTACATGATCAGCCTCTTCCTCATCACCGTATGGAGGCGCATCAGTCCGCCCATAACCACGCTCCCTCGAACCTTTCCTACGTTTGCGTTCATCCTTACCATCCCGCTCGTCTCGCGAATGCCGTTTATGCTCGCGATCTCTGTCTCTTTCCCTGTCCTTCTCCCTTTCACGTTCACGGTCCTTTTCCCTCTCCCTCTCACGTTCACGGTCCCTCTCTCTGTCACGCTCACGGTCCTTTTCCCTTTCCCGCTCGCCATGCCCATCCTTGTCACGCCCATGGTACCCATCATGGTCCTCGCGATGGTGATGTCTCCTGTCCGCTCACGGTCCCGCTCACGATCTCGCTCGCGGTCTCTCTCTCTGTCACGGTCATCGCGGCGGTCACGGTCACGATCCCGCTCACGTTCGCGCTCGGGGTCCTTGCGACGTCTACTCGTGGTTGAAGCACCATCTTCCGACAGAGCCTCACGTAGTCGTTCCTTTTGCCTCTTCACAAACTTGAAAAAGGCTAAACGTCGACCCTCCTCATCGTCTAGGGCTTTGTACTCAGGGAGGTTCTCGATGAAGGGGACAGCCTGCAGAAGGATTTAAATTAATATCTGATGTTAAAGGAGGGCCACGAAAGACGCACAGCTTCATAGGACAACGTGATGTCAAGCGGCTCGGGAAGCTTCTTCATCGCGTAGCGAAGATCATCTTGCAGGTGCCTCTGCCTCCTCTCTGCGCGGCGCTTTTCTTCATTCTGCTTCTTCACGACTTGATCGTGGACCTACCAGACTCATGAGCACTCTCGTTATCTACACACTGAAAAGTAACACACCGTGTCATACACCTCGCGTAAATCATCCTCCCTGAGCTTACCTACGCTGTCGGGATCCCTCCTCACGCGAGCCTTGAACTCTTCGAATGTCGTCTGCACGCTCACCACGCTCACAGTTTCTTTCTCCTTATCACTTTTCACTACATCCATGGTATTGGGGTCATCGCCACGCCTGGCACACTCCTCAGCAACAGCGATCTTAGCATCGAGCCTCTGGTCAAGTGCGTCGACAGCATCCCAGAAGAGTTCCAAGGGATTCGATCCAGGCTTGCCGAGTATATTGAGGTATCGCTGATCAGAAGCAAAAGTCGGGTAAACATGACGCCATTTGCTGCGCGCCTTGATTTTTCCAGCAGTCACGAGGTCCTGCAGCAATGCCTTGAACGCCTCTCTGGCTTTGCGCTCCTCGCGTGTCTTCTCAACTTGTGCGCGACGCATCTGCTCTTCAAACTCACGTTCTTTGACACGCGAGTAATCTTCGAACGCAAGGAGGATGTCTAGCGTAGGAAGCTTGCGCAGCTCGGGATCAGCTTGCCAGTCGGGGGACTCAGTGACCATTTCGTGGGCCTTGCGCCAACGTGTGAGGACATCCACATCGAGTTCTTTGAAAAGAGACACGACTTTGGAGGTCGCACGCGTGCGCGCAGCACGGGTTTCTTGCTGTGGATGCGAGTGTGGGTGAGGATGCATTTCGCGACCAGGAGAGTAAAAAAGAACGCACCACTTCACGTTGCTTGAGCTCTGCCACGTACTCCTCGAATATCAGCCTTCGCTCAGCCTCGATACGAGCTTGCTGCCATATGGGATGCTGCGAGAACAATTTATCCGCAGTAGCGAACGTAGTGTAATGAAACACGCTCGGATTGCCCTTGAGCATGTTGCGTATAGCTGGGCGGAGCTTCGAAAGCCGTGCTTCACGCTCTTCTTCTTCCTTCTGACGCAGACCATCTGTGTACTGTGCATGTCACGACAATTAAGTAATATGTTATACCGTGAACGAGGGAAATGCACCTTCTGCCAAGTTGCTTTCTTCTCAGCTAGTGAGTTCAAGGCCTTGTACAACGGATCCGTGATGATGGTGCGCATAGTCTGGTCCCATGTCCAGTCTGCGTCAACGCCCGCCTTGCGCAAGAGATGCATAAAAGCTTTCTCACCCTCCTCAAAGGTGGCGAAACCGTTGTGAGGAATGGTAGGGTCATCCGGAAGGTTCGGCCGTGCAGGGAGAACACCTGTGTTACTGAAGGGAAGCGCGCCAGAGCCTGCGAGGGCTACGGTGCCGTCAGGCTGCGCTGGGGCTGTCGGAGCAGGATTTGAAGCAGATGGTGTGCTGTAATCAAACGGTAAGAAGAAAGTGCAGGGAAATAGGTTAGGGACATACGGAATGGAGCCAGCAACCACAAGTTGACTGTTTTGCTTCTCCTTCTCGACTTTTTCCAGGAGTAGGAGCAGCTCGTCTGGCATGTCCCATTTTGATTCTTTTGATTCAGTCTGTTCAAGTAGATTAAACACTGATGAGAAGGATCTTTATCGTTGGACATACATTATAATAATACTTCCTGCCCCCGGAGAAGTATTCTTTCCACTTTGTCTCCCCGAGAGCTTTCTGAAGTGACAGGTGAGTATGAGCACACGGCTAGAGGGCAGAATATTGAATCACCTCAAATGGAGTCTTCAAGTCTAAACAATTTACATTCAGCGCAGGACTGGACAGACAAAACCTCGATACGCACCATCTGGCTTCTCCCAGACACTTTCACGAGTGCCAGGTATTAAACCAGTATGTCCTTCCCTCGGGATTTCGATGCTCGGTCTATCCTGCCTAGTCAGTATCCTTTCTATGAGAAGGGATGACGACGAGACTTACCCACATACTTTGCGAAATGGCAAGCCGAATCGACCAAAGTATTTGATCACACCTAAGTTCTTCAAACTCCGACCTGACTTGATTAGTCATCACACATCAGCTGTCACATTCGTACCGTGAATTCTGCCGCACTCCGCTGCTTAGGCCTAGGTCTGGGACTACTTCGATCGATCCGGCACTGTGCCAGTAGGCTCAGAACCTCAGCATTCTCGTCCGAAGAGGGCACATTCAGTTAAAAATCGTATTATAACCGCACGAAAGAAAGGCACTGGTGCACTTCAACATCACTTGAACTCTACCAATATTTCATCATCTATTCTAACTTTAGTCTATTCCAGATACCTAACAGTAGACATTGATGCCAGAGTCAGTGACACTCTGATGCCTGCAGCGATCATGACAATGGGCTGCGACTGTGTTTCGGTTTCAGATACTTGAGATCATGTACCTAGTCGACCTCCTGGCTCCTCATGGCTGCAGAGGTCCTCCCAGCTTGTTTTTTGATAGCCCAGGTTCCTCCTGGTTTGTAATCGAGGACCATGTTTTCTATAGTTTTTCTCGGTCGAAACATTATGCCAGCGTTGACTACTCACACTTCCCGCCCCAATCCTCCACTCATGGCAGCTCCATCTCCATCATTAGGCCCCTTCCCCATTTTCAGCTGCCGACATCCTCAAATTCAACATTACAGCCAATTGCTCCACTTCCTTGGTCTCCATTTTTGATATTAGTTTTTTTTCGTTCTCTTTCCCTTTACTTATCTCACTACGCATTCTCTGTAGTTGTGTGCTTGTCTGTTTGAATGTTGTTGTGGTTGTGGTCCAGCGTCTTCTCTCGGCTGTCTCTTCCCAATATCCGACCCGTACCCTCTCAGTATCTCGTCTCTCAACTTCTTCGTTCTCTTGCGTCCCTAACCTGAATCATGGCCTGCGAGCTTGTTTTATAATTTCTGTTCTTTCGCCCTGTGCTAACTGCCTCATCGCCTAGAGGCTCTACTTTCCACTGCCTTGCAGGCTACGATGGCGACGAGGTTCTCGGCCACAACTGCCGTACCTGCAATCCCCAGCTGCAAACATACAAAAGCTCCCTGCGAATAGGGCTATGTCCTACATAGGGTCTTCGACCCCGAAGGACAATAAAACCGATTCAAAAAAAACATACAAAAGGACAAGGGGTGCCGCTTCGCCACCTTGGGGCACTTGAAAATGCCCTGGTCTCGTTACTCGTATGAATACCAAACCAGCCTCATCTACCCAAGAAGTGGGGAAACCGTCGTTATCATCCTTATCAAGTGAAAAAGTCAATTCCACCGAGAACCCCTATGCGAGCCTGTATCGTGAATTACATCAAACCGCAAACGTTTGCGCGCCTCCCTAGCTAGAGGTAGGTCTACATTGTTCAATCACGTCCTGCACGTACCATGTCTTATCATAACCTCAAGTTCACGACCTGCCTCACATTTGTACCTTGTGCTTAAGTTGAAGAAAAAGTATTGCATAGACCAAGATCTCAAAGCAGACAGCTATCTCCGTGGGATGTTTAAACGTTTACACTTAACCTCCATGTTATACCACAACCACGATTACTCTGCTGCTGTAGGTCAGTCTTTCAGAATTCCGAGCTGATGTTCACAGACGAACCTAACCCAGTAGGGTGTGTCTGTGTCTTCACATATGCATCCGGGAAACGCGGGACAACGCGACAGGGAAATGTCTCCGGATGGCTGAAAAAAATAAGACATCAGCAGACTACCCTCGAGTACATGCAATTTTCCAAACGTTATGAAACCAGTGCTGAACTTCGGAACGATTGGGATTTCCGCACCGCGTTCATCGAGAGCTTTGCGGGCCGAGAAAAATGCCAGGAAATTCACGATCGCTACCTAGATTGATGCGTCTGCCACATACCGTCGTATGTTACTTGAATAATGGTCCCCTATCTATACTATATACTATGGTTGAAGTATCGTAATGGCGCTCGGCCGTGCCACTGCCAGTCCTCGACACCTACTTACGACAATCAATTTCTCGGTTTGATCAGAGTTTATTGAGTTGTACCTCTACATACAGTTTCTGCATGTGCGCTCTACTGGAAGGTGAAAACGGAACGGACATAACGTCGTGTTCACTGTGCAGTACCTTACGAGATGGCAGGCGCACGGTGAGCATATTGCCTTGGTCCCCCAGCCAGCCGACATGCTCACCGCGACAAGAAGCCAGTGCTTTTGGCGCGGGCAGCACTTGGCACACGAAAGTCGGATTTGGATAACTTACGTAGTACGGAAGACAAGTTTTACGAAAACATGGGTGGACCGTCTGCCATAGACAAATAATCATTGTCAATCAAGTGGTATGTAAGTATGACCTGGGGGAACGCTCATGCTGCATCTATTTGGGTTTCGCATCACGACATAACCAGGGTTGGCAGGCCGCATTTTTAACGCTCAAGGTAGCACCTCTAGCTACTTAGGGAGTATTGGACGACCTCATGATGTGCCTCTCCCGCGACATTATCGTACCTACCCACTGTATTTGTACCTAACCCAAAACGATTAGTTCTGGCGCTAGATGAACTAGCTCACATAGAAACTGACCAATTCGTCCTGTTTAATTCGTGGTGAATAGATGAACGACTGAAAATGTTATCATGCCATACCTTGCAATAACTGCTTCCTTTCTTACTGCACGCTTAGGGTCATCCAAAACCTTTGCCAACTCCTTCAGTACCCGCGTCTTATAAGGATGCAGCAAATCATATCGCACAGTGCCTGGCAGCAACGCCAGGTATTTGAGCGCTGCCGCGCGTACTCCCTTTAGTCATTGAGTATTTCGAACAGAACGAATGAGTGCGTGAACGACGCACAGGGTCAGGCATTTCCGAATACATGCAATTTTTCAGCATGGCAAGCACAAGAGTCGACGCATACATCGAGACAGCATCCTTATCAGCGGATGTAATCTCGATATTGTTGGACAGTGTGTTAATAATGTGTGAACGAATGGATGGGTCATCGAGGTCGAGTCCGCGTAGTAGGATAGGCATCAGCTAGGGAAACACCGTCAGTAAGCCAGCTAATATGTTGTGGTTGAATAAATGATGGCTCACTGAGGGCATCTGAGTAACGTAGACCGCCTTCGGTACAACATTGATGAGGTACGCCAAAGCAACCAGATATGCAGTCTCTTTTCGCGATCCTTGCGAATGGGAAATGTGTTAAATTATATGGAGTATGAACACCTGACATACCCTTGACTCCTTCTAACAACCGCGGCATCACTGCATTGAAGTACTTCTGCACGTGTAGAATCTAGAGATATGTGGTTTTTTTTGGATTCTGCTAAGTTGCCTTTGCATACCTTAAAAACCGCATTATTACGCTTCGTCAATACGACATCCTCGCTTGCAAGCAAACCAATTGCTCGCGCTGCATCCCAGTCGACTGTGCTGTCATCCAAAAGCTCGAACAAGTGATCAATGAATGCATTTGCGGAGGGGTGAGAGCGCACAAGGAGCGCCCTCGTGACCTGGAGAGCAAAATTAGCGCAAATAGGATGCGAATTAAAAGACGAGTACGGATATCCAGGTATTAATCGCGTTCTTGCGTGCTTCTGCTGGGATACTAGTGTTTTTGAGGGCTGATGACGAATAGCCCTCCAGCTGGAATGTCAGAAAGTCAGATACATCTGAAGAGAAGTGATCAGTCTGATTACAATGAAAAAGATGTTATGAATCACCGTCAACATGTTTATTGACATTGGACACAATAACGTGGGACTGCAGCTTCTCGTTGGAACGCTGTACTAGATGGGTTGTCACTCCACGCGACTAGTTCAGAGAGGAAAGTGGATAGATTGTCGACAGGCATGCGAACCTTGGAGCAGCATCAACAAAAGCACCGAAATTCAGCTTGAAAAGCGACATACCTCCTTGCGTAATGAGACAATGGCAGAAGAGAAAAGAGTGAAACTGTTCCGTTGTCGGGGACTGGCATCGAGCTAGGATCAGAGTAAATGTTACATATATGAGGGGAATGTGAATGTTGCACTCGCATGGAGAGGTGCGAATAGTGTGGTCGAGTTTAAGAGACCGCCAGTAATCAGCTTCACGTCACCTTGCGTGTAGGCGGCAAACACGGCGGCAACAAGTTTTTCTTGCCGCCTGCCACCTTGGTCAATGGCATCCACCCAGAGATAAGACAGACTCACGCAACATTCAAGGTCTGACTCACAAGCCTGATAATCCTCGCCCCGACTTGCAACAGCCTCGGATCTGCAGCGATAGCCACCACTTCCGAGCTCGCTAGCGCAGCATCCAAGTACAATTTGAACATGTGCGGCAGTAGCTGCTCGGCGTACTTGGGGACATCTACGTCTTTCGAAGAGACTTTGACGTCAAGTGTATTTGCGAGTGCCGTGAGGATAGCATGGGCGTACGCAGTTGTACTTTCCTGATCAATCGTCCGAGTTGGCGAGATTGCACAGAGGAGATCAAGTTTAGCGATGAGCCTGACAACTAACGTCTCAAAAAGTTGTGGTTGCACACAAAGGGCACTGAGAGACGAAAGAGCGCGCCAGTAAAATGCGCGCTGCGTGGTGGCATCCCTAGATGGAGTAACATCCGGGAGGAAGGAAATAAGGATTGGGAGCGTCTGCGATGATAGATGGTGCGGCGCAATACCAGCGATGGCAGAGAGGAGTGCAAGGGTGTCCGTGCTGAAGCCAAGAACCTCAGTAGCTCATCGTAGATAGAGAGAGAAAACGTTCATACGTTACATCTTCTACTTCATCAGGCTCCTTGCGTAGCAGCTCGCTGACCTCAAGCACTATATACCCAAGCTCATCATCAGCTACTAGTTCAGGAGTGCGCACAAGTGCGGTTAGGCCATGTAGTGCTGGAAGGCATGTCGCAGGTGCTTTCAAACTGACAATGAGGAGCCCAAGGAGGGCATCCTTCGAGGCAGTGAGTGGGGATAATGTTGAGTGCGAAGACTGAGAGATGGAGGCATTCGTAGCATCACCCCAGCAGGCTTCGATCAACTCCGTGAGTAACATAACCACTGAGGCCCTATTCGATACCTCATTCTGGGTCATGGAAATTTCTGATAAGAAGTTCAGCAGCTTGGGAGACTGCAAAACTAGATAGTTGCTCTGGTGAATGAAAATTGTTGAGATCCAGCTTGTATCGCCGTGCGGTGCTTACCGTCAGCTCGAGCAAAGGCACATACAACCTTCATTGCAGCTCTTGCTGGAGCTTTCTCAGGCTCCTTCAACGCTTGCATGCACTCGCTACACATGTCTCGTGCGAGGCCTGTGATGGAGTCCTCGCTTACTGCGTCTTGGGATTTATCAGTATGCATGGTTCTAACAAGGACCTGCAGTGTATTAAGGGCTGAATGTTCTGTATCTGGATCAGTCGGTTGGAAAATCTGACTCAACGTAACGTTATACTCAAAATTTCGGGGAATGGAATCTTACTTCGAGTTTCAGAGAGCTCCAGATTTTCTTCCCGAACTCGCGCGACACAGTAGATCCGTAGACTGGAAGACAGACGTCCATTGCATGTAAAGTATCTCGCTGCAGATAGGTCATTAGATTGAAATTTAAATGTCATAAGTGTAGCAGTAACCTTGGTTGAGGGTGATCCAGCAGTGAGTTTTTCCAGAAAGACTGGAATTCCAAGGAGCCCGAAGGCTGGAGTTGCGCTCAGACAAAGTCTGCAGTAGCATTAGCGGATGGAAGACATAATATGTAAGACCTCGTTGCACCGAAGAGATTGCTTCAGATCATCTGCACTAATGCCATAGGGATCGTCAGGTGGTGGTCGGAATGTGATGGGAAAGTAGCAGAATGTTATGTCAAAGAAGTCCTATGTGCAACAATTGAACATGGAGCAGAAGACATAAAAGCGAAGCCTACCTCAATACGAGCATGAGTATCGAATTCTACCAGCACAACTCGAGCGATGGCAAATGCCAACATGAGATTCCGAGGGTCTTTCTCTCCAACCGCAAGGTTCACGTATCCTGCAAGGAAAGTACTGCCCATCTCCTTGAGGGTATCTCGATGGCTAGCTATCAGGGAATCGACGATTGAGAAGACGAAGAAGCGAGTGGACTGCACAAGGGCTCTCATTTTGACATTGGCAAATATACTAGGGGGTGTTGAAAGTAATGAAAATGCGCAACGATTCAAGTACGTACGCGTTTAAAACATCCTTCACCTCAGCCGACTGTATGTTAGGAAACTTGACAAGGTAAGAGAGGCCATTGAGTGCAGGGATGATGGTCTCAAGATCTTCAAGCTTGCTGCAATAAAACGTGGTGAGCACACGGACTAGTAAAGGCAGTGAGTATAATTGATTCATCCTTGAGGTCATTTGTACTTACTAGCCTGACGATTAAGCCTTTCGTGCGGGCATCGTCCAAGAACAGATGAGAGAAACTCGACACCTGCGAGGAGTGAGCACAAGAACATCAGGAAGTGACGGACAAGTTCACCTTTCGTCCGCAAGCGGTCCTCCTCAGATGTTAAGAATTCACCAAGAGCCCTTATAATCTCTAACAAAGTTAATTGTCCACTTGATATTCCTGAAGAATGCGTTTAAGTTCAATTTGATATCGCCTTGCAATGAAAGGTGTACCAGCAACACTCTCATCGACCTCGGAGTCTTTCTCTGATGCCATCCAGGAGCGAACCAAGCGTTCTGCTGTAGCCATTTTCGTTGAACTGTGGTACCAGCCGATACTGGAAGGCAGTGGCAGTTGAAGGAGATTAGATTCATTAGATGAGTCGAAAGCGGAAGCTGAACAACTCAACATCGGCGCACATTGTCACACGGAAATTTGGATCATGTTTCTTTTGAAGCTCAATTGAAGGTGACTACATATATAGCGCCAGCTGGTGACTTGTAACTTTCACCAGTTTTGACCTGGCAAATGCTTCGCAGCGCACTTTCATGTAATCACCGATGTTATCTACGACAAATTCACCTCAAGGTCACCTTTTCTTCGACGGCGCTGACAGCAAACGACAAGCTGCCTCCGAAACACAATGACAAAATTAATTATAACTCGAATATCTCTTTCTCCACCACTGTCGACTCGAAACACCTCAAGTACCCAATGCTTTCGTCGCGTGACCTCGAGTCTCACCGTAAACCACCAACCAGAGTGCGGATGCTAGTCCGAGATTTCATAGAGGATTCATTGTACAATCCGCACTATGGCTATTTCAGCAAGCGCGCCACGATCTTCACTGCACCTCCGCACTGCGGTGGCGTTGAGGGAGGCTTTGATTTTAATAAGTATAGAGACAGTGCCGAGTTTGAAGTCGACGTTGCAAAGAGGTACAGGGAGTTTGGAAATGGAGAAGAGGACGGTCCTGGGAGGCAACTATGGCACACTCCGACAGAATTGTTCAAGGTGGGCAACTCTGTTTTTTGTGTTATTGGCACAGATAGCTGAAATGTGCTACAGCCATGGTATGGGCAGGCGATAGCTCAGTGCCTGGTGTCCGAGTACTTGCTCAAATACTTCCCTTACGAAGACTTCAAGGTCTACGAGCTGGGAGCCGGAAATGGCACGCTGGCGCTGAATATTCTGGATTTCCTGAAAACGCACTACCCAGAGGTATATGACCGCACGCAGTATACAATCATTGAGATTAGCGAGAAGTTAGCACGGGCGCAGCGACACCGTCTACATCAACGGGGCCATGGCCGGGTCGTGGACGTGGTGAACCGGAGCGTTTTTCGGTGGGAACGCAAGGAACATGCACCATGTTATGTGGTAGCAGCGGAGGTGGTCGACAATTTTGCACACGATGTGGTGCGGTATGATCTGAAGACCCTGGAGGCATATCAGGGGGTCGTAGCCGTGGACGAAGTGGGCGAGTTCGTACCGTTTTACACGAAGATCAGTGATCCGCTCATCGCTTCCTATCTCGCGCTGCGTCGGCGGCTGTCACTTCCTGTCCCGTTACCACGTTTCCTCCGTTCCCCATCTTTGCGGAGACTGTACGCATCTTTGCCATTCGCACCGAACCTTTCACCTCCAGACTACATCCCGACGAGGCTGTTGAGCCTACTGAAGGTACTACGTACACACTTTCCTCGCCATCGACTTTTATTATCGGACTTTTCGTCGCTACCGGATGCGGTGCCAGGTTTAAACGCCCCTGTGGTACAAACCCGTGTTGGCTCGACGATGATTCCTTGTGGGAGTATTTTCGTGCAGCAAGGCTGGTTCGACATTATGTTCCCGACGGACTTTACTGCTCTTTGCGAGATGTACGAGTTCTTGTTGTCGCAGGCGGGGCCTGACGCGGATGAACAGGATGAACTCTCGTATGCAAGAGTGTCGCCGTTGGCATCGAGCACGTCTCCGCTTTCGCTTGGAGCTGGTTTCTTTTCATCCCATGCTCGCCGCTCACCCCTGGATGGCGTGACGTCTGCGAGTGGGCTTCCCGTTGGTGAGCGGAAGAGCAGTGTGTTCAGTCATGCGGAATATTTGGAGACATATGCAGATCTTGGGAAGACAAGGCTGGTGAATGGGGAGAATCCGATGGTTGGATTTTATGAAAATGTGAAGGTGTTATTTTGATGTGTGTTTTTGATGTCTTGCGTTGTACATGATTCAGAAGATCATTCAATTGGGTGATTTCTGTTGGGCCACGGCTGATATGCACCTATCTGATAGGAAACCCGTCTTGGGGTCTATGTACAATACAATATCAGCGTCAACTACATCCAACATCATCGACGGCCATCTACCACTGATCTACCCCTCCATGGGACTCGCACAATGTTTATAGTGTTGCGAGTGCACGACAAGCACTTTGCGCTACTCTGGCAAGACGATGGGTCGTTGCGCGGATGTGATAGCACGCTGATCGAATCATTGATGTGACTCCAGGTACGACGCGACCAGAAATGATGCTAGTGCAAGAGTAATCCAACATCGATATCGCAAAATATCTGCTCACGCAAAATTACCAAGTCAAACGTTGCGAATCCAACTGTTCCTAAACTTTGGATGTACGGAGACTCAGCTCAATCACTTAGACACAAACCCATATATCTTTCCAAGCAGCCGCTCAATATCCCCCACATCATCCACTCCCCCATCTTCTTCGTCTAGCGCGTCCTTGACGTCTCCATTCCAATTCCCATTCAATGATGGCGGCCCGATCACACATGATCGTCCAGATCATGAGTATCGCAGTGCTGATTTAACCTTACACGGTCTCACTGCAGACATTTCACTTCCAAGTGCGGGTAGTGATGACGTGCGTCACGGACCTGGGGCCCGTCGCGTGAATTATTGTCCGAGTCCACTCCTACCCTCTCTTCCTCAGTTCTCTGGAAGCGAGGACAGCTCTCATCGTGAGCGGGGGAGTAGCGAAGGTGAAGCCACCCCATGTTCGAAACCTCAACCTCGTAGAGGACGCTCTCGAGAGTCGAGGTCACCTTCCCCCGGTGCACCTCTAATCTCGGGCGGGGTAGCGGTCATAAAAGCTCAAGCTTTTGGAGCACTCCGTCGAACTCGTGCCAGGACCAAAAAAACTTCTGAAGGATCGGCTAAGGTTGCTGTGGAAGTTTTGGAGGCCAGGGACATCTTAATGGGCGTAGTGGCTGGCTCGAAGCGTCCCCACCTTTACGATGATTCCGACATGCAAACATGATGCAAATATAAATGTACTCTGCGACGATTCTCGTTTGATCCCTAGGGACTGCATTGCTCTTCTTGTCACTAGTTGACTATGTAACCACGATTATTTGTACAGCAATTTAAAATCCCAGTTACTTACTGTATGTTACTCCATACAAGCGCTCAGTTCACCTTTGGACGTTTTATACTGTGATTTACAGATGTCTGCACACTACGTTTGATGTTGTCTTTTCCTCTTCCTCTCTTGCGAATTGCGTTCGAATGTCTCGCTGACATCGCACTCTTGAAAGTGCGATGTATACTAGTAGCTGTCCGTGTGCGAACGAATCTGTGCGCAGGTCAAGCAGGTCGCAGGGGAAACTGTTTACGGTTTACAGTCCAGCTTAAACACGCTGGATTGAAAGTGGTTCAAGAATAAGAGTATGTTAAGAGAGGAATGAGTGATCGCATGTGGAGCTCAGAAGACACGCGTGCATTGGAAGGGAGGTGGTATACAATTGCAAAAGGAGGAGCTTCCGCAGGATCAAATGTTCTGTCCTTACATATGTCAGAATATACACTAAAGTAAGATATAAAATTTAGAATTTGAAATCACTCCTGTAAATTAAATACTTGACGGATTCGATTGGTAAAATCACATAAAGTAGATCCTCGAGGACCAGTCGCAGTGATGATGGGCATGTCAACCGAACGGTCGATGGGACTCATATAATACCGTCCAGCCCAAGTTGGCATGGTGGACTGTGCACTCTCCCGAATATCGGCGAGCTTTAACGCAGTATCCAGTCCAAGTTTCTGTACATCTTCTAGTCCAACTGGCTCTTCTCTCCTTGCTAGTTGTAGCAGACCTGGGACCAGCCATTCTGTGACCCCATAATCTTGAGCGAGTGCAACTTTATCTAGAGGTCTCGCTGCAAGCATAGGCTCCATTTGTTGAATAGCAAATTCCTGGACGCTGGTGAAGCTCCACATTTTGGATAGCTTCAATATCCCCGTCCACTCCTCGAGGGTCGCTGGAAGTCCATCCGAAGAAGGTGGCAAGCGGGTAAGTGGCCTTGCAAAGGCAAAAAGTCATCATGATCAGATTCCAAGTGACAAATCCGTGAAGCGATTCTCACATGGGATACAAAACCTTCATGAGAGACTGGAATTCTTCCTTCAGAATGCCCTCGAGAACGATAGGATCTGTGTCTGAATATCCCTCAGCTTTATCGGCTTGAACAGGCAGTAGAAACAAATCGCGAAAGATGTCTGACTGCGATTCTAGTGTGTCACGAGGCACTCTGAATAGACAGTCCTCGACCTGGGGCAGACAGAGTGAGCTGCTGCATGGCTGCCCGATAACGACTCACCAGAAATGTGACGAAAGTGAAGTAAAATTGCTCATGGTGTCTTGGAACAAGCATTGCAGGTTGATATCAGCCTCCTCGTGAATCGTGGTGATAAGAGTGAACGTTAACGTTTGGTGACGTTGTGTGCGAGGTTGTGGTACCTATTAAAGTATTATCGGCGCTAGTTAGGGGTTTGGATTTCCTAATTCGACATACTGTCCACATCTATTACTGACACTTGGTGACACGGTGGCGGGCACTAGGTGGAGGTAGGTGCTCAGTACAGTACATATAAGCACATGTCCCGTATATAGGCGTCACGATTTTGGAAACATAATCAAGCAGACAGATGTGTGATCCTTTGATGAAGAAACATCATAGCATCCGCAGGGTGTACATGTAGTAATGGAAAGATTCTCCGAGTTGGTTGATCTCAAGTGAAGTGTTTTGTGTTATATGTGCGCCAGTGAGATATCGTTTTCGGAAGTGTGGTTGTCCGAAAGTGATGTAGATGAAGATGCCATTGCGCTTAAGTATACTACCAATCCCCGTGAGACCAGAAAGTATGAAGATGTGAAGGGACTCACCGTATGACTTGAGATACCTCTGCTGTGCAGTCTTTGATGACTTGCTCTGGTGGATCCTGTGCACGTGGTCATCAGTAGGTCGTATGTTGTCATGATGATTAAACATACCCAGACGTCAGTGGAAGACGTCATCATTGCATCCATTGTTCCTGGGACCGGAAAGCGTGAGATTCCGAATAACGGCAACTAAAATTCATCATGTACCTTTATCGATGGCGACATCAAAGGATGCGGTATCTAGACCATCTAGAGTTCGGACGTCCTTTACTTTCCCTGTCAAAGGATTAACGTGTTTCCGATATTTTCTGAAAAAGTCACTACATGTCATCTCTGGGCGCATATCTTTGTGTCGGTTGCGCATCTTCTCGATCACAACGGGCGAATACTTTGGGAGAAATATGAGGTAAATCAAGACCATCACAGCAAGAAACATACATCAACGTTGACAATGTTTTTGTACCCATCTTCCCACATCTATTAGAACGACGGTGTTAGTCGCAAAATTACATGACATATGCAAGAGGAAAGACTTACGTCCTCCGAAAACTTTGAATTTCCACAACCGAGCATCAGGATGCGTGCAGCTCTATTGGGGATGAGCCTGCGGATGTCATTCGCAACATCCGCATAGGTTTTGAACCAGTCAAAAGAGGCATCCTCAGCTTCTCTAAGATTCATCTACGGTGTCTCATAACTCATCAAGAAACAGACGAAGACATACTGCTCGTATCTCTTGTCCCTTTATGGATGGTTTGGTGAATATGTGATCTTAGAAGCAGATACCTTACTACTCACCAGTACACTTCGGTACCGTACTCCTCATTCTTGTGGGGAAGGGACATGTTGATATCCAACTGGTGAAACTCGCGATTTCGCTGGATAGGTTGTTTACACCTAGGTCAACGCCGCGGAGTTTCATGGCAGCGAAAATTCCACCAAGTTGGATATGCGTCATAGCTTAGGGTCATTATACTCGTTTCAGTCTTATATGTATGGGCGGTAAAATCAGCTTGGCTTGAGAGCAATGAACTAACTGTGTTGAGGTAACACAGACAAGCCCGTAATTGTCTGCTACTACAATTCAAGATTCGTTTCGTATTCGATTATTTCCTTGTATGCTGGTAAGAAAATCAGGATACCAAGAAGATATTACGTTCGTATGATGTTGCATGTACACCAAAAACACAGGATAAAATGATCAGCATTCGTGCCATCACACGAAAAAGGCTGTCACGATGCGTCAGCAATAACCGGCATCCTCTCAATCGCGGAGTTGCGGAATGAAGATTTATCTTGCATCGAGTCTGTAGTTACGTTATTAAGACGGGACGCGAAGGGGATGGAAAAACCGCACCGTTATTAGATTTATACTCCATGATGGTCGATGGAGGAAGGTTGAGTACAGCGCGCAAGGTGTCCCTACCACACCAATTAGACCGTTGAAATCACGGAAAACAAATTGCGAAAGACGCACCGAATCTTCTCTCGAACCTTGGCATCCCCATCGACGCGATTCCACAAGCTCACGATGTCCTCACTCTGGCGCACGCTGATGGTGCAACCACAAATTTCTGGCCACCCTCCATCCTCTCCTTCCCCCTGTGTGCCACATTCATCAAACATGTCACCCACGACGCCCATAACGAGGTCCTCCCACACCCTGTCCGCCACCCCCTTACGCAATCGCACAATCCACTTTCCACCAGCACGATTCAGGGGGTCTTCCCATACAGGCCTGCGAACACCCGCATGAAACAGGAGGTAATCCGTAGTAGGCAAGAGCGCAGAAGGAGGTGAAAGGTGAGTTTGAAGTCCCCAAAAAGATTCGACGCTGGAGAAAGAAGCAATTTTTTTGATGCCTTCTTCATAATTAGTGATTTTATTCCCCGGAGCGCGCTGTTGTCGGAACCAGAAGACCCACCTGGGGAAATGGACGTTAGTCACGGATGAGAATGAGAAGGAAGCCACGAACATACGTATTCCGGAGAGGGTGAACGGGTAGCGGTGCGGGAACGTCAACGCCTCGGTCGCGCTCCTCGTGTGGCGGGTGTGCGACGGATGTGGAGAAATGCCTACTTGTAGGGGGTCGGGGACGTGTCTCTGCTGGGATGGCGGGTGTGGTAGTGGTAGTAGTTGTGGTTGTGGTAGTGCTAGATGCTGCATTTGCAAATCGAGTCTGGAATTGCGAGTGGTTTGAGAAGTAACCAGCCATCGTGAGTAGGATAAATAAATGAATAAAATTGCGAGAAAAAGATGTTAATTGAGTGTGGAGCACCAGGATCGGTCACTAGATGCAGGAAGAGAGGACGGTCGGTGAGTATCAGTGAGTATGGACAGATAAAGTATGGACAAGATGGTATCGTAGGTGATTGAGAAAAGCAAAGGATAATAGGATTAGTAAGCCGTAGTTTTGTCTCCTTTCACTCTCAACCACTACCACTGAATCTAGACTTCTGGGTCATAACGGCTAGACGACCACAAAGTACTTTTAGACAAGTACTTGCGTAGAAATCACTTCGCTCATTCAAGATACCATCGCATTATTGATACGCGTCCGCGTACTCTATAGACCCACTATACCAGCCATTCAAGATTTGAGCGGCACCATGTCGCACGCTAGACACCAGTCCTCATCGCCGCGTAAGTCGATGCGGGCATCCGAACCACTCTCGTCCCTAGATCAGACCATGCCAAATGGGGCACATTCTCTGGCACATGAACTCGCTGTTGCACTAATGCCTGAACCCGGAGGCGGGTCACGAATGCTCGCGGAGGAGTTTGGGATTGAGTATGACGAAGGCGCGGAAGGCATTGATGAAGATGACTGCGCACGTAGAGATGAGGAGCGTGAAGTGCATGCACCAGGGGATAGTCTGGCGAATGAGATTGGAGGAAGCCTAGCTGATGAGATGGGGGGCTCCAGTTTGGCGGACGAACTAGGCGGGAGCGGGAGTGCTGATGAGGATACCGATGAAGATGTAGAAGACAGTATGGATGGGGACGGGGGCGATGACTCGTTTATCCCAAGAAGACGAGAGCAAGATGCCATGGAGATCCTTGCACAAAATCTCGCTTCAACAGATCAATTCCTTGCACATTTACGCGCCATCGACGCTCTACCTACTTTATCCTTCTCACACACCTCGGACGCTGCTCCAAGCGCACACGTCCTGGAAAGATTGGCATCAGATATGGTCCGTGCCATTAACGAAGCTACAAAAGAACGGGAAAGTCAGGTGCGCGAGCTCATTGCGTATGAGCGCGAATTTCGCCGGCTTTCGACAGAGGTCGGTGGGAATGATGTCCTTTGTGAGTTGGATGATATTGACGAGGGCGAGACCGAGACCGAGCCTGTGCCGACGAAGCTAGATACCGTCGCCGAGGAAGACGAGCTTGAATCGTCTTATGCACCGTCCCTACCTTCGTCACCCGAAAAGCCCTCGTTCGCTGCACCCCAGCCCTCCAGTGCTGCTGCACCACTGCCGCACCTGGTGCAGCTGCGAACACATACAGCGGCACTGCTTTCATCCCTTACAACGATATCAGAGCAGGCACAGGTGAATGGAGCTGCTACAGCAGATTCGGGTCGGCGGATTCGTGCGCTGAAGAACCGTTTTGGTGGACTACGTGGGGAATGGGAAGGGGCGGAGCGCAGCCGTGGACGTATTGAACGGTGGGAGCAGGAAGGCGCAGATCTCAATTGCAGTAGGGTTGCGGAGGAGCACATGATTGCATTCCAACAGGCCATAGATGAGGCAGGGGTTAAGACACAGGCAATTATGGCGCGGTAGATGGTATGATGTAGGATGGACTTGACTACGCTGGAGGATCGCTACATATCTATTCACATTCATTCACTCGTATTACGATATTATACCAGCGCATCATTTATATTTTGCTTGTAGGACCAGTCACTGGTCCGATGTCGGTCATCTACTTAGTATGCAGCACTTCGTTTCCAGAAAATTATATGTAAAGGTCACGCGGACATATTTCAAGTGAATTTCAGCATTTTCAACTTCAACTTGATTTTGATCTGTATGATACAGTAGGGGAGCTCACAGTATGTAGGTCGCTTCTGCTTCTGCTGACACGTGAGGGACAAGGGTTAGTGGTGTGTTATGTAAGCAGTTAACTCCCTAACCCATACTACACATGCCTCGCAGCTCGCTACATCAGCAATACTTAGAATCCTATATCTTTTTCATGATTATTCAAGCACTCTTTCGACCTGCACAGACACTCGAAGACCTTTCACAAGAGCTTACTACAGATATAAATTGCATATCAGCCATACAACAAGCTCGCTACCTGAATTCTCGCCCTCCGGTCCTTAAATCCAGCAGTCTACACCTTGCATGGGAATGGGCACAGAGTCCAGCTGACCACCACCGCTTTGTCAATATGTTGCGAGTCTCTCCAGAGGTATTTTGCAACGCAACGATTCAAGTTTGCTCTTGACACGGTCACCGGTTGCCGTCGGATCAATCTCGTAGCACTCTGGTAGGACAATAGCACCAATACGTTTATAAACGCTGGCCTTCGTCTCGCCAGATGTGTTCTGATGGCTCCGTGAATTAGTACTAGTAACTCAGATATCCGCACTCACCTCATGTTGATCTTTTTTACCAAACAAGACCTTGTAATTTGCCTTTGCACTGATTTCCGCGATGAGTTTCCATATACGCGAGTGCTCGTTCTCGTTCCACTGAATGTCGGGTAGATTCTGTATCTTCTTCGATTTAGCCATGCGAGAGTATAAAGTAGAGTACAATGCGACTTAGCGCACTCCGAGCGGGATGGCCAGAAATGGTATATTCAATTTAGTTTCTATTTATTTTGCTGTATATGTGAAAATATCGATTTATTATGGACGCAGAAGCAGAAGCAGAAGCGACCTACTGTGAGCCTCCCTAGTAATATAGCTCAAACTTCCGACGTAACCATCGTAGTAAGCTCGCGAGTTGTACCTGCGACAGAGCAACTATCCCTTATTTCAAGCTGGGTATTCGATCTTGCCGTGGTTGTCTGATTGCTCACAATTAATCTCTCGTTCAGCGCAGAACTGCAAGACTTGTGTCGTCAACGTTCTTAGCATTCACTGTTGCTTACGCTCGATCGCTCAAGTTCGACGCCCGGCACGCTTCCAGTTACTAGCGAGTCCTATCGTACACCCCTCGAGTCTTGAACATGTCGTGTAACTACTAAAGAGGTCCGTAATAATTTGATACTCGGTCAATGACTCCGACTCGTCGGATAAGACTTTTCATAGAAGTGTTCCATCAGCTCCGAACTCAGCTTTTGATAAAAGCAAAAAGCTGCGAAATGTGGAACTCCCTGGTGTGTCAGGGTACAAACTGCCTGATGTAGTAGACGCTGACGAAAGGCTCGCGGATTTTGGTCTTCTGAATCAGTCTCCCAGACGACAATCATTCCAGCCTTTGAATGTGCGTATAAAAGGAATGAGGGCACCTCGCTCTGGATGCATTACTAGGGCTAGGTTGTGTCCATGGTTCAAATTACGGCGCGAGCAAGTCTCACGAACATGCTCTTCGGGGTACCTGTTTGGATAAGACTTTTCATACAAGCTTTGAGCTTTGGATATAAGCAAGCCGGTATGTGGGACCCTTTGGTGTGTCAGGACACAGACTGCCTGATATAATCTATCGATATGAAAGCAGTGGTCAAATGTTCTGCATGTTCTGAAGTCTTGTCTCTACATATACGATTGAATGATTTTACGGGAGTCCTTAACTGGTCATGTGACATACTGGATTTAAGTTCGAACCTTGTGAGTCACCCTTTTAAAACTTTGAGGTTCGATGTGCTGTAAGTGCAATTTTGAATTTACAATATGACGAAAATGCGCAATATAGCCTAGCGCATATTGTTCATGTGGATATTCCGATGCGAATGGGTTTTTTTGTTGCTAGATGGATCCGAGATGAGTCTAACTCCATACTGACTCAGATCACCATCATTCGAATATCTCAATGTCTTTCTCGAACATTCTGATTCACTTACGAGTATGAGATGCATCTATGTAGCGCCGAGGAACTTCTTGGCCAGGGCGTCTCTGTGACTCTTTTTGAACTGCAGGTATCAAATTTTGGCAGTTTTTTATGCGCTGTGGATGTGAACTAAATCATGTTTTGTTCAGTGAGACTCAGAACCCCATGTTAGATGGCTGTCAGAGAGTGCTGGACTGTGTTCATGGGCACGTAATCGGCGCCCCTTATCACATCAATTGCAACTTAATGCTATGTCGGCACGATGTAGGACTCGCGATAAATATATTTTCTACTAGCTTAGCGCTTGTTCAGACTTAATTTGGGATGTAGTGACAAGGTTTGACTGCTACCTTCTTTGTGCAGGCGCTCAAGAAGTCAATGCGTATCTTCTTCGCACAGGCTGCCGATTGAGATGCCAAGACATTACGGGCCAGATAAGTGTGTCCCGCATTTTTACATGCAGTAAACGGTCAGTCTCAGCCATCTTTTATAAGTACTAGTTATTGATTTAAACTTCCAGATCCACCTGCAAATACTTCTCAATGGACCGGCAGAGGCGTCTGTTAGTTCTTACGATCTTCATCTCGAGCGTCATATTCACTCTTTGCTGGTCATTTATTCTTTTCTTATGGCATAAGGAATATCTGGTTCTCCACGATCGTATTGTCCGCTCGATCATAACATATCCTACCGAACTCACTCTCATATCCACTGTGATATCCACGATTCTGTCTGTGACCACCACAGCGTAAGTTCAATAGCTGGTGCACGTAGTGCCTAGCTGACATCTGAGTACATTGATATTGCAGCCTTTTCACAGTCGCCGTCAAGCATGCACTCAGCCATTATATCACTCAGCCATTGTCACTAGTTGAACTTCACACCGCGATAGCCCTCACCAAACCTCAACCTCTTATTCGATGGAACCACCGCAAGCTATCTCTTATCACGGTGTTCATTGTTGGTTTGATCACACTTCTTAATTCAAGGTATGAAAATATTTCACGAGCATCGCAGCTGACTTGCGGCCTGCTACAGCTGGACGACATTGCTGTTGCCGACACACCTTACATGGCCTGTGCCGATCCAAGGCAAAGATCTGGACCTTGCAAGCCCTGCATTTGATACGCAGCTAGGTAACGATATGTATAATGGGAACATATGTAAGCACTGTATCTCATTATTATTTGGCCCATTGATAACTCCATTACAGCTTGGAAGAATGCCAGTTACATGCTTGATGTCATATTGCCCATGAGCGGGACTTCAGCCTCACGTTTAGCTATCGCAGGCGGAGATGACAGTGTCTTTGCCTTTAATGGTGTCTCATACAGCAAATCTAGCAGTACGTTCTGATATAACAGCATACCTAAATCAGTAACTTATTCTGTTCCTAGGTGGTATTGTTCCAGCGGTTGAAGAATACGCAGGCATGTCATTGACAACTTATGACATTGGTCTCAGTTACTATGGTGGAAAAGTCGCTGTCCATACTACGCCAGTCCTCGATAACGAACACTCCGGGCTTTCTAGAACTTATAACGTAACACAGCAGGGTCTTTCAGCATACATTACATGCAGTGCCCTTGATCCGAACGACACCCAGTACTCAATAAGCATCAAAAGTTCCGCTCTCAACAGTTACGAGATCATGTTTTGGAATATGACAGTAAATTGTCCTGAACCTTTTGGCAGTATGTCAGCGCAGTATACCCATATTAATGCAGCCTGATGTTGCTTGTTAGGCATTTGGAACACCTGGGCGACTGAGGAGTTCCAGAAAGGGGACGATACAAATGGCTTTCTCGGGATGATCATCTGTCCGGGAACAGAGAATGCCACTTCTTTTGGTATGTGAGCTCAACTCTGAAAGTGCCAATGTTGATCCTGATCTCCACCATAGACATCTTCCTGCAGGGCGAATGGGGATATAATTTCTTGGGTAAAACAGTTTGCAAGGTTGCCCCATATGTGGCCTCGTTCGATGTAACATACAACAATGGAAATATTTCCATTGATCGGCCTCGCTACATCCAGCCACTTCGGAACACCAGCGTTAATGTTACTGAATTCATCTTAAGCGTAGTGTGGGAGCTATCTTATTCCAGCCAGACAACATGGAGTAACCCTTTGGGAGAGCTGCTACATCTTAACGGAATAAACCCAACGCGCTCAGTGTTTGAGGTACTTGTAAGTAACTTCTTTTATGTTTGGTTATGGTAGAACATGGTTTTTACAAGTTAAACAGGAAGACTATTTCCGTGGCATTGTAGAGTTTTCTGCTACAGTGAGTATATATCACCTTTCCTATTTCAATGGGGTTGATGTACAGCAGTACCTTCGCTCTGCCTACTCTGCAGAAGGTGCTGCCACTGCGATGCCGGCCTTATACTCTGACCAAAGTGCTTTCAAATCCCTGAACGGAACCATGTCAGTGATGACCTACGGCTGGTCTAGCCATCACCTCACATACATCTATATTCTCGGAGTTCTGACAGTCATATGGGCTGTCACTGTTTCAGCTGCGGCGTATAGTCTGATCCAGGGACGTGCTCAATCGCATCCCTTATTTGATGCGGCAAACCCAGTCCATCTCATGATGGCAGCTTCGGCAGGAGGACTAGAAAACCTCGCAGGTTTTCACCCTGATGGCGTTACGAGTAGTGAACGTGTACGAGTGCGTCTCGAAGCTGACTGTGATGATCTAGGAGAAGGGGCGTCTAGCGGTTCTAGGATGCGGTTCAGGATTGAGTCGGCATAGGCTATCAGATGCAATGTGTACTTGGTCGTCATATCGTGCCAGTAAATTCATACACATTCATGTCGCCACTGACCAAGGTACTCCAGGGTAGCAAAACATTGATGCTGTCTTTTACTTATCCGAACTCGCAAGCTACTCGGTATTTTCCAGTAAGAGCCTTAAGGTCCTAAAACGAGTTAAACATGACGTGAAGACTGGCAGAATCTTACAAAAGTAGATTTTTATGCAACCTATTATCTATACTGTCGACTTCAGCGCCCTGAACTGGGCGCGTGCCTAAGCACCCACACCTGCTATCAAGTAAAGAGCATCATATCCACAAACAGCGATGTGCCTGATGTCCAACACTGGGTACACAGTTCCTTGCGCATGTGCTCTCGTCATGTTTTCATGCGTGTTTTTTTTCGCCCCCCAGTGTAGAGCCGAGATTATCAAGGGCACTGTCACGATGATGGAGGACGCTTTTCATACTCTCAAGCAATTTAGAATGTTCGATGCCGATGCATAGGTCTGTCTGATCTCAATCCAGCAATTGGTAATATCAATGCCTTCTAGTCCAAATAACTACTAGCATGCATATGCAGGTCTCCATATGCGACTCTAAATTACGTTTCTAACACTGATATGAGGCTCCAGTTGGATCACTCCTTGACTGCATGTGACCAACATGTGGCTCGAACAAGTTCCAGCCTGCCACTGATGCTAACGGATGTCGACATCAAATGTTGCAATGTGCTTAGTTCAGCTTACATACAAAAATGACAGTAAGTTGTGTTGTCTACTAAAAGCGCTCGTTCAAAATGGTCATTTCTCTTCGCCGGGGCGCTACAGTGATAGGGTTCATTCAAGTCTTACATCTAGCCTATGCTTACAACGTCTTTATGCGTGTGTATTCATCATGTTTTTTTCTTTTCTTTGCCCTCGGTGAGCGCTTTGAGTCTCTGTTATGCCTAGACTACTAATATGGAGCCAAGATTAGGTTAGGTTCCAGGGTCCGAGTCGTCATATCTGCACGACCCAGGTATCTCAATCTAGCAAACTTCTTTTATTGCACTTCATCCGAATGACCGCTAGTATGCATGCGGGTCTCCTTGTGTTGTTGTCCATGAGTTTTAGAAACGTAATCTGGACACCGATGGGTCTCCAATGTCACTCCTTGACTGACCGCAACAATTCTTTCTAGACTTGCCAGTGGTGCCCGCATCAGCACGCACGGGTGGCATACCATGGTCCGGCATGGCATAGACGATCGCACTTATTCAATCATCGTCGGTTTTCTCCGAGATACCGTGACAATGTCTGACTTCTATCTCTATATCTAGGGTCCTGAATGAGCGCTTGCTCCCACTTCGCATAGAGCACATGTTCTTCTGTGCTCGGCGGAAATGCCTGTGGCATCCTATTTTGGCATGCCAGATTCGCGTACGATCTTTGGGCAGTAAATCATACATGCGAAGTTTTATTCGTCCCTTATAACTGCTGCTCATTGACTTTGACTTCCCAACCCACCTACAGATAGTCCTTGATGGCTGTACAGAAGCTTCTGTTAGCGTTGACAATCCTCATCTCCACTTGCATATTCGCTCTTTGCTGGGGGTTCATGATTATTGTTTGGCGTCAACAATATGTGATTCTTCCCGACTCCGTCGCCAACCACATTGCAAGATATCCTACTGTACTCACCCTCATATCCACTATGGTATCCACGATTCTGTCAGTAATCACCACGGCGTAAGTTAAGATAGCTAGGTGTATATAGTGTTTCACTGACATCTGCATCTGCATCCAGTCTTTTATCGTTCGCTGTCAGAAAGGCAATCAACCATTATATCACTCGACCCATATCCCTGGCCGAACTTCAAACCGCAATAGCTCTCACCAGACCACAACCCCTTCTTCGATGGAATCATTACAAACTCTCATTTTTGACGTTGATTTTTGTCGGTTTGATTACGCTCCTCAATTCAAGGTTTGAAATTATGCTCACGAGCGCCATAACTGACACATACCCTATCGTAGCTGGACGACGTTCCTATTGCCGACACTGCTTTTGTGGCCTGTACCGATCAATGGCACAGATCTGGACCTCGCAAGCAGCGCCTTCGATGTGAAACTAGGTGATGAAATTGCTGTGCCAGAAAGTAAGGACTGTGTATCCTTATTCATTGAACGGTACCCATTGATAACTCCATTATAGATTACATACATAAGAATGGTTGCAATATCCTCGAAATTATGGCGCCAATGAGTGGGACTTCAGCCACACATTCGGCTGTTGTAGGCGGAAGTGACAGTATCTTCGCCTTCAACGGTGTCTCGTACAACATATCCAGCAGTGCGCTCTGATATGACAGTATGCCCAGATTGGTATCTCATTCTGTTCTCAGGTGGCATCCTTCCGGCGGTCGAAGATTATGCAGGCACGAAATTGCCCCCTGGCAGTATTGGTCTGGCGTACTACGGTGGAAAAGTCGCGGTCTATACATCACTCGTCAAAGACCGGGGCCGTTCCGGACTCACTAGAAATTATACAGTGACACAACAAGGTCTTTCGGCGATTATTACCTGCAGTGACCTAAGTGACCTTGATCCAAACGAGTTCTCGCTGAACTTTACAAGTACCAATTCATCAACTACAGCTTGGTGGCGAGGGACAGCTTCTTGTCCTCTCGGCAGTACGTCTGCATGTCCACCTGTATCTGACGTGGCCTAATTTTGTTTATTAGCGGGTGCTGGTAATTGGTCGACGATGGTGGATGGAGGTATTGGCTTTCTTGGTATTGTTGTTTGTCCCAATCCGGTGTCTGCGAATAGTAGAGCCGCATCATTCGGTGAGCGAGTTCAACGTTGAGAATTGCCTATGTTGATCGTCACTACTACCTTAGACATCCTCCTGCAGGGCATGGGATCAGTATAATTTCGTGGATGCAACAGTCTGCAATGTAGTACCATATGTGGCCTCGTTCGATGTGACGTACAACCAGACAATGATCTCCGTTGATCAACATCAACCTCGTGACATCCAGCCACTCCAGAGCAACGTCACCACCATTATATCGGCCGTAGTGAACACGCTGTCTGGCTCTAGCCAGGCGACGTCCACTAACCCTTTGGCGCTGTTGCTGTTGCTTAGCAGTTTAGACCCCACGAATTTGATGAATGAAACCTTGGTGAGCAGCTTTTGCTACATTGAGAATGGCAAACAAATTGTCTTACTTGTGAGTTCCACAGCAAAACTACTTCCGTGGCGTTGTAGAGTTTTCTGCCACAGTAAGTGAACGATTTCGTCTTACCTATCACTCTCAAGCGGGGGCTGATATACTGTAGTACCTTCGTTCTGCCTACTCCGCAGAAGGTGCCAATGTGAGCTCAACGATGCAGAACTTGTACTCGGACAAAAATGCTTTCAAATCCTTGAATGGAACTATGTTTATCACGACCTACGGTTTGTCCAGCAGACGCCTTACATACATCTATATTCTCGTCGTCTTCACGGTCATCTGGGTGGTCACTGTCTCAGCTGCAGTGTATGGTCTGATTCAGGAATGTATTCACCCACACATCGGTCCCATTTTTGATGCGTTGAACCCAGTTCATCTGATGATGGCATCTTCGGCGGGGGGACTAGAAACACTTGCAGGATTTAAAGATAACGGAGCTTTTGGGAATGGACGTGCACGAGTGCGTCTTCTAGATGGTCGAGGTGTGGCACCTGATGATGCAGTGAGAGGGAAGGCATCCGCTCAGCCTACTAGATTGACAATGCCGCGGTTCGAGATTGTACCCGGACCGTAGTTGAGCAGCCTACAGCTGAGCTGCTTGGTATAACATAACGTGCTGTGAAATATTCCATGTATTTTACTACCATGATGTGGTCATCTACTTGGTCAACTTGCCCTTACACCATGTGATTGTTTTTCCTTTCATCTAACACTTACAGTCTTGGCTTCTGAGTTACTTATATAAAGCCTGGTATTCTTACAACCAAACTATTACTGGCATGGGCTGATCATCTGAAGTTTTTTCCTTATGTCTTCACCTCAAGTGCTACTACTTTAAGCTGTCGCCATGCTGTAGTCAGTGGCTGTACCATGACGTGCTCATCGGGGTTTGCAATATTCGAGACATGTTTGAATATTGAATGTTGTGCGAAATGTGAAGATAATTTCGCTCTGCTCACATGTGGACAGTCTCTCAAATTCAAATCTCTTGCCAGTAGCAATGAAGAGTAAACTACATTTGCTGTCTGTTAAGAACCGTGTTGCTCAAGGGGGAGAGAGACTGACTCAGAGGGGCTTGGCCTCAGCTCATACGCTGTGCCCCTTACCCGAGTATGTGCCCTTCATTTCATATGAGGTCTGATGATGGTCCAACAAAGTCTGGAGGACTTCTGGAGGCTGGCTACTCTGCTGGAGAGTGCTAGAGGACTTCCAGAGGAGCACGGGAAACGTCTGGAGGAGTGCGGGAGAGTTCCAGAGGAATGCAGGAAGTGCTCAGGAGAGTTCCCACTGCAAGGTAATACTTCTACAGGAAACAGGATGGAAGGATAGGAGGTCTGAAGGTCCAGAGGACAGGAGGACAGGAGGACAGGAGGACAGGAGGACAGGAGGACAGGAGGACAGGAGGACAGGATGATGGAGGACAGAAGGACAGGATGTCCAAAGGTACAGAGGGCAGGATGTCTGAAGGACAGGAGGATAGGATGTCCAAGGGTTAGGAGGACAGAATGTCCAAAGGACAGGAGGTCTGGAGGTCCAGAAGGAATAGGGGCTACATCAGATGAAGTCCAATGTAGAAACAAACAGAGGTAGACTACCCTAAGGTAGAGTTGGAGAGACAAGGGTTGGACCTAAGTCCAGAAAGAGGGTAAGTGCCAGGAAAGGTAGAGCTCCGGCCTAGGGAATCAATCCCTAGGCCTGATGGGTAGGACAGACTTAGGTGGACCAAAGCCCTGAGAGAGGATTGGGCAAGTCTAAGTTGATATTCAAACTAAGGAACTACAGGAGTATCTACAGGGGTTATATACTGAACAATATCTGAGGGGATCAGTAAGCAAAGGAGCAAGGCTATGTACAAGCATGTGGAAACACATTAGTAAGTAAGTTGGAACATAAGTAAATGAACTTGGAGATGAGGACTTGTACAAGGATCAATAAGCAAGATGGAAGAAGAGGTAACTGAAAGCCGGAAAGCAGAGAATGCCTAAATGGGGATAGGCGCAGGATATTGGACAGAGGGTGGGAATAGGTCCGGAGATCTGAGGATCTGAAAGGTGAGGTAGATACAGGACTGGGATATGACAGGGTGGATATAGTCCTGAATCCAAGACGAGGTGAAGTCTGGATGTCTTGCTGGATGGAGTGCGCATAGGGTGGGCAGGATAAGGTGGTACAGATCAGGCTAGCAGTGAGGATCCAGAGGTCTGGAGCTTCAGGGGTAAATTCGGAGCGTAGTCGATCCTGCTAAGGTGTGGAGCACACAGTGGAAGGGGATCTGGGAATGAGTTGGATATGAAGTGGGGTCTGGATGTAGGCTTGGAAGGTGTGGGAATATGATGGAACATGGGTCCAGATTGTGGGATATGACACTGTCTCTCTTTCTCCATTCGTGACCATGACACCCGAATATCACATCAATTTCAAACCCTCGACAATGCTGTCATCACTGAAAGTCAAGATCTGCTATAAACCATTATATCCCCCTTATAATGGTCACAATACCTGCAATCAGGTGAAATATGGTAGGTAGTTATGTAATGTCATGTATACCTTTAAACACCTAGCCTCCTTGGCTAATTTAAATAATAATCTTACATATTTGCCATACTACCATGGGTGATATGTAAGTGAAGAAATTATCATCCTTTTCATGTGATACACTACCGTATGACCACACAATGGGAAGTCAGACATTATGCAACAGCAACTGAAATATGCACAATATGATTAACTAGCAAATATTGGACATCATACATACCTTTGGACACCTGGCCTCCTTGGTCCATTTAAATAATAATTATACACATTTGTCGGATTACCAAGCATGACATGTAGGGGAAGAGATTATCATCCTTTTCGTGTGATGCACTGCTTTATAACTTCACAATGGAAAGTCAGACACTTAGGCAATGACATCTGAAATACACAGAAGATAACTGTTACGGCAGACTAGGATGGGCTTGACAACAGGTACTCGATAAGAGCACGCCTGAAGCTGGTTCAAGCCTTACAAATGTAAGGTTCTTAAGACAAGTCAGAGAGAGTGTCTCTGGCTTGAATATCGGTTATCAGACGATCTAGGATTGGAGGTCCTAGATGAAGGATAGTTCTGGGTAAAACCTAGTAGATTAAAGTGAAGTTCTAACTAAGTACAAGACTGGGTTTATATAGACGTAAGAGGTTTAGGGTTGGTATTGTACGCGTCATCAAGATGAGTCAGAGATAAGAATGACGTCATCGAGACGAGTCAGAGATAAGAGAATGACATCATCTAGCAACGGCATGTGGCGGTTGTGATGTAATACAGCTGTGGACGATTGGTCTAATGATGGCACGGTAAGGTGCGGTCATGACGTAATACATGAGCAAGAAAAGAGAGAAAAGAGATAGGGGTAACCATGATTGTAACATTACCCCTCATTTACGGATGAAGTCACCAACTTCAATTATCTTGATTGGCCCAGTAGACGGGGTCCATGTTGTAGTTGGAATAGAGCAGATCATCCTGCTCTTCAGTGACGGTGGTCTGTGCCATTTTGGCGGCATGAGCGATACTGTCTTGCTCAATCTCCCATCAAGCAAGAGCATCGTAAAAACCTACATCAGTCCATACCAATGGAATGACCGCTTCCCCTTTCAACTCTCTACAGAAAACTGATAAGTGACCAGGCGCGTATTCCTTGCAAACTCTGCAATAATATGCAGGGCAGTTCTTATGACGATGCCCAGCGACATGACAGTTACAGCATACGACGTTGTCGACTGGTGACGTTTTTACGATTGTGACGGAGGAGGATTGGTTCGGAGGGGATGGTGATCTAGATCATTTGAGTGGCGCCTTAACAGGGGAGACGGAGGCAGCTCGCTTAGCGGCGAGGCGTGAGGATCGTCATTTGAGTGGGAGTCGTTGCGTAGTACGCATGATGGGGTCAGGAGAAGGAGAAGTTGGTACGTGGAGTACAGCAATAGGAGGGATATTATCATCCTGATGCTCCACGGTAGTCGTAGCAGGAGCTGGCGGTGGTACGGGGACAGCGATATGAGGGGATGGTGGTCGCGCAATGGGGTCGAGGGCAATGCGCTCGGTGACAATGTGAATTGCTTCTCTAATGGCATCTCTAGTCTCTTCAGGCAAGAGATGGATCGCAGTATTGCGGATGCGTATGTGGAGATGGTGGAAGATGGTTTGATGGTGCTCATCATCAAGGAGGGCGGCGGTGCATTCAATAAGGCTGGCATCTCTGATGATTCTGATTATGAGGCCACTAGATATTGCTCCCCGTTCTCTGAGGAGACGATCTATTTCTATAGCGTACTGCTGGGAGGTGATAGCAGATTCAAACAGGGCGCTAGTTTCTACCTGGTCAATGACCAAGAAGTAGTTGGTGAGGACGGAGTTGTCGGTGAGGGTTAGGGTAGAGTCGGATGCTGGTGGTGATGGTATGGGGGATGATGCGTGTTGGGCAAGGTTGGCGGCGGTAGCGTTTTGATAATCAAGGAGCGTCAATGGATGGGCGTTTCCTTCGGCAACGGTGTTCATGGCGGTGGTAAGTTCTTCGATATGGAGGATGCAGAGACGTAGTCGTTCAATGTGGGACATTGTTTTGAAATCTATAGCCCATGGGCTTTCTTATAGGCAGTGAGGGCGTCGGAGGCATTAGCAAGATTTCCTTCTGGAACCCATTCATTGCTGGCAGAAGAGTATCCTTTCCAGGATACAAGATAGTGTCTTCGTTTACCTGTCCCCTTATGCGATAAGATCGCATCGATTTCATATTCTTCTTCATTATCGATGATATCAGGAGGAGGGTCGTGGAAGTTCGGCCCGTGAATCTCTGTTTCATGATAGGTTGATAGCTCAGAAGCATGGAATGTGGGGTGAACTTTCCATTGTGGAGGGAGCTGGAGTGTGAACGTGATAGGGGAGAGGACTGCGGTGATCGGGAAAGGACCATATCATTTGGGTGCGAGTTTCCGCGATGGTAACTGAGTGATCAAATTCTTTCCAGACAACCAAACCTTATCTCCTACTTTCCATGGGTGGTATTTCTGTCCACGAGTTTGTTCTGCCATTTGCTGCATTGCAAGGACATGGCATGACAGGGCCTCTTCTCTGGACTTCTGGAGGGAGAGAAGTCTTTCTTCTGCTGCGGGAACGGTAGAGTTGGGGAGAGTATGCGGGAGGGCTCATGGTTCATAGCCCATCATTAGGAAGAAAGGTGATGCATTGCGGGAATCATGTTTTCAGTGGTTATGCACGAATTCTGCCATAGGAAGGTGTTCGACCCAGTCTTCTGGGTGATTCCGGCAATAGATCTGAAGGTACGTTTCGAGTTCCTGGTTAAGTTGTTCGGTCTGGCCATCAGTCTGAGGGTGATAAGCGGTGGATGCCACTATGTCATACTTCAATAGCTTGGCGAGGGCTCGTGAGAACTTGGATACGAATTGCAGCCCACGATCAGAAATGACTTTTTCATGTAGGCTGAATCGTCGGTAAACGTATTTGAAGAATTTTTTGGCAACTCCTTCTGAAGTGATGGTTTTAGTACAAGGGATAAGAATTACCCCCTTCATAAGGCCATGGTCGACCACGACCATCACAGAATCAAAGCTGGCGCAGAGGGGAAGATCGGTGATCAGATCAACAGAGACCTGTGTGAAAGGAGCTGTGGTGACGGAAGGAATAGGGACCAAGGGAGGGAGTACTGGATGGGTATTGGATTTCATCTGCTGACAAAGGGCGCAACCCTCAATGTATTTTCAGATATAGGTGCCCATGGAGGGCCACCAAAAATCTCTCTTGACCAATTCCTCGGTTTTAAAGCGACTGGGGTGACCAGTGGTGGGATGATCATGACATCGTTCTAGGATAAGACGCTGCCTGGCAGGGTGGACATATGCATGGTCTTTATAGTAAAGAATGTCGTCTTTAATGGTCCAATCAGCAAGTGCGGATTTCATCGGGGGAAGGGAAAGACCATCCAGCGCATCAGAGGCGGCGGTGAAGATGGGGTCGGGATCTGAAGGATCAGGGTTGGCGAGCGTGATCATTAGTTCAACGTCAAGGAGTCGGACAAACATGGAGTTGGGGAGGAGGGTCTCGTTTTTGTTGTCATCAGCAGAGTCAGATCCGTGATCAGGGCGGCGAGAGAGAGCGTCCGGAGCGACGAGTTTAGTTCCTGCGACGTGATGGAGTTCTATATCATAGCATGACAAAATCAGCTGCCATCGAGCTTGTCGATGAGTCAGCTTCTGCGCGGTTCGGAAATACAGTAGATTTTTATGGTCCATGAATACTATGACTGGATGAGCATTTCCTTCCAGGTAGTGGCGCCATTCTGTGAGGGTGCGAATGATGGTGAGGAGTTCTCGATCAAAAATCTGATAATTTCGTTCTGCCAGGTTTAAGGTCTGTGATAGATATCCACATGGGTGATAGACACCGTTATCATCGGTTTGAAGTAATACTGCACCTGTGGCGACCAGGGATGCATCGGTTGCGACTGCGAATTGCCTACTAGGATCAGGATTCAAAAGAACTGGTTGCTTCAAGAAGCATTCTTTCAGGGTCGAGAAGGCGGACGAGCATTGTTCTGTCCATAAGAACTTGACGGTTTTCTTGGTAAGATCAATCAACGGTTGGGCAATGTCAGAGTAGTGGGAAATGAAGTTCCGGTAGAAATTGCAAAATCCCAAGAATGACCGGACCTCTTTTATGGTCATCGGTACAGGCCAATCCTGAATACCATTAGTTTTGGCATTATCCATTGCCACGCAGCCAGGGCGGATGATCATCCCAAGATACTCCACTTCTTGAGCATCAAATGTACATTTCTCCGGTTTAAGGAAGAGCCTTTCTTGCCGAATTCTTTCTAAGACGCGTCGTGTACGTTTTTGGTGAGCGATGAGGTCATTAGAGAAAATCAGAATATTGTCCATGTATATGACGAGCCACCCTTCGTTTATTTCTTGTTGAAACATTTTGTTCATATATGCCTGGAAGGTAGCGGGGGAATTGCAAAGGCCGAAGAACATGATGTTTGGCTCAAACAGCCCATATTCTGTAGTGAAGGCAGCTTTCCATCGGTCTTCCGGTCGAATGCGGATGTTGTTGTATCCTGAATGGACGTCCATCTTCATGAAGTATTTGGCACCATGTAACCGAGCGATTAGGGAGAGCGGTAACGGAAGTGGATAAGTGTTCTTAACCGTCCATTCGTTGATGTACTGGTAGTCCTGACAGGGGCGAAGATCCCCACCCTTCTTTCCTATGAAAAAGAAACCGCTTGGTTGCGGTGACTTTGATTCGGAAATGAATTCCTTTTTTACGTTTTCATCGATGAATGCTTTGACCGCCATACGTTCTTTCTCAGATAACGGGTATACCTTGGACGTCTTAGGTATGAAACCAGGTTTAGTTTCTATCCGATGATCTATCCCCAGTCGTTCAGGAGGTAGCTGATTCAGACCGTCTTTTGTGAAGATATCGGCGAAGTCGTGAAGGTAGGAAGGGACGAGTTCTTCAAAGGGCTTCTTCTTTTGTTCAAGTCCGGCGGCTAGCGCGAACTGTTGGGCTTTGTTGCTGGTTTTGCTATATTCGGTGGGCCTTGTCAAGGGTGAAACTGTGGTTCGTTGTTCTGCAATGCTAGTCCCGTCCTTTGTTAACGGGGTGTCTAGTGAGACATTGGTGATTACCCGAAGCTCCGAGGCATCGATGGGGTATTCAACCAAAAATTCATCATCTTCCAAACGATACGTGGAGATTTCTTGCACCAACGGTGCATAATCTGTTGTCCATACGTCTTCTTTGGTATCAAAGGATTCATCGTCGTCATCAGGGATTTCCTTCAATGGTGGTGGTTCACCGTCATCAGGAATTTCTTCCAAAGTGGCTGACGGTGTCAGTTCCTTAGGCATGTTGACCATTTTTCGAGTAGGTGTCTTTGGTAGCGCTACTACTGGAGTAGGTCCTCTCGTCTGATCTGGTTTTCGAAAGAGGAGGGGAAGTCCATTCTTCTTTCTATCCCTATCGACATCTTCTTCTATCTGATCGCTCTTCTCCGTTTTCTGGAGTTCTAATGTTTCTGCTCTCCATCGGATTACCGGGTCCATGGCTCATAGCCAGGGGATTCCCAGTAAAATCTGGTCACGCCGACCAAGTCAGGTGATGTTGAACTTTCCTATCATGGATCGTTCATCAATCTTGACAATAAGGACGCAGTATTGAGTGATGGCGCCCCCCTTCGCATAACTTCCATCCACAGTGGTAACTCGGAATGGTTTTGATAGTTTATGCGTTCGGATCCTGTGAGTTTTGACAAATTCTTCGGAGATAAAGGTTCCGGCAGCACCGGAGTCAACAATGGCTGTTGTTTTGACGGTTTTCAGACGGGTTCTGGAAATAAGAGAAATGGGAATGCAAAGTTCCTTTCTAATTCCAATACTTTGTACAAGTCTGATAGGTACGGAAGATACTGTCGTCGATCCAGCCTTCCACATCAAAAATCCTCAGTGAGGTGATGGATCGTTGTATCTTCATCTTCTTGATTGCTGTCGCTTATTTCTTCTCTGTGAACAGGGATCTTCTTCTTCTGCGGGCATGCTTTAGTCATATGCCCCTTCTGGTGACACGTGAAGCATAGTCCTTTCTTCATATGGTCACTTCTCTCGGCTTCAGTGAGCTGGTCTACCTCCATGGCATTTGGACCGTGCCGGTCAATGGAGGGTCTGGGTATGTATCGTTGTCCAGATGGTTTAGTGGTGGTTCGATGGTTTGATCGATACACGACCCCTCTCTGGTAGTTGCTATCCAGTCTAATGACGGCAGCGACGTACTTGTCGAAATCTATTGGAATGGTTTCCATCTGATAGATGGAGTTGACAATTCCTTTCTTTAGTCCATCATTGAAGAACATGATGAGGACGGCGTCTTGCTTCACAGAGGCTTGTGCAGCAAGAGTTTTGAAACTGGCGATGTAGGAGGTGAGGTCGCCCATCTGCTTCAACGTTCGGAGTTTGTTCATGGCGGTACCAATGGCATCAGCCGGTACGAAGGCCTCTTTGAACTTGGTTTCAAAGTTCGTGAAGGTCCCGTAGGTCTTGGCGACGGAGTTGTCGACTTTGGTGTAGAAAGTAAGTGCCCACCCCATAGCACTTCCTTCTGTCATATAAGCGAGGGCGGTGATGACCTTCTTATCGTCAGTATTATAGATCGTAGTGTTAAGTGTGAAATACGCCTTAACTGCGTACAACCATTGTAGAGCCTGATGAGGACTCCCATCATAGTTGGATGGAGCTCCGGCTTTCAATTCTGGGGAGGTGGAGATGGTGGACATCCTGAGCATCTAGTCAAGTGATGTTTCTGGTTTCAGGGGAACGTTGTCGTTCTCTCGGCTGAGTTCTTTCTTGGTCTTGTAACCTCTTCTGACAGAGAGGGTCAATGGTGACTTTAATCTTTTGTTACGGCGGACTAGGATGGGCTCGACAACAGGTACTCAATAAGAGCACGCCTGAAGCCGGTTCAAGCCTTACAAATGTAAGGTTCTTAAGACAAGTCAGAGAGAGTGTCTCTGGCTTGAATATCGGTTATCAGACAATCTAGGATTGGAGGTCCTAGACAAAGGATAGTTCTGGGTAAAACCTAGTAGATTAAAGTGAAGTTCTAACTAAGTACAAGACCGGGTTTATATAGATGTAAGAGGTTTAGGGTCGGTATTGTACACATCATCAAGACAAGTCAGAGATAAGAATGACGTCATCGAGACGAGTCAGAGATAAGAGAATGACATCATCTAGCAATGGCATGTGGCGGTTGTGATGTAATACAGCTGCGGACGATTGGTCTAATGATGGCATGGTAAGGTGCGGTCATGACGTAATACATGAGCAAGAAAAGAGAGAAAAGAGATAGGGGTAACCATGATTGTAACAATAACTTGCATTGCAGAATTAGGTGCTTTGAACAGAATTATCTGTATGGAGCTGGTAGCCCACATGTATCATTGTGGTGTATGCTACCAGAGCTTGCAAGTCATGTAGATGTGTCCCTGATCACTAGTATTGTTGTCCTTGAGACAAGCACACCCAACTTTCAATACTGTGGCATTGTGCACAGCTTGCTACATGAAGTCCCACATCTATCATATTTGTGTTGACTACTAGATACCAGATGAGTGACAAAGGTGGACCATTTGTCTCAATCATATAGTAGTGCAGAATGTCTTGGCATATTGTCTATCACAGGTCTTAATTTCAAATATTGCTGATGTGTACTACTCAAATCTCACTTGGCAATGCATTATGAAAAATTTTAATCATTCATTATGTACAACGTAAAATTACACACAGCTAGCAGTTTAACATTTAACATTAAGTACTAACCAAACTTAGCTACACCTAGCACCTGGCCAAAGTCATGGCAACTGACATTTTGTTCACATGCTGTGGGCAATAATTGGAAACAAATTTCCTACCAAAAACCTTTCTGAAAAATGAAACCCAAATGAATCAATGGAAGACAATGATGCCAAAGCTACTCACTGATTCCACCACAGTAAAAGGTTGTCAACATCTTTTGTGGCTTCTGGTGATGGAGGAAGCTTGAGATAGTCCACTATATTGTTGTAGAACTCTTGATGGTTGAATTCATCATCAATGATGTGCCAAGATCCCATGCTTGACAATGCAAATCTTAGCTAAATCTCTAATCAGCAAAGTGCACAATATTGAGTTAAATAGTCTGTACTTGAACAGACACATAGGCTATGGCTTGAGGTTGAATAGATCGCATATTGAGGAGTGTTGAAACATCGTGCCAAGTGTGACACTTGCCACTGTTCTTGTTCCATACAGAATGAGCCACTGAGTCAGCAGGTTGTTTCTCATATGTGGAAGTTGGAGAGGTGAACACACATTTAAATGCCTGGAGACTGCATTCAGTATGCTTCTACCAAACATGATAATTTTACCTTTATAAGTAGTTTGCCTTTAAACAAACCATTGGTAGGATTCTGGGGGTCACAGCATCCATCCTTGTACAGGAATGATGGCCAGGAGCAAGCAGTGATACAAAAATCGGGATGGTAGTCTCGAATGGAGGCTTGAACACTTCAAAGACATAAGTTAGTTATGGTGCAGGTCAGAAAAGAGCCCTTACATGGTATTGCTCCAGTTGTAATCAACTGGGCACAGGAGTCCACCTGTCATGTCATTGTAAAAACCCTGACCAGACTTATCTTGTCTGTGAATGGTGGGATTTGGTGTGGGAGTGTGTTCCATTAGCCAATCAGCAACAGTGCACTTGAGACTAGCAGAGTCGTCTCCTCTGGCCCCATCAGAGCCTTCATTCAGCTGGATGCGAGATACAGTCATGTTTTGTCAATGAATTGTTTTTGGGAGTCTCACCTTGTTGTATGCAAAAGCAAGAATTTCATGCTTGGCTGATGACCATAGCAATTTACAAGCCAAGGGACACCATACCATAAGTTTCTTGAAGGAGCGATACTGCCTATTTTCACTGGAACATTGCCTGAGGGCTAACCAGTAAAAGTTGTGAAGATGTACTTACTCTGGGTCATCTGAATCCATTTTGTCAGCGTCTGATTCATTGACAGTGCCCAGTCCAATGTGCCTATTGAATTCTGCTACCAGATCTTCAACGCACTCAGTCAGACATACAAGTCTTTGAATTGGTTGACCATAGTATGCATTTGATTCACTACTTTGATTTTTTATCAACTTGTTGTGCTGCCATTTTAAACACTAGACATACCTTTTCTTCCCAGGGAGCCCATGGACTTGGAGGTCTGCATTTTCTTCCTTGAGTGCAGCAATTCATCTTTTGAGAGCAACCAGAGGTTGAATCTCATTGTTGTCTGGTTCAGATGGAGATGGAAATGAGGTTGCCATTGTGTGTGGATGAGAATGCCAAGTGGGGGCTTAGGGAATAGGCATGATGGTCAATTTAGCTAAGGAAACATAGTGGAAATGAAACATGGACCTTGAGACAGCTAACTTATTAGGGATCCTTAGCATGGATCCCACACAATGTCATGTAGGATTATTGGCTCTGTACATTCTTCAATGTTGCAACCCTGCATGAGTGGCACATACACCATGTAAATATTGACTGAAGGTGACAGGGTTGGTTAGTTGTTAGTAGAGTTTGCTCCAAGGTGAATTCTGTTGATCATGCAACAGCAATTACATAATGCCTGGCAGTCACCTTTAGTGAAACAGAAAGTGAGGATGATACCCCAACAATAGGTCTGTGTACTATAGCCCCAGAAACACAAACTACATGCCATCTATACTTACCAACTTGGAGCTTGAGACTGACCCCAAGGTCTCTTATCCTTCCATTGATGATTTTCTGGCCAAACTTGACAAGGCAGAGCCACAGTGCAGGTGGATCAAAAAGTTTCTCTGTCTGCTCACTTCACTGGGGGTTAGGACATTAGACAACATAGAAATCATATTGCCTGAATGCCTTACTGTGTTTCACCACCTCTGTCCCCTGATGGTTATGGACTTCTTTGTTCACATCACCAGTTACCTTGATGAAGGCCATTTGGCACATCAGAACTCTAGGCTGTAATATGGAAAGTGGTTGAGAATAGTAGGTGAGCCTGTCCAGTAGAAAGCAAACCCTCACCATTAGCAACCTATCTGCCATAGTTTCCACATGTTGGAGTAGATGTCTTTGAGAGACAGGAGACAATGATTCTTCAGTCATCATATGTATAAGGCCCCCAGGTTCTTGCCATAATTTGTGAGGTGTACTGTCAAGTGTAAGATGTATTTTAGTATCAGTTGTATTGAGAGGCCTCAAGCCATAGCACTTACAATTCATGGCTCAATGTTAAGGTCGCATGCTCAAGGGCTTGGCCTCAGCTTGTATGCTGTGCCCCTTTCCTGAGTATGTGCCCTTAATTTCGGGGGCTAGAATAGTCATCTGGAGTTTTCTGGGTTTGACTAGGGTGGACAATGGATGTCTGGATCTGAATGTGAGATAAATCCGGCAGACATCCAGATGTTACTTGGACAAGCAGGTAAGACTAATCTGGACAGATTCCAGACTAGAAACTAACAGGGGATAGACTACCCTAAGGTAGAGCTGGAGATGTAGTCTAGGATGCAATCCTAAGACTCAGAATGTGACAAGAGACTTGGCTCAAGTCCGGAGGACACAGGAATGAGCAGGAACTAAGATGATATTCAGACTGAAGTATTTCTGAGAGTTACAGGAGGTCTATATACTGTAGGTATCATATAGGAATCAGTCAGCAAACACAAAGGCTATGTACAAAGCATATGCAAAGTCTATTAGTAAGTAGGACAGATCACAAATAATGCATATCGGGAAATGAAATGTATGTAATGGATCAATAATCAAAAGGGAAACATAGTTAACCAGAGTCCAGAGACAGGGGAAGTCTAAATGGGGTTGGGCACTGATATAGAGTTTGGATTCTGGAAGGAAAATAAAGATAGATCAGATCATTGGAGATCCGGATTTAGAGTTGAGGGTCTGGAATGGCATATGACACTCAATGGGCACCACTGTTCACTTACTGAACAAGCATGATGAAGGACCATAATGCAAGTGTTCCATTTTGACCAATGAGTGATGCTGTTAAGGTCATACTCAAGGCTAAATGGATCCAAAGGGCTTCAGCCTCAGCTCATGTGCTGTGCCCCTTACCCGAGTATTGCCCCTTATTTCAGGAGGGCAAGACTAACACATCTGGAGGGTTGGACAAGTAGTGTAGTGGATCCAGATGACTTCCAGATGCAGGATAAGTATTATAGGGCTAATCTGGACGAGTCCAGACTAGAAACTAATGGTAGTGGACTGTCATAGACAGAGGTGGATACAGATAGACAATAGGAGTTAATCCTAAGTCTTGGAGGGTGACGAGAGTAGAGATACTCAGGTCTGGAGGACAGGAATGAGCAGAGCTAAGTTGATATTTGAACTAAGGTGCTACAGAGAGTTACAGGAGGTTATATACTATAGGTATCTAATGGAATGATCAATCAGCAGAGTCCAAGGCTATGTACAAAGCATATGGATAGTCTATTGGTAAGTAGAAACAGATCACAAATAATGAAACAGAAATGAAGCATAGGTAATGGATTAGGGAGCAGGATGGATATACAGATAACCAAAATACCGGAGTTAGGGGATTACCAAAAGGAGACGAGTGCTGGTTGTGGATTTGGATGAATTGTGGACCAGACCAGATGAGTGGACAGATTGGATGATGAGATGTTGGAGGGGGATAAAATGTGGATAGGATCAGAGATAAGATGTGGATTGGATCTGAGATGAGATAAGAATTGGATCTCAGATCTGGATATGCAGATATGACAGATGCCCATGTGTTTGACCTCCTGAAAGCTGGGATCCCTTGCCACTGACTTCAGTATTAAATCCACTATTATAATCATGTCAGTATGCCTCGAGTTCACATGGTATCAAGGTCTTACTCTGGAAGCGATTACTCAGATTCTGGTTTGGAGGCACTGAGCAAGATATTCACAGGCAATCTGAGCAGAGCTTTCATGTGCTGACTTGTTATTTTGATCTTTCAGAATAATGTCTTGCTAGAAGGTGTTTAGCATGATGGGAGCATAAAATGCAGGTCATGTACCAAACATTTAAAGCCAGCAGACACCAGAACAGGGATGCATGCTGAAAAACAACAAGATTTATAAGAGGAAGGCTCAAAATCAGGAATTGAGATGCACCCATGCTGACAAGAGCCAGCTTCCAAGCATATACAAGGATGATGATCAAACCAGCAAGTATAGTTGTGATGGATTGGACAATCCTAACCAAAGTCAGTATGTCATAACCTCAGGAGGACTCATAATACACACATTCCCAGAGTTACACCAGTGAGACCATTGATCTTCTGGGGGTTTTTGCCCAAGCTTGATGTCAGAGCACCAGTCTTTCAAATTCTGATAAGAGCTGTGCTTGAGCTGGAGAGTTGTATGACTCACATTGTTCTTGTTGTTATAAAAATAATTTGGCAATTAAGGTACTCACTGTCTTGCTGGAGGATGGCTTTGAAACTCATTGAACGGTGCTCAGAAATCAAGACAGTGGCAGAAGAAGAAAAGAAATAGATTTGGAAACCAGTACAGCAGTCATACAGAATGGTGAAAATGAAAAACCTGGCTTGAGATAAGCACCAGCATGAACTCTAGGAAAACAAGTAAACTCAACCAGAGAGCATTCTGGTCACCTTGGTAGCAGTGGTCAGAACTTGTGGTGGTGGAAAAGCTGGAGATCACATGCCCTACCAGTGCATGTCAGGATAAATGACATCCATTTTGTTTGATAACAGGACTCACCATTGGCAGGAGGACATGAAGGATATAGCTGGGCTATGTAAGATCTGCACAGACTCCCCCCCAAAGTCTGCCAAACATATTTAGGCTGATAGCAGGGATGGCAGGAGAGCTTGACAACAGGCAGGATAGGGGACAGCAGGAAAGGTAGAGTTGACAGTGGTTGACAAGGCATTGACAAATAAGTTGCACAAGGCCACATGACATGTGGCAAAGCTTGAGGGTAGTTTACTGTTGTTGAGATTTTGTACTGTTATGACATTTTGATCAGTCAATTGCATTGTCATGCTTTTGGATCATTTGATGTCAATGTGCACGTCTCAATGCATGGATGCATAGGCAATCAAAATTGTCTTTTTTCATTATCGGACAACAATTTTCCTGGCCCAATCTGGGAAACTAGTTCTCAAACACAACACACCCACCACCTCCAGCACTACTACCTCATCCATCTCCTCAACTCCAGTCCCACAAACTGTGTTGTCCATGGTCAGTGTCTGGCCTTTAATACACATACATATTATTTATTATTTGATAGACCCCCATAGTGGCAGTCACTCCACACTCTACCTCCATGTTCACATCACAAACTAAAATCATGATCAGTACTGGAACCATCACATCCACAACTCCTTCTTCAACTGCTAGCTCTTCAGGCTCTGTCAACACTGCTGCAGTTGTAGGTGGTATTGCTGGCTGTCTTGCTGGTTTGGCTTGGACTTGTCTCAATTTTGACTTTGTCAGATCTGTAGCTTTCTATGTGGAACTTTACCTTGTCATGGACAAGAACAACCACAATGCACATCAACTTCATGCCATAGCAAAATCCAATACATGATATGGCAGATCAACTCTCAGCCCATGTCACACAATCTTTAGTTACCTCAGCTTGCATTAGCTGGTGCAGGCACAGGCGCCATCACCAGTTTGATACTGCAAGTCACCCACACCTTGTACAAAAGTTGTAATCAATTATTGTTTTCAACTAGCACACCTGTGGAGCTTGTAAACTGTAAAATGCAAGTGCAGATGATTGCTCCTGGTCTGCTTTCAGCCTCAATACATGAATCCACCATGGCAGCAGCCCTAAAATCATGCCTCAGGCCCATTTCTTGCCCTGTTCCTAGTCCTATAGCCATTCTCAGGAGGCAAGTTTCCTTGAGCAGTATAGGAGTTCATTTTGTCTTGGTGCAGACCCTCCTACTGAACATGTTAGCCACTCATAAGTGTGTTTGTAGGATAAAAAGACATACCTTGTGTACTAGTGCATCTCCAATCTACTACTTGATCAGCACCCTTCTAGAGAGACATGTTGTCACCTCCAAATTCACCCCAGGCAGTGGGAACTTGAGATGCCAGCACAATGCAAGAGTCACTGAGGGAATTAGACTCCAAAAATGTTTGGACTGCATTGATATCTTCAGAGATGTGAAACACAACTACTTGAAGGTGTGACAAAGTGAGAATGGAAGCCACTAATTCTGGCTTAGTCCTCTGCATATGGATATGTAAGCACAAGTGTGTCAGTCCATGAAGATACTCCAGACCAACTGTGGAGTTCCATAACACTCACACATTGAGAATTTCAAGACGTGTCACTGTACTGAAGGCCTTGAAAGTGGAAAGAGAGACAAATTGGGTGTAATGGAAAATCAAGGATATACTAAGTGACAATGATGTTAGGGGGAGGTCATTTAAGGGCCAGCAGCAGAGTATTTGTTGTTCCATTGAAGTCTGATGGTGCAATCCACAATGCAAGATTGGTGGTACCACTGCACAGGGAAAGATATCTGCAGCTGTACTCAGAAGTACAGTGGCTCAAAAAACTGTCCATATGTTTTTGCATTTTTTACTATTTACAATATTGTGTGAGAATATGTAAAGACCTCAGTGACATGCTGGTACCATATTGTAGTGCTGCTTCAGGGCTTTGGATTGAGCACCACATCATGAGAATCAGAGGAGATATGGTGGAGATACAAGGCTTACAAAATCATGACTCATGCAGACAGTTTTTTGAGCACATATTAAAACTATATAAATCATCATTTATGACACCATAACAATCATGCCACCATTAAATAAATTATAAAGTGGTGTCATTATGTCATTTTAAAACCATATCTAACTATACAAACCAAAAATCCCCATATGTCATGGTTATATTCACCATGAAAGCCACCCCCCCTGCTCAAAGGGATAATATCCTCTCTCTTTCCTATTCTGGCCTCTCTGCTTGTCAAATTTCCTCTAGAACTGGAGTATCCAAGTCCACTGTGGCCAATTTCATCAAGGAAAGTCACACAGACAAGGAAAACTTCTGTGAAGGGTGTCCATCCAAGCTCACCTCTACTGATAGGGGGGCTGTTGTTCAACATATTACTACAGGAAAGGCTGATAATGCTGTCCAGGTCACCTATTACATCAATTCCACCATCACATTCCCTGTCTCTTCACACACTGTGAGAAACATTCTCAAGACAGCTCATCTCAGGTCAGTAACAAGGAAGAAAAGGCTCTCCTCTCTATCACACATAAACAGAGATGACTAACCTTTGCCTTAGCCCATCAGGATTGGATTACATGGACTGGAAGCATGTTATATGATCATATAAGACCACAATAAATAGGATTGGGTCAGATGGCAAGGTATATATGTGAAAAAAGAAGGGTGCTAGTCCTCTCTGCATATGTGTGATAGAGAGGAGAGCCTTTTCTTCCTTGTTACTGACCTGAGATGAGCTGTCTTGAGAATGTTTCTCACAGTGTGTGAAGAGACAGGGAATGTGATGGTGGAATTGATGTAATAGGTGACCTGGACAGCATTATCAGCCTTTCCTGTAGTGATATGTTGAACAACAGCCCCCCTATCAGTAGAGGTGAGCTTGGATGGACACCCTTCACAGAAGTTTTCCTTGTCTGTGTGACTTTCCTTGATGAAATTGGCCACAGTGGACTTGGATACTCCAGTTCTAGAGGAAATTTGACAAGCAGAGAGGCCAGAATAGGAAAGAGAGAGGATATTATCCTTTGAGCAGGGGGGGTGGCTTTCATGGTGAATATAACCATGACATATGGGGATTTTTGGTTTGTATAGTTAGATATGGTTTTAAAATGACATAATGACACCACTTTATAATTTATTTAATGGTGGCATGATTGTTATGGTGTCATAAATGATGATTTATATAGTTTTAATATGTGCTCAAAAAACTGTCTGCATGAGTCATGATTTTGTAAGCCTTGTATCTCCACCATATCTCCTCTGATTCTCACTGATGTAGGTGCTCAATCAAAGCCCTGAAGCAGCACTACAATGTGCTATAAGCATATCCTTGAGGCATTTGTTCGTTCTCACACAATATCATAGATAGTGAAAAATGTCAAAACATGTGGACAGTTTTTTGAGCCACTGTATGATGTCTGTAGGGATCAAGACACACTCAAATCTGGAAGTGGCTCTACAGTGATGATGTTGTCAAGAGAAAGCAGTGCGAGCGCTCACCCTTTTTGGTATGCATGGGTGTTGGGTGCATTTTGTATTAATGTTCTTCATGTTGGCCCCAATGCTCATAACCGTTCGCCTCAGTACATGGAAGTCTTGTGGGTGCAATGGTTCGGTGTTGTGCCACAGTACTGCTGGGGCTTCTGAGAAGGCTGCCTCCCAAAGATTGGATTCATTCCTGACTCACCCACTGCCTTTGGGTTTCTTGACCTGTTGCTAGTGATCAGGGCATGCCACCTTATCCCTGCTTTCACTGATCATCATACAAATGACCTTCTCAGGCAAGGTCCCTCCACTGCAAGACTGTCTGGAGAGGTCAATGACTGGGTTTCATTTTATGTTAACATGTGAGATTTATTTCATTTCATACTCATATCACCATAACTCATGCAGTTTCACCGATAGAGACATGTTTTGCCATTTCACAGGCATAGGCATTGGTCATCAAGTTCAATATGACTCATTGAATATCATCCAACCTGATCATGCAGTAGGGGGCAGAAGTACTGGTGTTAATCATGAAGACATTTCGGATGACGAGGACCCTGAAGCCCATGCCAATGTTGACTTTGGAGATGAAAGCTGGCAATGTGATAGAGACCTAGATGATGATGTCAGCCAGGATGATGCAGATGAAGATGAGAATATTTCCAAAGATTGTGACAGTGATGTAGATGACTTAGATGACTTTGGCAGTGACTTTGAGGATGAGGGGTCTGCATTCAAATTTTGATAGTGAAGAACCTTTTTGTAGTGAACTTTAATAAATAAATTGTGCAACACACAACATCAAAAGCACGATATAGACAATCCTCAACAACAATTCTCTCTTCTCGCCATGGTTCAAAGTTTCTTGATGCACTGTGCTCTGTGGAATAATTGGTGTTCTTTGGATCAGTCTTGAAAGTAATCTTGGTGGAACATAGTATACTAGAATGGCTCTCAGTAAATGCCAAGATGTGAAACAACACAATGATGCATCACTTAATGTAAAACTGGAATATCCCAATTCCATCATACTAATGCTCTGTTTCCTTGCGAGTGTTGAACTTCTTGCCCTTGTAAGCGTCATTACATTGCCTGTGTCCATAGTAAGATACAGATTATGGTACAGACAAATAAATGCTTACATGGAGAATGGAGCCATAAGACAAACAACCTGCTGGGAGTTCTTTGGACTCCTCCTTTGAGGGATCAAGGATGGGTTGAAGTCCAGGGGGAAGTACTTGTTCAACACTAATGTTAAGAACCATGTTGCTCAAAGGAGAGAGAGACTGACTCAGAGGGGCTTGGCCTCAGCTTGTATGCTGTGCCCCTTACCTGAGTATGTGCCCTTCATTTCAGAGGGAGTCCTGATGATGGTCTGACAAAGTCTGGAGGACTTCTGGAGGCTGGCTACTCTGGTGGAGTGCTAGAGGACTTCCAGAGAAGTGTGGGAAACATCCAGAGGAGCATAGGAGAGTTCTGGAGGAGTGCAGGAAGTGCTCAGGAGAGTTCCCACTGCAAGGTAGTACTTCTACAGGAAATGGGATGGAAGGGTATGAGGTCTGGAGGACAGGAGGACAGGAGGACAGGAACATCCAAGGGTTAGGAGGACGGAACGTCCAAAGGACAGGACATCCAGAGGTCTGGAAGGAATAGGGGCTACATTGGACAAAGTCTGATGTAGAAGCAAACAGAGGTAGACTACCCTTAGGTAGAGTCAGAGAGACAGGAAGTGGACCAAAGTCTGGAGAGAGGGTAAGTGCTGGAAAGGCAAGACTCCAATCTAGGGAAGCAATCCCTAGACTTGGGACAGAGACATAGGGGACAAATCCGAAGGTCTGGAATTCTGGCCTAGGGAATCCATCCCTAGGCCTTATGGAAAAGGACAAGACTCAGATGGACTGAAGTCTGGAAGAAGATTGGGCAAATAGAATGGATCTAAGATGATATTCAAACTAAGGAAACTACAGGAGTGTCATATCCCACAATCCGGACCCACGTTCCATCATATTCCCATGCCTTCTGAGCCTACATCCAGACCCCACTTCATATCCAACTCATTCCCAGATCCCCTTCTGCTGTGTGCTCCACACCTTAGCAAGATCGACTACGCTCCGGATTTACCCCTGAGCTCTGGACCTCCAGATCCTCACTGCTAGCCTGATCCGTACCACCTTATCCCGCCCACCCTATGCGCACTCCATCCAGCAAGACATCCAGACTTCACCTTGTCTCGGATTCAGGACTATATCCACCCCATCGTATCCCAGTCCTGTATCCACCTCACCTTCCAGATCCTCAGATCTCCGGACCTCCGGATATCAACCATGACTATCTCCGGACCTATTCCCACCCTCTGTCCAATATCCTGCACCTATCCCCATTTAGGCATCTCTACCTTTCCAGCTTTTGGTTACCTCTTCTTCTGTCTTGCTTATTGATCCTTGTACAAGTCTTCATCTCCGAGTTCATTTACTTATGTTCTGTCTTACTTACTAATGTGTTTCCACATGCTCGTACATAGCCCTGCTCCTTTGCTTATTGATCCCCTCAGATATTCTCCAGTATATAACCCCTGTAGATACTCCTGTAGTTCCTCAGTTTGAATATCAACTTAGACTTGCCCAATCCTCTCTTGGACTTTGGTCCACCTAAGTCTGTCCTACCCATCAGGCCTAGGGATTGATTCCCTAGGCTGGAGCTCCACCTTTCTGGCACTTACCCTCTTTCTGGACTTAGGTCCAATCCCTGTCTCTCCAACCCTACCTTAGGGTAGTCTACCTCTGTTTGTTTCTACATCAGACTTCATCCGATGTAGCCCCTATTCCTTCCAGACCTCAGAACTCCTGTCCCTTGTACCTCCAGGCATCCTGTCCTTCAGATATTCCACCCTCCATACCTTCAGATATTTCATCCTCCTAACCTTCAGACATCCTGTCCTTCTGTCCTCTGTCATCCTGCCCTCCTGTCCTCCTGTCCTTCTGTCCTCCATCATCCTGCCCTCCTGTCCTCCTGTCCTCTGGACCTTTGGACCTCCTATCCTTCCATCCTGTTTCCTGTAGAAGTATTACCTTGCAGTGGAAACTCTCCTGAGCACTTCCTGTGTTCCTCCAGAGCTCTCCTGCGTTCCTCCGGAGCTCTCCTGTGCTCCTACAGACAGTTTCCCGCGCTCCTCCGGAAGTCCTCTAGCGCTCTCCAGCAGAGTAGCCAGCCTCCAGAAGTCCTCTGGACTTCATCAGACCATCATTGGACCTCATATGAAATGAAGGGCACATACTTGGGTAAGGGGCACAGCGTACGAGCTGAGGCCAAGCCCCTCTGAGTCAGTCTCTCTCCCCCTTGAGCAACATGGTTCTTAACAAGGAGTATCTACAGGGGTTATATACTGGAGAATATCTGGGGGGATCAGTAAGCAACAGAGTAAGGCTATGCACGAGCATGTGGAAACACATTGGTAAGTAAGATGGAACATAAGTAAATGAACTCAGAGATGAAGACTCATACAAGGATCAATCAGCAAGACAGAACAGGAGGTAACTGAAAGCTGGAAAGGCAGAGATGTCTAAATGGGGATAGGTGCAGGATATTGGACAGAGGGTGGGAATAGGTCCAGAGTTAATATCTGGAGGTCCAGAGATCTGGGGATCTGGAAGACAAGTTGGATACAGGACTGGGATATGAGAAGGTGGATATAGTCTGGAATCCAAGACAAGGTGAAGTCCAGATGTCTTGCTGGATGGAGTGTGCATAGGGTGGATGGGACAGGGGGTTATGGTTCAGGCTAGCAGTGGAGATCTGATGGTCTGGAGCTCAGGGGTAAATCTGGAGTGTAGTCAATCCTGCTGAGGTGTGGAGCACACAGTGGAAGGGGATCTGGGAATGAGTTGGATATGAAGTGGGGTCTGGATGTAGGCTTGGAAGGCGTGGGAATATGATGGAACATGGGTCTGGATTGTGGGATATGACAACTAATGCAAATATCAGCTTCATGACTTAGTTTAAGGCTTAGTCCGTCCTTATCTTTATGTCCAGACATGGTGGCTGATTAGAAGAGTATTAGGATTGATGCACTTGCATTGTGGATGATGGCAAGTAGCAACCAAGTCTACACAAATTGGTGCATAAGCCACACAGCAGAGACATGATTCATGGATTCTGATTTCTAATGTAGCTCACCTGAAAGGCAGTCCCTTTCCTCATTGATTTATCCTCTCCAGCAGGGTCTCCTGACAGTAACAAGAAGGCTTCCACATCTGCTATGGAGTCATACTCATCATTTTGACTTGCATTCTAAAAATGACACAATTCTCACTGACAATTCAACCTGCATCAAAGGCTAAAAGTGTACCCTCTAATCATTGTAGACATTTTTTTAGACAGGAACTGATTAGCTGTTCATTTAACTGAACCTGCATTGTGAGCAGCAATTGACAGAATGAACTGGTGGACAATGCTGCAGGTGAGCAAGGAGGGCACACTAAAGGCGGGAAATTTCTTGTTAGGTAATCAATCAGTTAATTCCAAATCATGTGACCAGCATAAGTTTTATTTTCAATCTCATCTTTCTCTTCCTTCAGTTAGTACCACTGGGCATTCATTCACACCAGTTGCCGATACATGCATCATGTATGGCTCCCCTTGGTGGGACAGTTTTAGGTGCTTAGGCCCTAATCCACAACCATCCACTGTTAGCTTGAGCATCTTGGTCCCTGAACATTCAAGGATGCACTGGGAAAACTCTTTTTTTTTTTGCATTTTTGATTTTGATGGGTGAGAGCCCTGCTATGGCTGGAGGTCTCCATGTGAGCTCTATGACCCTGTGAAATGATTTGCATCAACTATGACATTATTTGTCTGAAGATGTTGTTCATGCAGTGTTCTAACCTTAACCTTAAGCAAACTTTAAACAGTTTGCAACTCATTTAAACTGGACTCATAACTCCCAAAGGCCATACACACTAGTCTGCATCAAAATCTCTGTGTCTATGCAGCATTGAGGATTGCATTTGCAAGGACTGGGACATCAAACTTCACCACTGTCCATGTGGCTCCTTGTTGTGTGTCAGCCACATCCTAGTTACCATTGTTCTATAATACTTTCTACCACCAAGCAACTACCAGGAAGCAGTTCTTCCAATCGTTTCAGCTTCTGCAGCATTGTACAAGGTCTGAGGGCAACATGTCCCACATGGTTTCCTCTCCACCATTGTTGATTGTGTTATCTTGCTCAATGGGATTCTGACAGATCCAAGACATCATGAATTTTGGACTCATTAGCTTGGCTTCCACACTCTCATTTCGAGTTATCAGCGAATTTGAGAAGACAGGTATTTTGGAAGGGAGGATTTCAGGTGTTTGTGGGATTGAAGCTGCTGCTATCTCCTCTTCCAGAAGGACAAGCTCCTGATATTATGCTCAGCTAGCAAAGGTATGTATCATGTTGTCCAAAACACGAATATCTGACATGTTCAATGTAACACATGGGTTTATAGCCAAGTTCTTGCACCAAATAAAAGAAGGGAATCCTCCTGTTCCAGTCAAGATACTCATGCAAGCGAAGGCAAAGGAACCACCTAGTGATGCACTGCCAAAATTCATGGAGGCTTACACATCTTTCAAACATGTCAGGAGCTTGGTGAAGGAAGCATGCACAGGGAAACTGATGACAGAGTGGGAGCAGGGCATCTCAAAAGCTGACAAGAAACCCGAACTGGTTAATATGGCCCCTGCATTGTCTGCATTCATGGCTGTCAAGGACAAAGAAGAAATGGTGTGTTCATGCATTGCATCTGGGAGTCAACGGTCTTCTAATGCACAGTGTAGAAATGCATCCATACAGTGGCAAATCTTACTTCCACTTTGCTTGTTCACCACATCATTTTAAAACTGGAGATGATATTGGACAAGGAAGCCAAGATAACTCATGAACAATTTGCCACTCAGATAGAGGTGTGCCTTGGGTCAGGTGAAGGGCCTAATAAGAAAGTGTGGAGTAAAGGGTGGGGCCTCAATGATGTGTGTCAGCTGCTCTTCCAGACTTGCTCATACATCTCATTGGTCATTCCAGGTTGATTAGGCATCAACGGAGTTTTGCTACTTTCCTATCATTCAGTTGCGGTCAACAATCACCAGTTATGATTTGCAATTGACTGCAGAGTCATCCTCAGACACCATTGCACATAAAGGCATCTTCCTGATTGCCATTGGTATGTGATACAAGTATTGCTGGGCCAATCTTGGACAGGGTATAATTGTCGACCCTTTGAAGGTCAGTATGGGCAATGTTCTGATCTAGCTGGCCTTAATTCACCTCACAGGAACAAGAAACCATCTACAATTTACTTCTGTCAATGCAGAGCAAGATGCAGAGGGAGATCAAGGATGGCATTAGTGCACATGAAGTATATTAGTGGGCATTGGACATTGTGAGAAATGAGTAGCCAGAGCTTGAGAAGAACTTTGTCAAGAATGTTGGGTTTGGAGTGAGTTAATCTTCTATCAAACAAGTGCCTGCCAGTCTCAAATTTGTTCAGACCAGCATGGAGCTCTGTGATTCTGCATATTTGCTTTCTTCTAAAAACTCCAAGCACTTGAAGATGGATATGGTTTTAAACCTGTCTCTTGGCTTCTCTGGGGTGCCAGCAGCAGTGGTGAAAAGCCTGGAAGCACTTCCAAAGTTATAAGGGTGAAAGTGCACTGCCACAGGAAGTCAACAGTCTCTGAGTGAGTAGATCAACTTCTATATGGAACTTTTCAGGCTGCACCAACATGTCTCCCCAACTATGCCAGGCTCAACTTCTTCAGACACCTCCACATGAACTTGCATACCAAGAATCTTTGATTCAAGAACAAGAAGCAGAAATTCAAGAGATTGAGTCAGGTATACATGAACTATCAGAGATATTTTGTGACCTTGGGACACTCATCAACCAACAAGGTGGCATGATTGGTATGTGGCATAGCTTCCTTGACAATCACTTGCTCACCAATGCCTTTTGTTCTCTTCCTCCTTTTTTGCAGACAACATCAAATCAAATGTGTATTCCATCGCTGATTCATTGTAGATACCCAAGGGACAGCCAAGGAGCTTTCGACTGCTTCCAAGTACCAACACAAAGTCAGATGATGGGCAGCATGTCTCATGATTACCCTGGTCATTGTCATTGCAATCGTTGTAGGGATTTCATATTCTGTGGGCTTGTATAGGCAGATATTGCTTAGTGTTATGTTCGCACTTTTGGTGCTTATGTAATCATCATAGTTTTCACCATCTACCAGTACCAGTCTGAGACTGAGAGTTATTAGCATGATTTCCTATCCTCTCTGAGCACTGAGCTTAGTCCAGAAACCCTTTAGGGTTGAATAGCAGCTAGGCATAGCACATTTAGCCCAACATTAGAAGTCTACTTTCCAGTTCTCTTCTTGTTGTGTTTCCCACATTGTGCTTTTGGCTGAAATAACCACTATTGCAGGTAGACTTGACTAAACAATCTCCAGATTTTGTCATAGATGTAGCCTTGTGTCGTTGCCTTTCATACCTATACTAATTTTTTGTTGACTGGTGGATTATGGACCTCACTACCATAGATATGTTTCATTAGGTGTTTTTATTTCTTATGTCTATTTCTAATATCAATTAACTTGCATGCAAGTTCATGGTACCCTCTCCAGCAAATGTATGTGGTGCAATTCAAATATTCACAGGTGTTTGCAACAGCTACTAGAGTGGCAAGACTCCTCTAAATCATTGCACCCCATTATATCCCCTCCCCCCATGATGGACTTAGGCAGATGGTGCTGCATCCTAGAACATGTCTGTACCTATCATATAATGGCTATAGCCAGCGATAGTCTGTGTGTAGTAACAGGATTCATGATCATTGTTGCCAGTAAGATATAAACTTTGGGCAATTTGATATTGGCCTATAATGAGACTATCCAATGAGTTTTTTTTTGCAGGAATTTGAGACTGTGAAATCATTTGGAGTAAGAATGGTAGAAATCTAAGTGTCTGTTTATCATCTGATACACCTTTATAGTGGCAAATCAAGTATTGCATCAAGGTGAAAATCATTAAGGGGTAATAAAGTTACATGTGCTTGATATGTTATTATATTCCATTGTACTGTGTTACCATGACCAAACAGAAATGGTTAAAATTGTAATTTATGCCTTATCATACCGAGCTAAGTGAATTTCAGTGATGGTACAGTTGACCATGCACAAATCCATCTGTGCAAAGGTCAACTATGGCACATTGGTCTGTCCTTGCAAGCCATTGAACATCGTGGCATATGTAGGCAGCGGCTCTCAACAATGCTGGTGGATGGACCATCATGTGGGACATGAAAGGGGTCCCAGTGGAGTGTGCACATAGCATCAACACCAATTGAAAATCGCTCCATTCTTACAATATGACCTCATTAGGCATGTGAACTGCAATGCCACTAGTATGATTTCCAGTCATTTGCTCCCCCAATAGACAACTGCCTTCCATTTTAGGCTACTAATGCCTGCTTGTGTAATCAGCCTTGCACAGCATGCAGTGTGGCATGTCGCATAGTGATACCAAGGTGTGTTTTACTTTTCAACCTCTCACTAAGTATGTTGATGTTTCTTTCTCTCACATCACAGGGTGTTGATATGATGTAGAAGTAGTTGGGGTTGGCAAGATATAAACTATGAAGGTGCTGAGTGTCAATATGGTTTTGTCATGACACCTCGATTCTGGCAATGATAGCAGCAGCTACTAGAACCTGAACCTCTTCTTTGTCATCATTGAAAAGGTCTGCCTCATCAGTGCTGATAAACTCACACTAGAACATAAGATCATCTCTTGGTAGGAAGGACTAAATTTAATGAGTTAGCATGTGGCTGATTATTTTCATATAGGTTAAAGTCACTATTTGCAAGTGCACTTCAGACTTGGAATATATATGCTGTTCTGGAATGTTTTACCTATGGAAAGTCATGCCCTGAATCAGGCATGTGCATAAGCACCCACACCTGCTATCAAGTGAAGAGGCCATCATATCCACACAGGGAATTGCTTGACATCCAACATCAGGTGTGTGGTTCCTTGATGCATGTGCTCTTGTCATGTTTTCATGTGTGTTGTTTTTTGCCCCTGTTCCTGCCCAGGGTGGAGCCAAGATTATCAAGGGTACCATAATGGAGGATTCAGATGGTTTTCATACTCTCAAGCAATTTAGATTGTTCAATATGACATGTGAGTCTCAATCCAGCAATGCTTTCTAGTTCAGATGATTACTAGCATGCATGCAGGTCTCCATACTATGCTGCTCCAAATTAGGTTTCTAATGCTCATAGCATCAGGAAATCACCGAGGTGATGGTTTTTGTAGTTGTAGTTGGTAAGATCAGATCAAAAATTCACGCAATTATATGTAATAACAAAAGTAGACAAAATAATATATAAGATAAGCAAATTGGCAGTGAAGGATAAGATATGGCAAAAAATGTATAATTCTGATGAAAATAGGCAAGTGTACCAACATTTCTTGACTGCATGGTCACCTATAGTCACTGGTGACCACTTGGGATCAAGAGGCTCAGCCCTGTAGGATGCTTATGTAAGTCCAAATTTTTTTCAAAGTTCAACGTTACAGTCTTCTTACTAGTTCCGATTCTCTCAATGCTACCACCACCACTAAATTACTCTCTGAATCTCGAACTCTCACTCTCTTTGGCCTTCCCTCTTGGTCCCTCCCTTATGGTTCCTCCTCCTTGGTTCCTCCTCCCTCATGGTCCCTCCTCCCTGGTGATCCCCCCTCCTTGGTTCCTCCTCATGGACCCTCCTTCCTGGACCCTCCTTCTTGGACCCTCCTTCCTGGACTCTCCTTCCTAGACCCTCTGTGGGCCCTCCTTTGTGGACCCTCCTTTGTGGACCCTCCTCCCTCTTATACTCGTTTTCTGTCTTTCGTCATGTTATATATGTATATATGTACTTACATCTTGTTTGTTTAAATACAAAATGATTTTTTTTTGGAATAAAATGTGTGTGCAAAGGTCAAAAAATTAGCTGTTGTTTGAAGCCACCCAACATTATCAAACTTTGTCATGGCTGCCAAGTGTTGGCAACATTTGCCGGTTTGGTGAGAAATAGCAAGTAATTGCAGGTAGACTATCATGATTGTGCTTTTGGCAGTTTTCATCCAACTTACTCTGGGTATATAAAGCATTTTCTAGTGAACTATCATTTTGATAGATATTATACAAATTTTAAATCAGGCAAAGCTTGACAAAACTTTACCATTTTCACGTCACTTCCCTGATGCTACGAGGCTCCAATTGGACAACTCCTTGACTACCAGATACGGTGACCAGCATGTGGCTCGAATAAGTTCCAGTCCACTGGATGTCGATATTAAATGACGGTGCAATGTGCTCAGTTCAGCCTATCTGGAAATGTGGCAGTAAGCTGTGTTGTCTACTAGAAGCGCTCGTTAAAATTGATATTTCTCTCCACCGGGACGCTACAGTGACAGGGTTCGTTCAAGTTTTATATCTAGCCTAGGTCTATAGTGTCCTTACACGTGTGTATTCATCATGTTTTTCTCTATTCTTTGCCTTCGAGTAAGCGCTTTGATTCTCCGCTGTGCCTAGACTACTGATCTGGAGCCGAGATCAGCTAAGTGGAGGGTTCGAATCACCGCTGTATCTGCACGACTCAGGTATCTCAATCTAGCAAACTTCTTTTATTGCACTTCATCCGAATGACCGCTAGTATGCATGCAGGTCTCCTTGTGTTGTTGTCCATGAGTTCCAGAAACATAATCTGGACACTGATGGGCCTCCAATGCCACTTCTTGACTAGCTGCAACAATTTCTTCTAGACTTGCCAGTGGTGCCAGCATTAGCAAGTGGGCGGTATGCCATGGTTCGGCACGGCATAGACGGTCGCACTTATTCAACCATCATCAATTTTCTCTGAGACGCAGTGACAGTGTTTGACTTCTATCCCTATCTAGGGTCCTGAATGAGCGCTCGTTCCCACTTCGCGTGTTCTCTTGTGCTCAGTGAACATGCCTGTAGCATCCTATTTGGCATGCCAGATTCGTGTACGATCTATGTGCAGTAAATCATACATGCGGAGTTCCATTCGTCCCTTATAACTGCTGCTCATTGACTTTAACTTCCCAACCCACCTACAGATAGTCCTTGATGGCTGTACAGAAGCTTCTGTTAGCGTTGACAATCCTCATCTCCACTTGCATATTCGCTCTTTGCTGGGGGTTCATGATTATAGTTTGGCGTCTAGAATATGTGATTCTCTCCGACTCCGTCGTCAACTTCATTACAAGATATCCTACCGTGCTCACCCTCGTATCCACTGTGATATCCACGATTCTATCAGTAATTACCACGTTGTAAGTCCAGACAGCTAGGTGTACGCTGTGATTCGCTGACATCTACATTCAGTCTTTTATCATTCGCTGTCAAAAAGGCAGTCAGCCATTATATTACTTGACCAATATCACTGGTCGAACTTCATACTGCAATAGCTCTCACCAAACCACAACCCCTTCTTCGATGGAATCATTACAAACTCTCAATTTTCACGTTGATTTTTGTCTGTTTGGTTACGCTCCTCAATTCAAGCTTTGAAATTATGCTCACGAGCGCCATAACTGACACATACCCTGTCGCAGCTGGACAACATTACTATTGCCGACACCGCTTTTGTGGCCTGTAAAGATCGGAGGCAGCGAACTGGATCTCACAAGCACCGCCTTCGACACGAATCTAGGTAATGACACTACTAAGCGAGGATGTAAGGACCAGTGTATCCTTATTCATTGAGTGGTATTCATTGATAATCCTATTCATATAGATTACGCGAATGGTTATGATATCCTTGATATTATGACATCAATGAGCGGGACTTCAGCCTCACGTTCGGCTGTTGTAGGTGGAAGTGATAGTGTCTTCGCCTTCAATGGTGTCTCATACAACACTTCCAGTAGTGCGCTCTGATGTAACAGCATACCCGGATTAGAATCTCATTCTGTTCTCAGGTGGCATCCTTCCGGCAGTCGAAGATTACGCAGGCACGACATTGCCCCCTGGTGATATTGGTCTTTGGTACTACGGTGGAAAAGTCGCATCGGCCGTCAAAGATTACCCGAGTCGTTCTGGACTCACCAGAAACTATACAGTAACGCAACAGGGTCTTTCGGCGAATATTAACTGCAGCGACCTAAGTGACCTTGATCCAAACGAGTTCTCGCTGTACTATAATTATTCCATTTCGCTGGCCCTTGGATCAAATATTACAACTTGGAAATGGACAGCTTATTGTCCTCTCAACAATAGTACGTCTGGACGGTCCACCTGTATCTGACGCGGCCTGATGTTGTTTGTCAGCGGGTGTCGGCTATTGGTCGACGGAGGACCTCTGGGAGTCTGACAATATCGATATATATGGCCTTCTCGGTATTGTTGTCTGTCCCACTCCGGTGTTCGTGACTGTTACTACCACATCATTCGGTAAGCGAGTTCGACGTTGAGAAGTGCCAATGTTGATCGTCGCTACTTAGACATCTTCCTATGGGGCATCGGACAATATAACTTCTTGAATGCAACAGTCTGCAACGTAACACCACATGTGGCTTCGTTCGATGTGACATACAACCAGGGAATGATCTCCGTCGATCAACATCGTAACATCCAGCCACTGCAGTACAATGTCACCGCCTTTGTTTCGGACGTAGTGCACCGTCTGACTAACTCTAGTCAGACGATGGACAATAATCCTTTGGGGCAGTTGCTGCGGCTTAGCAGATTAAACACCACGAGTTCGGTGAATGAAATCTTGGTGAGCAGCTTTTGCCACATTTAGAACGACAAACAAATTGTCTTATTTGCGAGTTTCACAGGAAAACTACTTCCGCGGCGTTGTAGAGTTTTCTGCCACAGTAAGTGAACGATCTCGTTTTACCCATAACGGGGGCTGATATACCGTAGTACCTTCGTTCTGCCTACTCTGCAGAAGGTGCCAGTACGAATTCAACGATGCAGGACTTGTACTCGAACACAGAAGCCTTCATACCCCTGAATGGAACAATGCATATCTTGACCTACGGTTGGTACAGTGGACGCCCTACATATATTTATATTCTCTTCATCTTCACGGTCATCTGGGCGGTCACTGTTTCAGCTGCGGTGTACAGTCTGATCCAGGAACGTACGCACCCATGCACTGGTCCCACTTGAGATAACGGAGCTTTGGAGAATGAACGTGCACGAATACGTCTTCTAGATGGTCGAGGTGTCACGGCGGCATCTGATGATGCAGTGGGAGAGAAGACATCCGCTCGGCCTACTAGATCAACAATGAGGTTCGAGCTTGTACCGTAGGTAAGCAGCCTACAGCTGCGGAGTATAACGTGCTATGAGATCCTTCATGTGTCTTACTACCACAATGTAGCGTCTGTACGGCCCATAGCCCGCCCTTATACCATGTGATTGCTTTTCCTTTCATCTGATACTTACAGTCCTGGCTTCCGAGTTACTCATAAAGCCTGGCGTCTTGCAATTAAACTATTACCTGGTGACATTGCTTTGATCGTCTAAAGTCTTTTCCTTATGTCCTTCACCTCAAGTATTACTACTTCGAGCTGTCGCCATGCTTTAATGCCATGACGTGCTACATGCCGGTTTGAGCGCCGAACATCGTGAGATTTATTTGAAGTACAACAGGAAAGATGTGATGAGAATTGAATAAAAACTGCACTATAAATACTCCAAGGAGACAGCCTGGTTTCACTAGTTGCGTAAGTTGTACACCTTCGTGCCATAGTATACACCCGCAGCACTGCTCGTTGCAGCAAGCACAAGGGGTACCGGGCCCTTAGTAATGCGGGGAAGAGATGAGAGCAGAAGCAAGGCCGAAGCACCTACAAGAACAAAAGCCATTATGTGGATAAGAATGTGAGGGTTTCAAGGAAGGCAACGTACCCAAGGCACCCTCCAACCCATTTGGCGCGCCTTTCCTGATGACATCTGCACTCCACAGGAATAAGAGACCAACGCTAGAGCATAGGAGTTCGCAAAAACATGCTTTTATGATGTTGTAGAGCGACTCACCCGACACCAGCGACGAGTGAAGGAACTGAGCGAGTTCTTGCATACCCAGAGACGCCGCCGACGATACAGAGGGCGCCCATGGTGTATGCAGGGTAGGCAGACTGGATAGACTTGGTGTGGGTGATAGTTCTATACAAACAAAATAAAGCCATACCATTGTGTAGAGTGAAGTCTTAGGGAGTTTACAGTCGTCGATCGAAGTCAAGTCGAAGTCGCGCTTGGTTGCTTTCAATTCGGGCAACCGTGTGAACATTTACCCCGCATGTCAGTGACTTCGGCACCGCGGCACTTAGCTTCAATATTGATGTAAAATACAAAATAAATAATATATTCACCTTTTCGCCAGCTGGACTATGGATGCTCAGCTCCTTGCACCACTCACACAACTTACTGCTCTTTCCCAATCACTCTTCCTTTCGTTATCTCAACAGCCTTCGCAAAAACAAGTTCCCTCACCTCCTCTAAGCTCATTCGCAGCCGCCGATGCTGAATTGCAAACAGCACTGACAACAGCGGCAGCACATCAGCGCCGACAGGCACGCATTGTCGCGTTACAGCAAGAGCTATTGGAGGTGGATGCTCGATGGCGCGCTGTATGTAAGGCATTGGAAGAAGGGAGAAAGGTATTGGACGAGATCGTGAAGGAGGGTGATGAGCGTGTAGAATGCATAAGAAAGGCGAAGGAGGGTTCGTAGTCTATTTTTTATCCGGTTAACACTAAACTTGTGTACACATGAAGCCGCGATTCCTTATCCCGAATTGCTTGCATATGCACAAAGCCTCAGCGCTTTTACGAGCGCACCGCCAGGCTTGACTATGCCCGAGCCAGGTGCCGTAGGTCCTGTGCCTCTATTCTTCCCGCCATTTCCGAATGAGGAGAAGATGCGCCGTGGCAGACTAAATGTGGAGCGTCCGCTGGGTGGGCTCGGGGAGAACCATAGCGTGAGGGGTGAGTGGTTCTTCAATAACGAGTGTATCATACTGGTGGCCGGGTTTTGTCTGTCCGTGGTTTTATGTCTGGTTCGATCTTGTGTTGTGTTTATAACTGGCTCTCACTCACAAATGTTATCATTATTTTTATGTGCATTTCGTTTCCTTCACCGTACAATATATTTTTCCCTTCCGTGCCTTCAAATTGAACTCAAACTAATGCATGAGCAGCGCCAGAGCCGTCGCCCCCACCTGTCCAGACACGCGAGCGGCCAGGTGTGAACCCTTACCGTCACGATACGCGCCCACAGCTGGCTGTGTTCGACCTTGATCTCGACCTCAACCCAGATCTATGATCTCAATTGTGTCGCTTGGAGATCTCGTTAGGCACTGCCGGTGAGTCCTGTTGTGTTCAGTTTATTGTTTTCTCTTACCTGGATAACAGTAATATTGCGCGACATCGGGGAGAAAATCGATTGCGCGGATTCGAGGTGGTAGTCTTTTCAATAGCACGACTCCTGTCTCGATTGACATTAAGGGAGGCACGCAGTCTTGTGAGGCTGAAAACTACCAGCGTATGATGATCCTCTCAGCCTATGAATAGTCGCAGCATTATAAGAGTGCTGAACATGATATCTCTATCCAATGTGTATCGTGCCTAATATCAGACGCTAAGGTACCATAGCTGACTTTTAACTAATACCATTAATTCGGTATGCACTCGGTTTCAAGGTCCTTGCGCAAGATGTTGTAATATGTGGGGTAAATGCGGGGTATGAGAAAGTGACTTTAAGTTCCTTCTCTGCCCCTCGATGATTCCAAATAATAAATCAATGTCAATGTATACTAGTGCTATCGATGAGTTCCTCAGTCCTGCAAATAAATGCTTTACAAAACGTAGCCGCATGCAAGTGCAAGCACTTGGAGCGATGTCAGGAAGAACAACGTGTTACAGCGCCAAAGCTTACCGCAGGGTATGGCATAGCAAGACATGCCATAGCGAATGCGTATCAGTTGTCCACCTCTTTTGTCTTGCGAAGGGTTTCTAGCGCTACAGTCTTTGCCTCCATTAGGGAAGATGCCTTTGAGCCCTCGTTAGATATTTCTTGATCCCCATGCACAACTAGTGGTACTGCAGGCATAGGTGCAGACTTGGACCGTTTCACCATTTTGGCTAGTAACTCCGATACACCGCCTATACTCCGCCTCTTTCTGCGGTGTTCCTTATCGGCACGGATCTTGGCCTCTTCAAACTGGCGACCCCATATGATAAGTTGTCTGCAAAACCCAATGTTTGGCGCAACTATTCCACGCTTTGCTTGGACATGCTTAATGGACTCCAAAGCGTGCATTGGTGTTGTTGCGACGAGATAAGCACAAATCAAGATTGGTGATCTCGAGATGCCCTGGAAACAGTGGACCTGCGAGGGGTGCCTCCGTTGGTTTTTACAAATTAAGAGCTTAGCAATCTAAGGCGCACCAAGACTTTCGCGTCTTCTTTATCTAGCGCTTCCTTGATAAACTCCACGACGGGATCGAACCATCTGCAAATATGCTCTCCGACCGAGTCGTGCACGGGAACGTGGAGGACCTGGATGTGCGGTGGAAATACTCCCGTGATATCAAATTCGATGGCAGATACGACGTGTGTGATGCCGAGGCGTGCGAGGTTGTCTGGTGTGCGAGCGGTGTGGTAATCGGTGAGATAGAGGCGAGGAGTTATGGCTGTTGCTGCGCGTCCGTGAGACTGGTCTGCGTCGTCCCTTGGGCGTCGAGAAGTTGTCTTTTGGATGAGTGAGGACTGCCATGAGGTAGGAGGGAAGGATATCATGATCTACGATGGTGCGAAAGAGAGAGGGGTGGCTCTAGTCGTGCAACGACGAAGCTCCTCCAGTCAGAGCTGGGGATTTTATAGGTCCAGGTCAACTTCCGGATCAACTGGATGCCTCGATAAACAAGATCTATGGAGGTTTCTCAGCTGCCGTAACACATCAGGCAGTACTTTGGACAACAGGTCATCACATTACATATGCCAAAACAACCATAAATACAACTCATAAGGACATGGACGATTGGGAATTTTGTAATCGATTCTCATTCGTCCTCGTCGCTGCATCGATCTGAATCTCTATCACTTTGGGTAGTACTTGGGATCATATTTCCATGTATCTACTACCCTCAGTGGTCTGCAGTTCATCCTCTATACTTGATGGCCTTGTAAGGACTCTAGCGATGGACGTACGCTGCATCAAACACTTCAACAGCTCTGACTCCCAGAGGCATAACATCGAAAGGGCGACCTGAATATGCAATGTTATACATCGATCTGTGTAGGTAGTATTACTCCGTCATGTCACAGGCTGCGAGGTTGCAACTTGTTAGCAATTCTTGATCGGAATGGCAAAAGCCTCCAGGCGAGTCGACGATATACGGCAGCCGAAGTTCACAAACAATAGATAACACACAATGTGATGCATGTGATATGATATTTCGATAACCTAAGCCACATGTAGTAGTCATGGCAGGTAATACACGACATGCCAAGTGTGTGGCATGTCTCTGGATACCAAAGATGAAAGCGTACTAGAAGCTTGCTCGTAACTGAATCACGATGCAGCTTTTTGCTCAGCCCGTGCTTTCCGCTGATGTGTAAAATGAGCACAGTCAATTAGGGGATTTCAAGAAGTCAACCCACCGATCCATTAAGAGCGTAAAGCGAGTTCTTGCGGAACTATGTATGCTTGAGCACTCAGCACATAGAATCAGACACCTGGAAACGTACCTTTGGGTCAACCTATAAAGAAAAGTGAGCCCCAGAGCAGAGATTAGATATTTTGACAACGTACCCCCCTCAGCGACCGAGACCGGTTAGTTTGTGGCCTCCTGATACCATTGCGGTGTGCCTTGTGGTTCTGGTTGTGGTTGGTGTGGCTTTACAAATTTCAGTTGGATAGATATCTAAAAAACTACCAAACGCACTTTTTAGACTTGGCCATGGCGTCGACGTCGGCTTGAGGCTTGGACTCAAACGATTCAATGTGAATATTAATGACGGCGTTCAAATCAGGTATATCGAGCGATGTGGCTGAAGAACTGTCTAGTTGTTTGTCCCACGGTTCGGCAACTCCCGAAGGCACCCCCAACAATTACTGAATAGAGTCCGAAGTCAGGAGCTTGTTCCTTCGGTAAGTCGGATTAGTAATACGTGACTTCTTACATCATTTCAAGTTGTAGGCGTCGTTGTAGTATATCGTTCAAACCACCATGTCGAAACATCACCCCGGTGAGTCTCCTCTCCTGTGACGCTAGAACGGAGATTTGAACAAATTGATATAGATCTGATCATGTGCCGGCGCCAGCCTGGCATTGGTGAGTACATCATAACCGATTTGGCGGTGATGTTGCTAATCTTATGAATATTTCAGCTATTGGCAGATTGTGTGAGAAGTGTGATGGTAAATGGTGCGTCAAGCAGTACTATCTTTCGTCCTATCGACTAATACGCAGAGATTTAGTCCCGTCTGTGATTCATACGTCCGACCTGAAACACTCGTCCGGATATGTGACGAGTGCAATTTTGGTACATATGGAGGAAGATGTATTATCTGTGGATCACCAGGTGCGTTACAACTGCTCGTGGGTTTAGAACGTAGATTGAACAGATTCTCGTAGGTATATCAGATGCGTACTACTGTGCAGAGTGCACGAGGTTAGAAAAAGACAGAGATGGATGTCCGAAGATCGTGAACTTGGGTGCTAGTAGGACAGATTTATTCTATGAGAGACGCAGATTAGGTCAGTATTACGTGGTTGAAAAGCTTCCTATCAATACTAACATAGTCCTTGTCCCATCCAGGCTTTAAGAAGAGTTAGGCTTACACGTACTACACTTTTTGTGCGACTGCGCATGAGTTGCACCAGATTTGGCGCTCCAAGATGTCCATATTACATTACATGAAGACCGGGTAGTAGTAGGTATGCAATCGACTGGCTACCTAAATGTGTAGAACATAAAGAATATATATACCGGCATACATCTAGCAGTACACTGGGAAACCGATAATAGGCGGGCTGTCGTTGGGGTTTTCCAGGTTTGCGAATCGCCTATATCATCAATGTTAGTGACATTTCGTGAAAGTTGTAGCTTATAAGAACAACACACCGGAATTGAACCATGTCGACCTTCTTCATGTATTAGTAGATGGATAAAGCAGGCAACAAAAAACGTACGGGTGCCTTGAATACAACAAATATGTGCGTCTGGTCGTGAGTGTCAAGAGATTCACATTCTCCACAGAGGTCTTTCGCGCAATACGCGCAACGGTACCATGCTCCTTGAATGCGCTCCATACAGCGATCACAGAGCGCCGTGGAGTGAACTAAATGATAGAGATACTCTGCGAATCTCCAATATGAGTGTGAAAGCTGATCGTGTATGGTCGACAAACCTTGTGGATCTGCGTTGGGTGCGAGGCCGCCAACAGGACCTGCTGGAACCTTATACCTACCAACAGTGTCACTGAACACCCCAATGCATTGTTACAATTCAAAGCTCACAATTTCGGAAGGAAACCAGACGGCGACTCGAGTTGTACATGAACAGGTCTCGGTATCTTGAAAAAAGAGTGCATCGGGTCATGGATGGCATATGACTTCTGCTCGCATGATTGGCACTTAAAATTGTGATGAGAAAAGTGTATGTGTGTAATTGCCATGTACATACCAAGCTATATGCAGTGGGTGAAGAGGGGCATGTAGTACATTGATATCGTGTACCGATTATTGTCTGGAGAGTCGTCAGCCCCTCATGGGTGAGTATGAATGTGGGGACCAAACCTGGTTGCAGCTCTTGCAGGACAGGTGGTGATTCAGCGACTCGCCGTTGCATGCACTGTGTCTCGAACCGACGACCGTCTGAGCATATGAAGAGTATACAGAGCCTGGTTTTGAGTGGGATGCGGTCAAAACATGTGCTGCATCCCTGCCTGTCCATAAATGGATGGCACGACGGCTGGCCGTTTGCACTTCTGTTGTTTCAAGTGGATAGGGAATCTTGGGGAAACGTGAGCAACGTGTTCGACCCTCAGAAAGATAAGAAATACTTTTATCATAATATGCGAGGATATGTGCCCCCCGTCCGAGGAGTCCAAGTTGCCTGGAAGTCCCGCGGACTCGCAATTGGAGCAAATGTCGATGGAGTCGCAGATTGCGCAGTGGAATCGGGCACCAAGGATATCTTGTAAACAACTGAAATTCATCAGGTACTGTAATCATGTCGCTATAGGCCACTTACTGTGCACACTTGACGCCGGGATGTTTCATGGCTACAGATATAGCGGTGAGAGAGGATAGGGAATTGTTACTGAAAACACTGACATCGTTCCTCATTATTGTCGTTTGACATAATCATTGGCAAAGCATGTGAGTATTCTGGTTCACTTCTAGACCTAACAGGCTTCTCCGTGACTACCAGGAATGCATGTGAAGGGTGTATATCGTGGACTTGGCTGCCCAGCCAGGTATTAGTATAGTCCATATGGCACAAAAAATCACTCGCCTGTAACACGCTCGGCATAAATTGAATTTCTGACATGATGTACATTTATACCGCTGGTTCACAATCGCGGAATTGCATGTCGAACATTTACAGATATGCATATCATCTTGCTCTGTGAAGAATGAACGTAAAGATGTCGCTCCAAACTCGCATATTCCATTGGATGCTTACCCACGTCTTCCCATCCATGATGACCCCAGACCTTTTCAAAATACGCATGTCTGAGCTGGCCTTTCTGTCTGGGAGCAGAACGACTCCACGAAGATAAATCGTCTTCCGGAGACGTGGATTCTGCACTTGATCCATTCCGCCGCTCTGTGCTTGCACGGAGCGCATGTATCACGCCAGCCGATTCAACACATCCCGAGCACAGTTCAAAGCCCATAGTAGATGACTCGGACCCATGGCGAATTCTGAAGCCTGATCGTGCACTATACAACGTCGGGCTTGATGAAGAAGAACCGGGTAAGGAAGGGAGTGGTTTGTTATGTTTGTGTTCGCTGCGCGTCTGCGGCGACCCGCTTAGTGTGATAGCGTCAAAGGAGGTAGATGGGGAGGGTGAAGACGAAAGAGGTGTGTGATGAGGAGGGGGGGGATAAGAATGGAATGAGTCTAGATCTCTAGCCTTTCCTTTACCTAGATCAGAATCTGAGCCGTTGCGAAGCACGATGCTTGCCAGAGGTTCCTTCTCGCCACACACCGCACAGACGTACCGGATGCCATCTAATATGACTCCACAGTCTGAACAAGTAGTGAGCGAGCCTGGAGGAGGTCCTGTGGGTACAACAAACTGGAGCACCTCTGGTGGAATGTCGGGGGCGATTGAGTATGGAGCTTGGTCAAAGGGTGGGGAAGAACGCTTGTATGAATCAGGGGTATCACCGGAATGATCATTATCTGCGAACTTTTGTTGCGAAGCAATCCACGTAAGCTGCATACTGTTTGGCCGCGGGGGCGAACCACCAAAGGGATCGGCGTCATACTTGACACTCAAATTATCCTCGTAACCCGAATCATGTGTCGTAGAACTCGCACCAGTGTACGAGTAGTAGTATTTCCCGCGAGGATCTCGTTCCAGTGCAAGATCCCCATCCATGTTGTTGGATGGGATGTGTTCGTCGGAATATGTTAATGATATCGACCTCGAATCGGATTCTGAGGCTCAGGTGTTGCCCCGAGCATGGCTTTGATTGTGCGCGCATTCTGATCGCGCAACCACGCCGCTCCTCTGTCTTGAGCAGAACGCGCCAATGCTATGTCAACTGGTGTAGGAGAGCACGACCGATGCGAAGGGGCCACATCGGATACTGACGCATCAGGGTGCTCCTGGAGCTTGAGCCGCTCAAATACAGCCGCTGGGTCTTCTGGGACGTGTTCTTCGGCGAAGAGTTGGTGATGGTCTGCGAATGGACTCTCATCGTGCATTGTTTGATCTTCCGCCGCTGTGGAACCTCTTTGAGATGCCGAACGACCAGCAACACTGTTCTCGGGTATAGAATATGAGTCTGTATTTTTGACCCAGTCATCCGAACGTGATGTGATAGGGTGTACCGTCGTTCCTTTTGCGAAGCGCCAATTGGTATCTCTCGAGCTCACTGTCACTGAATCATCGTCAACTTCCCCTCCTCCGACGGGCCAGCTTAATTCGCCTTCGCTCCTGTTGCGGCCTTTATATTCTTCCATACTGGCGAGACTTGATGTGTCACTCAAGCTCGGGCCATCGTAATCAACGGTGATGTGAACACGCAGTGTTATTCGTCTACTTCCAAAGCTGCGGCCGGACAGAATTGATGCTGCAGAGGAGAGTGGAGGATCGTCAGACCCAGCCTGAAAGTATTGAATAGCTTCTGTGAGATCGGATTCTGTAGTGATATCGGTGATTTCGCCGTCATCGTCCTTGTATGCAATCACATATGAAGTCGCATAAAGTGAGAAGCACTGCTCAACCTGCCAGTGACCAACGATATGGAAATTAAAGAAGACAATATGAATTATAAGCTTCAAGTGTGAGTACATGACCAAAGAGACGCACTCTGTTCCTCAGCAGCTCGTATGAACAGTTCCTAGCGGAAGCAAAGCTTATCCGCTTGTTCCATCTGTCGAAGGCGCACTTGACGACTAGGGGCCTGTCTGGCCTTGCATGCATCTTTCTTGCAGGTTATGCCACCTTGGCCTGAGAGAACATATGTGACTTTCCAACCAAAGTAGGTGCACGTTCCGCAGTCAAGTCAGTGCTCATCCCGCGCTGAGTAATTTGCACTGCAAATGTCCTTATCAAAATGGGAAATCCCCTATTCACTGGTGGTAGAATTGTTTTGACCGTTACTCTGTGGATTTCTGTTAATGTGAGCGTTTGAGCCTCTATTATATATATGACATCACAAACAAACGAAGAACAGGAGAGATTGTGCGCATATACAATGATGACGTATAATGCTGAAAAGTACTAGGACAAATGGAAACTGCCAACTCCTTCTTTCATCGCAATGCGTAATTTCTCTCGCATCACCACTTTTGAACTATACTCCGGTAGCTTCAAGTAATTGACACAAGTCATGACACTTGGCAGGTAATCGTCTGCCATAAGTGGTGGCTCGTGCGGTTTGCGAACGACAGTCAGTGGAGGGTTAAGGCCACGGAACCCTTTGAGGAGAGCGTCAGCCAGTCTCAAGATGAACTGTAACGAAACACACCTCCGATCGGAAGTTTCGGGCTTCCTGTAATAAATTGGAGGAAATCACGACGAGAGAAGGCATCGAAATCCGACATGATCCCTATAAGCTCGCGAATGGCACGACTCTCGCTGTGGAAGCCATGGTCGGCTTTGATAGCTTCATTCAACGCTACAGCCTTGCTGTCAGTCACGTTGACACCAGTACAAAAATTCACATACTCTCGACTCCCCAGTCTTCGTCTGAGTTACCAAACAGCATGACCAACTCGTCCGCCGAGAACGCCTGCAAATCGGAGATGGGGAACACCTTAGAGAAGCCCTCTCGGAACGCCCTAGCCTGTGGCTGAACGCCAGCGCCAATAATTGCATCCAAAACCTCGTGAATGTATTCTTCTGCATTCTCCGAAGTCACAGGAATGTTACGTCCGCCAGGCTGAAACATACATTACGATCTACTTGGATAATGAAAACAAGATGAAACTCACCCGAAGCTCGATATCGTATCCGGGAACTGTGAAATCAAGCGCAAGATCTTCGACATTGACAATATCCATCAATGCAACTTTACGGAAGAGCTAGATATCACGGAGGTAAGAAAACATCTAGCCTTGAAGTGGTAAATCAGTCAGGATACCTTCTCGCTCTGCCCTTTCATGGACGCGTAGCTCTGGAGTTTGGAGAGAGAACTGGCAAGTTCGTTGTCCACAAGCTAGACAAATAATGAGTACAGTGTCTTGTCAGCGCGCAACATTTCTTACTTTCAAGGACTCGATGGTCAAAGGTACTTCCTCCCCTAGTATGAGTTTGACGAAAACCTTGTTGACTGAAAGGTCGATAATGCGGGAGTCTAACATTGCCTTCGCTACATATTGACCAACAACGCGGAGGATGTGTGTCCGTTTTCTACCACTAGACGTCAGCTATACAACAGCCATTTAGGCCAAGGAAGCACTTACTGTCCCCCGTCATTTGCAATGTCATCAGGGCTGATAGGGGCAGGATAGAGTCCCGTAGGGTGATGAACATACATACCAGGAGTAGCTGAGTCGGCGTCTCGCCATATCTTGAGATCTCTCCTGGCAAATTCCTTCGAAACGAGGGAATAAAACTCAAGAGTAGGCCCAAGCCCAGTCCCAACCTCATCAAAGTACTCCACCTCTAAGATCGAAGACGAGGATCCATAGAGCTCGAAAACCTTGACCGCCGACTCCAGGATGTGTTTACGAGAGATGCGGACCTTCTGGCGCTGCAGGCGTCCAAGAAAACCGATTCCCTCGTCTCGCCGCGAGCTGTCCTGACTGCGACCTTGCTGGCTTTGCCACTTCAGAATAAGGCGGGCGTATCCGAAAGAGGTCGATTGAAGGTAGTTGTACCTGGTGGCGAATGGGAAGAGGAAAGGGAAGTTTTGCGGCAAGTCAAGTGCCCAGTCGGGCAAGCATGAACTAAACAGAGTAAGTAACTGCAAGGAAATAAGCAGAAACGGCTGAATCACCTGACCACGATCATAGGCTCTTCCAGCTGACGGGTGAGTTTGGCAGTTAACTTGTTATTAATGAAGGTGGTCTCCGAGAGCGCGCGGCGATCTAACGGTCTGGCTGGCCGTTGCGCTTCCGCGGCATTCAACCTGTGCAATACACGAAGCAAACGGAGAATCTTGGCATGAGGGGCGTCATCTGGGAGGGAAGAAAGGATTGGACTAGGTGATCGGATTTTAGATGCCGAGGTGTCTGCACGAGCTGTCAATATTATTAGATTCGATAGTACCAATCTGGTTACTAGCGCCTACGTTCTTGACTCGGAGGAGGGCCATTCACTTTCTTGAACTTAACTGTATAGATTCCTTGCCACATGGAGCTCGATGGCACAGGTCCAAGCTTCTTACGGATTTCATGCTGATGGATAGCGCCATATATTGTCAGATCAAGGGGTAGAAGGTGGTCATCCATCGAGAACTCGAGGTGCCAGTCCGACGGTTTGGCTTTTAGGGCAGCTGCATACGAGGTCTTGTTCGCATTGGGCGGTCTAGATGATGAAATCAAAGGTGCTGTACTTGGGGTTGCAACTCGTGTTCCATCAGGAGTCTGGGCTTCCACTTTGCTACCGTCTGAGGATGTGTTGCATGAGTAACCCCTACGGTATTGTCGCGATGACTTACCATCAGCAATGGACAAGGTAACGGTCTTATCTGCAGCAGAGTCGATGTCATCGTCATCTTCGAATACCTTCGATGAGAGCAGTCAGCACCAAGGTTATATGTTTGATTTCGAAATTACCTCAGCGTCTACCTCATCGTCAGTAAAGTCTGATATGAGTCCGCCGTCTTGAATAAGGGCTTCCATGCGTTGCGCTGTAGATGGAGGGGCAACAGATGATGACGAGGCAGTATGCACTGAACCGATGGTAGGCGCTGTTGCGGAACTGCCCTCGCTCTTGTCACCTGATGGTCCGCCATTCTTAGCGCTGAGTCTTAAACTCCGGCGTCGGCCAATCTCCGAGGAGCCAGCGACGGGTGTTTCAGTAGCAGGTTTTGTGGCACTGCTAGACTCTGCAGGCTTGCTTGCTTGTATGGGGGCTTCTGGAGGATCGCGCGAACTTGCTGGGCCGAAACCGGAGGCTGCCAAAGCTGCCAACATACCAGATAGTCCTCCTGTCGACATCAATCCTGTAATTCTGGGACGCAAGTAGTCATTCAAGGCTTGGAATGTTGCGATGGCATGAATGGAAACCACCATGTTCTGAAGGTTGCGAGGAATGTCAGACTCATTATCTGCAACTAGACGAAGACGAAGTTGTCGGGCAAGCAGAGATGGTGAGCTTCGCTTGGAATCTACCGTATGTTGAGCTTGATATAGAAAGAAGAAGGGCCGACGTTGTACTCACCGTCTGTTCCTTGTGAAACAGTGACGACATCAAAGTCCTCCATCCTCGTGAGGCTCTCCTGCAGCTTCTTTACTAAAACAGCAAGTGGAGACTGAGTAACGGTTCCACCTCTCGGGATCCGGCTAAATGCATCATACAATAACTCTTGGCGTCGTTTGCTGGTGACTGTCGTAAAGTAAACAAAGCTACTCGATAAGACGCAGCAGTGAATCGTACCTGTACCCCTGGTGGCGTCAGTAGCAAAGCGCAACAAGCCGTCGACAGCTCCGCTCTGTAGAAGCTCGAAGCTTGAAACAGAAGAGTGAGATGTGAAGTGATCTGCGATGTCTCTCAATGCAGACATCATGGTCGACTCGCCCACATCTGGAGCAGCAAGTCTATCGACAAGACGGCGAAGTTCATCAAAGGCGTTGTCTTCGTCTCCCTCTTCCTGTCCCAAGGAATACTTGAAGCGAATGACTCGGGCCCGCAAAGTGATTGCATCCTCAGGCTCCAAAGAAAGCGAGTGAAGCTTCTTGTACCCGGGTATTGCAGATGAAAGATGAATAGGAATGTTCACAGGGTCCGCTACGATGGTGCCATCTGAATCCTTGGATTTTATGGAAGTTAAAGTCCTTGCAGCAAGCGATTCGATTTCGTGGAATACTCCTTCTCGTCGCAGGACAGGGCGGTATTCAGCTGGAAGCTTCTGCAGCAGAAGATCAACGAGCTGAAGTGCACCAATGACTAGTGAAGGATGATCCTTAGACGACAGAATCGAGGAGGCAAAACTCGCAACAGGTACTAGCTATATTTCAAAATCAGACGGGGCTGTAAAACAAACGAAAAAATACTTGCATTGAAGGCGTCCTTGAGTGCCTCCCCTTCAAGGAAACCTACTGCCTTCAATAGACCTGTCAAAGTTTTAACCCGGACAGGAGTAATTACGCTAGCAGCATATACGTCTATCAAGATGGGCACCATCAGCTGCATAAATCGTCCGACAACTTCCGGCTTGGAACGCAGAAGCTCGGTACGATCCGCTACTGCAGGCTCAGCCGCAGAAGTCAGAGGAAGGATGTCGTCGGGATCCTGCATCTGAAAGTCATTCAGACTGGTATCCTGAAATGGTTCCGCTGCAGGTGTCGCTTGCGCTGATGTATCAGGGCTTGGCTGATAAGGTGCGAATACAGCCTGACGCGCAGCAGCGCGATCAGCCTTGGCTTTAGCCTTCACCATCCGTGCCAATGCCTTGTCAGTATACCCCTTGTGATCAAACACGCCATCTTCAAAAGGTATGAGTAGGCAATCATATTATTACGAGATTATCAGGCGTACCTTTTGGAAGAGGAGGCATTAGTTCGGAAACCAGACTGAGGGCTTCTTCTACTTGCTCCTTGGATCGGTGGGCAAGATTCTCCATGACTGTCATATGAGTCACATCGCCAGCTAGCCCTTGGCCACCTTGCTCGCCCCCACCGCCAAATGCTGAGGGAGAACTCCCGTCAGGATCTGGTAAAGTGTGTCAACGATGTCTGCCTGGAGCAGATTAAGGGTGATCTTTGGGCTTGCGCGGGCGGCTGTTGCCAGTGCCTTCAAGAGCAAAGTGAAAGTATTGGCAGCAATCAAGGGGGAACCTCCGGCTGGCATAAGAAGTAAATTGATCGCACGAATGGCGGTTTCATCCAACAGGTTTTCCAGGTTCTCCGTGGCGGAGCGATGATAGGAGTCCACTACTCTGATGACGCATAGGCATGCGAATTCAACCAGCCTCTGGTCAGAATAGCCAATGCAATTGCGAATAATGGGCCAAACGCCAAGAATCATCTGGAAATGGTCCGGCGAGATATTTCTGCAACAATTCGCAGCAGCTTGTAGTGCAGTCCTCTGTACAGCAATAGAGAAGAAGTCGAGATAGTTCAGCAGTGCCGCTAAACCATTTTCTCGTACGATGGAGCTAGGGAACTCTTCGGATATTTTCTCGAGTGTCTAAAACATAATTTAGGGGAGAATGTGACATCACAGCAGAGGGACTCACGCTCAGAGTCTGTTCTGCGAGATCGATATAAGATATTTCAATCAGCTTGCTGCAAAGAACCGGTATTGCACCGTGATACACAACGGAGTGGGCTACACCAGGTAGAGCCTCCATCAGATTTGCCAGGCAACGACATGCCAGCATCTGCGCTTCGAGATTCTCATCGCCCTGATATGTTCCGCCCCCGCTCATCGCCAAAGCAGCAGCTAGAGCCGCATCCTCATCATGATCGTCGCCGTCATCACCGCCGTCATCGTCATCGTCTTCATCTGCGCCGCGCCCGCCAAGGATCTTCACGAGTTCCCTTACAAACTGTTCCACTTGGAACGAGCCTGCTAAAGTGTCTTCCGTGCTTATGCTGAGGAGCTCACTGAGCTCTTGCAACGTCACCAAGCGAGTGGTTGGGCTCGCAGTTGATTTGATATTATTCAACATGGTCTTGAGTCGGCTTGAGAGGGAAACCATGTATGAGCCAAATTGACGATAATCTCCAAAAATTGCCATCGCGGCAGATTCGTCCAGGCCAGCAAATCCACGAGTGACACCAGCTGGTAAGCTTCCTTCTTCATCCCCGTTGTCGTCACCTTCACCGTCACCACCGTTATCTTGGTCATCCATGGCGACGTCATCGTCATCACAGCCGTCAGGTTGTTCCTCATAGGCAGGTTCATCGGGCCTAACTATCGCGGAATCAAGCATCGCAACATCTTCGTCAGCCATCTTCGAAGAGCCTGCAGAAGCGCCAATTTTGCTTTTCATTGCTACTTTCGCTTTGCTTGGTGATGGCCTGTAACGTAACATGTGAGCAAGTCTAGGGCGCGAGAGGCTGAACACAAACTTGGGTTTTCTAGGCATGGGTGCGGAAGCAGAGGTTGAAGCGTCCGTTCTTGATCTCAAAGAATATGCTGTAGTTCTTGTGCGCTTAGAAGATAAGGTAGCGCTCTGCCCCTCTTCTTCTGAATCCGGTTCTGGAGCGGCGCGCTTCTTGCCTTTGCGGTCTTTTGTTGGTTCGGTAATTGCAAATGGTGGGGCAGATGCAGAAGGAAGTGTCGCTCGATGTGCTCTGCTGTCAGGACGTCAGTTAAATATATCTATGGGTGCGGGAACAAGTCCGCCGCACCTCTTGCTCACGCGTGCAGTTTCTTCTGACAATTCCTTAAACTTTCCGTTTCCTGAACTACCCTCTCGAGGACGCTTGTTTTTGGCCTGGGTTGCTGACCTAGTTTCACGGGTGCTCTCTGATGGCACTGCTACGGATTGCTCTGCTGAGTCACCTTCCCTATCTTTTGCCTGCTCGCGTTCCTTCTCTTTTTGCTTGGCTGCTTTCACTCTTGCGCTAGAACGTATGGGCTTGGAATCTATAGTCGATACCGACGCCGATGTTGATGGAAAGTGAGCTTGTTCTGATTCTAGTGGCTGCAAGGATACACTGGAGCTTGTGGCTTCTTGCTGATGGATTGGTTGATAGTCCATTAGAACATGCTCCCAGCCATCGGTTCTGAGGTTCTGCTAGATGTTGGGAAGCTAGTGGTCAATGAGAAAGAAACGATGCGTCGACGCAATGTTAAAGCCGGTGCTCGAATTCGGGTAGATGCCGCCTGGAGAAGGCGTGCGAAAGCGATGGTGGCGTAACCTTGCGGAATGCCCCGATTACCGAGGGCTTGGGTTACTACGCAAGAATGCTTACTGCATTCACAAAAATTGATGCTATGTACAGGAGTGATCGATAGTTATGCAAAATTTTCTGTTAACACCTCCTCAATGCTCTTCACGAAAATATCCACAATCTTCTCTATCTCCTCGGTGGTTGCATTGTATGCAGGGCCAAGCATGAGGTGGTCCCCCTTCGATCCATCGAGTGAGGAGCCACCAACCATACCCATCGCAACAAGTCCGTTCTTAAGACAGCATGCCTGTACCGCCATTGCAAATTGTTGGTCCTTCATATCAACACGGCGTGCTTCGAGGCTGGAGAAGTCGAATTCGACCCCGAAGAAAGCCCCAGCCCCGCGCACATCGAGTGTATATGGCGCTGCGAGAGCATTTGGGGACTGCAAGCGGTCTTTCAGAAGCGCCATCATGTGTGCGCCGTTCTTCCTGCACTGCGCAAGGAGATCCTCCTCGATGATGACCTTCTGCACAGCTAAAGATGCTGCACATGCTAGTGGATTTGCCTGTTAAGAATAAATGTTAATGACCGGCTCTTTGATGGTCTCACATTACCGACCTGATATGTGTGACCGTGCTTGAGTAGTCCGGAACTCCCCCTGATCCCTTTCGCCACTTTAGGCGAGATGAGAACAGCACCTATGGGAGCATAACTGTGGCCCAATAAGTAACATTAAAAGAGAAGGGATATGTAACACTCGCCCACCACCCAAACCCTTGGCTACTGCCTGCAGGTCAGGTGCAGCACCATCACCGAGGCTCTGCCAAGCGTGCATAGTGCCCATTCCTGGCGAACTTCACTATCAATAGTAGTCAAGATCAACATATCGAGATCACTTACGGCCCATGCCACACATGACCTCATCGAGCATGAAAAGGGCACCATGTTTGTCACAGACGGACTTCATGGCGTTGAAGTATCCCTTCGGTGCACTCACAACCCCTGTTGTCGCACCAACGACAGTCTCCGCGACGACTACCGATCGTCAGTTTTGAAAGGAGTGAGAACTGACGACAATGACATACAGCCGATTACTGTCTCGGGTCCGAGTTCGATAAACTTATCCTCGAGTTCTTGTCGGAGTCGCTCAACGTACTGCTCTTCCGTCTCATCTGGTTTTTGGAACCTCTTTGCATACGCTGGGGAAACGTGGTGGAAATTCTGGTGGTCTAAAATAGCCTTATATGGTGCACGACGGCCAGGATGGTATGCAAGGGACAGAGTGCTAAGGGTATTCCCATGAAAGGACAGTTGACGGGCAATGTAGTTTGTTCGTTTCGGCTGCCCGATCTCGACATAATACTGCATTGGTGTTCATGAGCCCTTGGCCTACGCCTCCACAATACCAACATACCTGTCTCGAGAGTTTGATGACAGTCTCCATCGCTTCAGAACCTAAAGTGGTGGAGGTCAGTAAGGTTCAAGTAGAGCCCCATGACAATACCTCCAGATAGGAATGCGACCTGCTCGAAGGCACCATCGCTGGTATTCACGAGAAATCTAGCCAGCTCCTCTGCAGGAGGGCTAGAAAGCTGCATATTGTATACATCTATTCACAATCAGTCACTCGTGCTAAGGAGGGAAGAGAAGGACATTACATGACATAACATCGATCTGATCCTTTAGGGCTTTGACTACCTTGGGATGGTTTCCACCGATGCAAGTCACAGCAGCACCGCCGATCCCATCGATGACACGTCGACCATCCTCAAGATCGATGTAAATACCATCAGTGGCGATGGCGATAGGAGGTGTCCATGGCGTTCTATGTAGGATAGATGTGGGTCGAGCGTCCATCTTGTAAGTCGAGGGACCGATGGTCTTGATATGAGCTCGAGTCTATGAGAGCCAGGACGCGAACCTGGGCGAGCGATGATGATAAGAGGATGCTGTAAATGAAGATAACCCCACAAAAATCGATACTGTCTAAAGGAGCAACGGCTCTCCTTCGACTAATCTAACTTAACCTAAATTTACATTCAGAGCATGCTAACGTGTTATATGACTCAGATCAGGCCTGCAGGAGTCATAATCGAGGTGCCAATGGAGTTAGGGTAGAGTTGCAAGCGCCGATCACCAATTTGGGACAGCTACTTTTGTTCGGTCTCACTCCTGCTCCTCTACACAAGTACTCATTTTTTTTAATGAATGCATGGCTTCCTCGAGCAAGAAACGCAAGGAACCGTCACGATCTCGCACCATCGTTGATTTCTTCTCAAATAACACGTCTACAAAGAAAAGCAAGCTTCAAAACCCTCCTCCCAAGACGAACAAGAAGAACTTCAAAGCTTCCTTATCTCAGGAGATCATCATTATAGACTCGGACAGCGACGATTGTACAACGAAAAGAGACAAAGGGAAGACACGTGTAATCCCAGGTGCCAAACAACACGCTTCTCCGGAAGGGGAAAAGAGGAACCTCCGTTGTTCTAATGAATGCGAGTGGAAGCCATCTCTCACACGTGTCGCTTTGTCAAACCACAAAGATGATGAACTCCCTGCATTTGGAAAGCCCTCCGCTCTATTGCAAGTTCCCATTCAGAGCAGCACGAACACTGTAGAATGCAAGGAGACTTTACTCCAGTCGTCGGTCATTGAAGCCACTTCTAGCACCTCTATCTTTGGTGTTCCAGCTTTGTTACTTCGGCCCTCAGTCGAGCCCGCTCATGAGCTACTTTTTGAAGGAAAGGTATCTACAGAAGTCGGTGTTCTCAAATCCTACAGTGATCCTGGAAATAGACCGCATTCCATTGATGTGATAGACGTCGATTTTACAGGTGACGATGAGCAATGGGGTGTTGGAGACGATGAGCTAGCCATCCTCGAAGCTGCCAACGATGACATTGAGATGGAGGACGTCTCAGAACAACTCAACGACTGCGCCCATCCTGCTAGTTGCCCTATCTGCGAACTCAATATATCACGTTTACTTGGCTTGGTTGGTGACATGACCATGCTGCAGATCAGTGACCCCTCTGATATACATTTTAGGAGAGACAACACCATGTCAATAAATGTCTCGACTCCACCGTCAGTTCCTCAAGCGCAATCACTACCATAACTTCAGACTTGGATGTCCTATGCGAGCCAAGTACAAGTAAACTCGAGGATGTCCCCAGCACCGACTTATATTCTGTCCTGATGGCATCCTGTAAAGAAAATGAAGCTTGGAAGGAAGCAGATCTCGCAGAAGACCGTAACGTTCGACCAACTCGAGCACCAGGCAGTCGGAGAAAGGCACCATTCTACAAAGTTCTGCAGGGGATGCCCATCGCCGTGGATGCGTTTCGCTATGGAACCATACCAGGCGTTACCGCCTACTTTTTAACGTATGTATCCCAAACTGAGACACCGGCACAGCCTCACACGGTTTTTAGTCATGCTCATTCCGATCATTATACCAACCTCGCTTCGAATTGGAAAAGCGGGCCGATTTATTGCTCAGGTATAGTATATCCTAGCTTTTTAGTTGAACATAAATATTGAAAGTCTACTAGGGGACACAGCTAATTTGATTATACATATGTTGTCGGTTGATCCCAAGTGGGTTCATCCACTCCCGATGGATGTCCCTACAATTGTTCCCGACTCCGGCGGGGTCACTGTCACACTTATTGAAGCTAACCATTGCCCGGGATCATGCCTATTTTTATTTGAGGGTCCGCAGACTGTACACGCTGGTGACAGCGCCTTCAAATCGCCATTCGTTGGTTCCGGAAAGGCTTTCCGATATTTGCATTGCGGAGACTTTAGAGCTTCGCCTCAGCATGTAATGCACCCTGCCGTGAGAGGAAAGCAAATTGACCATGTGTATCTGGACACGACCTACCTGGACCCGAAGGTTAGTCAAGTTGGCTTGACGAGGCAATTACGCTTATTGTGTATCAGTATACCTTTCCTCCACAGCCGCTGGTCATCTCAGCCTGTGCAGAGCTGGCTAAAAGAATCGTTTCTGGGGAGTGGGTTGGCGCTCCTGACGCGAATGGAAAGCGGAATTCAACTATGGATGCTTGGGTCATTCCATCAGACAGGGCAGACGACAACGTTATGAAACAGCCCAAAGATAGAATGTTGGTGGTTGTCGGGTAAGTTGGTTGTGGTATATATCCAGCTTAATCATTGATGCACCTTTGTGTAGTACATACTCCATTGGTAAAGAACGCATTGTTAAGGGTGAGTGTTGCGCGGACCGTATCTTACTCTCTTAATTGTTTCTAGCTATCGCGCAGGCTCTCAAGACCAAAATTTATTGCGATGCGCATAAGGCTGCCATCCTACGATGCCAAAATGACCCTGAGTTGCATGCGCTATTGACCAAGGACCCAAGCGAAGCTGGTGTGCATGTTGTTCCGTTGAGCATGATCGTGTCGGATAAGCTCAAGGCATATGTACAACGGTTCAAGGGGACATACTCGCGGGCTGTCGGTTTCAGGCCTACAGGATGGACGTGAGCATTTGCCATTCCCCTTGCACTTGTCGATCAACTAAATAATACCTACTGCAGTTACACACCACCGTCCGGCAGCGACCTCAGCCCAACCATCCCATCCATCATATCGCGCGGGCAGTCACGGTCCTTCACACACGCAGACCTGAAACCCATGCAAAAGTCGACATTCGGTGTGCAAATGTACGGCGTGCCGTACTCAGAGCACAGTTCATTTTTTGAGCTTACATGCTTTGCAATGTCGTTTGACTGGGTGAAGATGATTGCGACTGTGAATGTTGGAAACGAAAGACCTAGAGCGAAGATGGCAAAATGGGTGGAACGCTGGGAAATTGACAAAAAGCGGAGTCAGGAAGCTATGGTAAAACCTAGAGCTGCTGATTACTGGTGATTTACACCGCAGTGTTAGTGATGTTTAGTGAATCCAAAAAGTAGGGAGTGCAGATGAACCATATATTCATAACCACCATGCGAGTATCTGCATTTTTACGTCATGATCGGCCATACACATGGGGCATAGAGAGAAAGAAATGCTGCAAAAGATATCAATAGACCTTCCGCGACAACATCTATTGCTCGGCAGCCCGTTGTCTCCTCCTGAGATCTCTCTCCTCCGAGATGGTGAGCTTCGTACCCTTGCCTTTGGGTAGTGATATCCAGGGCTTTGAGCCCTCACCGATGACAAAGATGTTGGAAATACTAATAAAAAACATGAGATTTTGTACGTTGGCTTACAGGAGGCACTCACCGGGTGGCGAAGGTCCTGTCCAAGGAATCCTTGACATGCACGATATCGAAACCACCAATGTGCTTCTCGCGGTGCGTGATGACACCAGCACGACCCATGTTACGTCCGCCGGTAATCATCACAATGTTTCCAGTGTCAAAGTGAACGAATTCGGTGATTTTTCCCGACTCAAGGTCAAACTTGAGAGTGTCGTTAACCTTAATGGCAGGGTCGGGATAACGGATGGTGCGGCCGTCGTGAGTGACAACATGAGGGACACCCTTGGCACCGAGAGCGACCTTGCGGACTTTGAGGAGCTTGTAGGAGGCTTCCTCAGCTGTGATGCGGTGGATGGTGAAACGGCCTTTGACATCGTAAAGGAGACGGAAGTGCTCGCCGGACTTTTCGATAGAGATGGTGTCTAACCAGCAGGAAGATGAGATCAGATGAATAAACCAAGAAAAAAATGGCTTCTTTACCCATGAAGCCGGTAGGGAAGGTGGTGTCCGTGCGCACTTTGCCATCGACCTTGATCAATCGCTGCTTGACGATTGAGGTAACTTCGCGGCCGTTTAGCGCATACTTCAACCTGTTGCGAAGGAAGATGGTCAGGGGGAGCGATTCACGGAGCTTGTGAGGACCAGGAGAAGGACGGGGAGCCTGTGGTATAATTCTAATACTTGAGGACAAAGATATCCAAAAAAATCTGGGATGCACGCACATAGGTACCGCTCAACTTGTCCAGCATCCATGAGGAGGGTGCAGCAAGGCGCTTCAAGTGTTTTTTCGGTCCGCGTGCCTACGGGTGACAAGGGAGAGTCAGCTCTGCATTTGATCATATCAAGCCGCGAGAAGAGCAAGATTTGCGGGTCAATCATCCTGGTACATCCATCTCTAAATTACCACATCCACCTATTCCAACGTCGATGATCGCGTCAAAACCGTATTCATGGCTACTATGGGATCCGTAGGGGGTGCTCAGGACGAGAAAACTGACCATGATGAAAGTCTTGAGGAGCGAACGGCGTCAGCGGCGACGATATTGATTTCGGTGCTTTGGTCTGACTGGTTCAATACGTCCAATGAGCTTGCGAGTTTAGGGTGGGTAAAATTAAGTCACGTGATCGATCGATTTCGCGACTGCGACGGCGAGAATCCGCCATGATCAACAAAATAGGTCGTCTAACTCCAAATGCGACGCTACACGTAGATCGATATTCTTACAGAGTCCACAAGTTCGATACGATAAGAACGTCAATTTGAGGCGAACCTTAGCTTGAGCATGAAGCTAAGCGGTCCATCGTTCCCTCATCTGGCCTGTGCATGCTGTGGCCCCTAACCACCACCATCAGGTAACCAACCTGAAAATGACAAACCCTTACAAAGTCTTGTCTAGCCTGAAATTTATACAATTTTTTATTAGAATTGTACTCGGTCCAAAGGCTTATGGCACCACTGGCGTTTGAATTTTTGATACGCACAACAACTCAAGTTGACCAGCCTGCATGCATGTGGTCTGGCGGCTACCGGGTATCGTACAATGGTACATAAGTACCTTGATCATGACTTGTCAGCACTACGTGGTTCAGGGAGCTTTTTCCTCCGCAATTGATAAATGAGATGACAGACTCTGTGAATCTCACTGTTTCTTCCATTAGGCTAGCTCGAAGATGCCCACCCCAATGCAACTTGAAAGTCTGACCGTCAGTGACGGCGTGTCCTACTATTACTTTGATAGCGGCGACATCCCTGGAAACACCTATACAACCTTGGTCTTCGTCCCTGGCATGGGTTTCAATGGAGGTATGATTTATAGTGCTCCGTGACGTCTTGCTAACTTATTCTTCATGCAGGTGTTTTCAGGAAGCTTTTCCCTCTAGCTGCTGCGCACCGTATCCGCATAGTCAGCCTATACAGGCGTGATTATAATCCCACTACCAGCTTCCAGTGATGCAGACTTGGCTGGTCTCGTGTCCCGTACGGTGGAGGGACAGGAAGGTTTCCTTCGTAGTCAAGCGGTCGATATCGCTACTTTCCTTGTCATGTTTGCCCGCGAACAACATATTCCCCCGGCGGAAGGCACCAGCGGTGGAATTGCCCTGTTGGGATGGTCTTTAGGATCATTGCACACTCATGCTGTTATGGCCCATCTCGACGCCTTGCCATACAACGTTCTGTCTGACCTTGAGAAATATCTCCATACTGTCGTTTGTCATGGTAGGCACAATTTATCTTGTAGCATATTCGGAATAATGAACAGTGCCATAGATGTGACTGGAATTTTCATTGGTATACCCAAGCCCCCAAGCTTCGGTATAGAATATTGGACCGAGCCCGATGTCGAGAAGAGGTTCAAGCTTTTCTATGAATGGGTGGCGGGACACTTCCCGCACAAAAACGTCACCTCAGGAAGCATTGACGACCTCGAGTTCTACCAATCCTCAGAAAAACCTCACTCTATGCACGAGCTAACTCCTGGGGAGTTCGCAGAGCTCACGTCTGCCAAGACTTTCGGTGCTTCCGACACACTCCTCGTTACTATTCAACAAGACGTGCTCAAGGCCATGACGCGACGTGCAATCTTCGACACAGCTTGGCGGAGAAGTCCCTCCCCAACTACGTGTCAGATACATGTGTGGTGGAACGAGTCCTGGTGTTATAGTCTGGGCGTTACATGAACTTAGGAAGTATTTGGCTGACCCCGAGCCAATTTATGGGCCTGATGCCAAAAAGGCACGAGATGTGAAGTTCAAATTCCAGACTGAGGGGAACCTACTTCATTTTCTGGGACGAACCAGAGGTTGCTCTTGAACAATATATTGCTACCATCAACCTTTAGAAATATTTAGCGGTCCCAGTACTTGATATGCTGTGTACATAGTTACTCCCTGCCACGCGGCAAATAAAGCCAAACTGGGCGTCAAGCGGGCGTATCCAAGCTATCCTTGACAGAAACTTGACTTCAACCTTTCAAGTTATCCCGCCAAGGACGTCGGTGGTGTCTACTGCGACAGTGCTCATTTTTTTCTACTTCTTTTAGATCTAAGGCAACCAGGCTAGGTTCTTCAACACATCTCTTGATAACCCATGCTTGACCGCCAGCTACCCCCCAAACTAGCCTATAATAACTACTCATCAGCTAATGCCTTCGATAATCAGCACCTCAACTCTGGCGAAGGCTGGCAGGCCACCTTCCTAGGCGAGAAACCTGCCTTGAATGGAGAGATTCCTTGTGCAAGACAATCATCTTCACGCCTGGCACCAGGTGCAAGCCAGCTGGCGAGATTTAGAAAGTTCTTGTCTCGTTATTCCATTTTTTCCGACTTAGCATCTGCATCATCAAATTCACGACGGTCTATCGGCCCTCTCACAACACCTTCCCCATATGCTTCGGCCGCATCAATGTCTCGATTTATCCTTTTGTGCAGTTTCTGGTACACCACCTCTGCACTTTCGTCAAATACCGGAAAGACCATCCTCAATCAATGGAATCACCCTGTCACCCTCACCATCATACAATTCGCATTCGTCGCCGGTTATTGTCTACTCTTCATGTCGCCAGTCATCCAATTTACAAAATTGCGTCCACCAACTGGCGCCATTTTGCGAAGCACATTGCCCATGGGCATGTTCCAAGTTGGTGGCCACATGTTCTCTAGCATTGCAATTTCCAAAATACCCGTCAGCACTGTTCATACTATCAAGGTATGCTGAACTATTGGTTCCTCATTTTGGGGTAATGAACGTGCCTTCAGGCTCTATCTCCACTGTTTACCGTTGCCGCTTACGCCATGCTTTTCGGCGTCAAGTACTCCCCAAGGACGTACTTCTCTCTACTCCCCCTGATCATTGGCGTCATGCTGGCATGTACGTTCGAGTCCGCCTCAAATCCGACAGGTCTCCTTTGCGCATTCGGTTCTGCCCTTGTGTTCGTCAGTTCCAACATCTTCTTTAAGAAGATTATGCCATCAGGGTCTCAGGCATCGTCCCACAAGTTAGACAAACTCAACCTGTTATTTTATTCTTCGGCCATGGCATTCGTATTGATGATCCCGATTTGGTGTTTCACCGATCTTCCCCTCCTCGCTGGCGACTCCGTTCATGTTACGCACCCGACTCGTGGACACGAGGCTCCTCATTCTATCCCATATTATTTCTTCATGAACGGCACCGTCCACTTTGCGCAAAACATCATCGCATTTGTGATCCTTTCCAGCACGTCACCTGTGACGTATTCTATCGCCTCCCTCATCAAGCGCGTCGCTGTTATCTGTATCGCCATAGTATGGTTCAACCAGAGCGTACATCCCATGCAGGGCCTCGGTATCGGGATGACCTTTCTCGGTTTATACATGTATAACACGGCGAAGAGTGATGTTGAGCGAGGGGAAAACAAAATGCGCAGGGTAGAGGCGACGCGAGACATGATGCTTCCCATTAATCGGACTGAGGAGAAGTTATTGAATGGAAGCTCGCCGCCAACCCCCATCCCCGGTACGCCTGAGCTTCCGGTGGCCGCAGCCACAGGAACGGGGGCACATCCTGCTACTGGCCGACCGCGGGTGCAGATTTCAACAAATGCGCATTTACACCCAGATTCGCACGGAAACGGGCATGGGTACGGGCATCCTAACCCGCATATCCAAATTTCTCCCCAGGACACGTCGTCCATCTTCTCAAAGCGAAATATTATTTCGCCCACAGAGCCATATCCCTCGCCTCCTCCCTCCATAGACTCGCCGCCTTCCAATACGGTCCCTATTGGATATCAGCCCCCACGTATACAGCAGCATTTCGGGATGGAGTCGTTCACTGTGGGACACGTTACTGCTTAGCAAAACTCAGTATCTCTATCCATATTTATTCTCGAGGACTGTTACCTTTTGATTAATGTAAATAGTATCATATCCGGCGGTCTCTACGTGACATTAGACTGCATTTTGTTCAAGTGACGATGTGGATATATACATAGTGTTTCTACATAGCTACTCAGTACCGTCATTTGTGTTTGGTAAGTACATATTCAGACACGGGATACACTATATCAGATAATACGTGACAAAAGCTTTCAGTTGTATACCCACGTCTGGGACTGGAGCTTGACACTTCTTATAACTGAGTAGGCATGACTCAGATCGTTGATAGTGAGACAGTTTCTGCTGCAGCAACTTCCCCGGAATCCCCAGTCAAGCATAGTGCTCTGACAACAGCGGGGGCAGCTGTACCTCAGCCAGGTGCGACGCCCACTGTACTGGAGAATATACCAGGCCCAGAACCAACACCTGCTCTGAGCGCGCCCAGCGCCGTTGAGGCTACGCTGGAAGATGACATGGAACCACAGAATCCGTTAACGGAGAAATTCACTGAGGCTGAGTGGAAAGCTTTGAAGGAATTTCGCGTGAGTTGGTCAAGACTATTCATGCACTTCAGAAATGGTCTTCAACCTGTATTTAATTACAGTCTGCTCTGCCTGAAACCTTCAAGGAGGCCTTTCCAGAGCAGGATGATGCTGGGTCCACGTCATACAACTTGTGGGGTGTCACCATCAACCCACTGAAACCTAAGGATGCCCGCGTCAGCGTCATACTAATGAAGTTCCTTCGTGCCAGGTGCGATTCACTTTCTGAAACTAGAATTTATTATGAACATCAACTGGACAGGAATCTCAGTCCTGCGGAGGCTAAGGACATGCTCATCTCGACTTTGCGATGGCGCAAGTCTTTCAAGGTCGATGAGGCTATGAAGGAAAAGTTTCCAGAGGACGTGTTTGGAAAGCTTGGAAGAACATATGGAAAGGATAAGGATGGACATCCCATTTCGTATGTTCATCATATACTTTCTGAGATGTCATTTTGATTTGATTTTCGAAGGTACAATCTATACGGCGCCAGTAAGGATCTGGATGCCGTCTTCAGTGATACACAGCGCTTTCTAAGGTACACGCACATCATCCTCACTCTTGTGGCATCGTCCCTGAACCTATCTCTAGATGGCGTGTTGCTTTTATGGAAGAAAGCATAACCCTACTTGACTTTGAGACTATAGACCAAATGGTCCAGATCCACGGTATGTATCTTGACAGTTGATGTTATGTGTTCGCTCAGCTTTCATTGGATATCACTAGATTACGAAGGTGTAAGCATGTCGAGTAGAACACAGGCCTCCAAAAATGCAGCATCCGAAGCATCCAGTATATTCCAGGGCCACTATCCTGAGTTCCTGGTTCGTTCTCCTGTCTTTGCTGGCTCCAGAATGCAATATATTCTATTCACAGGCGAGAAAGTTCTTTGTCAACGTTCCTAGCTTTCTTACTTGGATTTTCTGGATATTCAAGCCGTTCCTGTCAGCTGCAACAGTGGCGAAGATGAGTGTTGTTGGTTCCGGTCCCAAGGTCATCGGAACCACCCTTCTACCTCTGATCTCTGCCGACCAGTTGCCAAAGAGGTACGGTGGGGATGCTGATGGATTCTAACCGAGAGAACGAGCCTATGAACGCGTGTACGATTGAAAGCGTTTCAAATCCTTATGCACCAGCCACACTGTATTTCATATTCCACATATCCAATTCAGATCTCGACTCCAGTATTTTGCAAGGAAAGCTACATATATTCCATGAGCCAACGTGATTCATGTATTGTTCTTTGATTGTACCCTATACATATGTCCCTCCAATCCAGACTACAAAGACTACAGGGATAAGATACAAACAGGTAAAGTGAGGAGACAGCACTATAAGCACAACATTGTGGATGCGAGATTTTTTGACCATTGCTGCAAGTTCCAAAAGACAAGAAGGAGATATTGAAGACCTGTCAAGACCAAAAATGCAGGAGGCGTCGAGGAATGAGAAGATTGAATTTTGAGAGTGCGGCGTGTATTGTGGTGCGTCAGCTTATTCACCGCCCCCGATACTACTACCGCTAGCGGTGGTTGCGGCATATTCGTGCTTGACAGGGTCCCAAGCATCAATCCAACTCGGAGGACGCCCACCTGGCGCCCACTTAGCGAAGTGCGAATGCACTGGGTGGGTGGAAGAGCGTAAGGGACGCAGGTTAGGATTACTGAGTGAAGAGTGGTCAACATTTAATCGTTGCAAGTAGTACTTCAGAGGAAGTCTTACTTCGCACTCAGCGTTGGGCCCAATGCCAGTCGCGCAAAATTGCTGGGGAAGAGCGGATGTCCTGGGCCACGATCTCCAACAGCATCATGCGCACGCTCGCTATCGTTGTCTCCGAAGTCAGATCCAGCTGAGTTGTAGATGTAGCTGTGGGAGCGAGGGAGGGTTAGCAAGTACGCCACAAGAACTACAGAAGTACCAACCTGAACGTGGGTCGTCCAAGGCTACTGACCGAACCATGCGAACTCGTACGAGAAATGCGCCTAGTAAGGGGAAGGGTAAACTCAGACGACCATTTGAGCTCGGTACTGTTGCGTCTCGAGTTATTCGAACTCATGACTGGGCTAGTAGGATGTGAAAATGGTTGTGACACAAAAGCAGGAGAAGACGGCACAGGTGAAGTGGATATGCGTAACCCATGAATCTGCGAAGAATCTTCGACAGGTTGAGTGTCCCTTTCGGGCGCTTCTGTGTCCGCGCCGTCCTCGTCTTCTGCCTCCTCGCCAATGTCCTGCAGTCCGTCTCCCTGTCCGAGAGAAGTAGACTGTGACAAGTTTGATGGGAGGCTGAGTGGAGGTGGATTAGCTGAACCAGGAGTGGAGACGTTCGCGTTTGAGGTAAGTGTCGCGAGTATGGGCTCAATCAACAAGTGAGTTGTGGTGGAGAGTGGGTCCTCTCGGGGGGATGGGGGCATGGAATCATGTTGAGTTGATTGAACATCGTCAGGCGGAAACGATGTAGGGCGCGTGTTTGACTCTCCCGAATCTTGGGCCGCACTACCTGCATCTAACATTGCCGGAATAGGAGAGACACAGACGCGCGGTGGGTGATCATCCACTGCAATCACACTCTCCGTATCACATTCTCCGTCAACCTCGAGCTCGGGAGGAACGCCAAGAGCCCCCTTCAGACGCTCCCAGATGAGCTCTGAATGAGACAGGACGCATCTGCGCGCGTTGCGCACCCAGAGAGTGTCACTGGCTGTTTGTCTATCCATAATGGTTAACCAGAGGCGCAAAGTCCCGAAGGTCCATTTCGCGGGATCAGCAGAGAACGTAGAATCATTAAGATTTTCTGGGCCTTGTGTCCTGGGAAATGTCTGGGCGAGGAGGGAAAGAAGTTTGGTTGTGGGATGAGTTGATAGTAATTGGGTCACTTCAAAGGGACGATCGATGAAAGGAAGGTAAATATCATCGGGTAACGGGGTGAATGTCGCAGGTGCGGTTATTGCACCAGCGGCAGGATTAGAGGAACCCACCGGACTTGCAAGCGTGGGAAGATGAGGAGTGCTAGGGGCAGATGCAGGCGGAGGGACATAACGAGGGCTAGTTGATTGACGAGCGAGGTCTACAAGCTGTTCTGGGGACAAATTTGGTTTAGAAAATGGGGAAGAACCTGACGCGGATTGTCTCCGGGTGAACTGCGGTGAGCTAGAGCGTAGACGAGGGGAAGTAGATGGACTGGAGGCCCGTCGGCTAGGGGAGGTAGCGACGGCTGGTGAAGATGCAGAAGAGGAAGTTGGAGCTGAAGAATTTGGGGCGAAAGATGAAAATGCAAAGCTGAGTCTACCGGTTGATGATCCATCTGCATTCGTCGAAATAGTCCCAGGATGACGTAGTGAACGTCGGTGAAGCGCTGGTGCAGGCGGTTCTGAAAGATTCATTGGAGCGGTCCCAGCACATTGTGGTGCGCCTGCTTGCGAACTGGGATCCAGTACGCGAACGATGGTCAAAGTTGATGACGATGATCGATTAGGATCATGATTAAGGGTAGCATGCTGTCCGAATGGATCTGACGCACTGACAGACCCTCGTCGAACAGATAGTTTTCGCTGCAGCTGGGACATAGCCGTGTTAAGCTGAAGAGAGCTCACAACTTTTCGTTTACACTGGTACTTGTGAAGCTCTTTATAAATGGTGGGACACGGGGACGATGCGGGGCAAGAAGAATGATGATTATCTAGTGCATCTCGCTCATTATAGTAACCTTGTGTAAACCAAACTCAAACATACGTCAGATGATGCCGGAAACGCCCGCGTCGAGTACAAGGACCAACGTTGCGAAAGTGTCAGACAGGATCTAACAATGTTCCAGACCAGTAGAATAATACAAAGTTAACCTCCAAGTTCGATGGCAAAGGCCACAGCCAATTTAGAAAATTCTAACATGTGTAAGAAGCTAAACTCATCCGAGATATCAATCCGGCTGTAGGATTGATGTCAGTATCCGCAGTCTCCGCAGTTTGATCTTAAATACTAACTCGTTAGCGGTATGGATGTTCCTGTGATTTGAATTCTCAAAAGCCCCTTCTAACACCATAATCAGAATTAAGATGCAAATAATGAAAAATTATCTCACCGATGGTAAAGATGCTAGGATATCCCGCTTTGCTCCAAGGAGCACTGTAATAGACGTAAGTAACTTGCACTCATGACAAAGTATGAAACATAACTCACTGGTCGGAACAAGCATATCCACATTTAGTTTCAACAAATGGTATGTCCAGATATTCAGTAATTAATTCTTTGTTGAACTCCGTCAAGCTAGTATTAAAGGTTAGATTACAACAAACAATCATAACGAAATGCTCACGTTGAATCCACATAGTCTACAATTACGCCAACTTCCTCATGTGTACCTCTCTTTACCCATGCTGTCATGTCATACTACCGAAGTCAGGTTGCTATAATCAAGATAACGCATCATGTCTACCTGGCTCATAGCGTACACTTTCAAACCCTGGGCTTCATAGTGCTGAGCGACAGCCTGTGAACCAAGAAGACCACCCTCCTGAAAACCGAGGATTAGCAACACATACACAGTAACGCGTTCATATGGCTTACTTCAGCAGAATACCAGTGGAATTCAACAGGCCGAACTGGATGAAAATCGGATGCCAAGAGTGCACGGTATGATTCCAGGATGGTTACACTCCCCGATCCGTCATCGTCAGCACCTTACCCGAAAATCAGCCAGCAAACTCAAAAGATCCAACAAGTGCAAATTACCAGGGGCGGCAAGGAATGGCCATAAGTTTGTGCTGAGAAAACAAAATCAGTTCCGCAAACGACATCCAAAGACAACGATCACCTGTCTTGGTGAGCACCAAGGATGACAATTTGATCGTCTGCTGCATCGGAGCCGTCGATTCTAACAATCTAGCCAGCAATTTACCAACGAGAAAATAAAATTCAGTGATAAGCCCTACAATCGAATGTTGCCCCCAAGAATGATGGAATTCGTCGACACTGATCAGAGACTTCAACGAGGGCGACGCGAAATCCGCGGTAATCTAATGTCCAAATGTTGGCGATCAATCTAGCAATATGTGGAGAACATACTTCGTTGATCTTAGACAGTAGCCATTGTTGACTTTCCTTTCCTGTCTACACAGCAGTTGAGCGTCTCAGGATGGACTGTGAAGACTAGAAATTACCTCGCTGCGATAGTCTATGACGTTGAGTCAGTGTGCTGAAACACTGAGCGGCTATAAGACCTACATCTCGTTCTAAAGCTGGAGAACTTCTCTAAGTTTGCCCTTGGACCTTCGGTGGACAGCGTCTTGATGACTTTGGTGACTTGTTCATGAGCGCTCAGAGGTGGGTATGAAGCTGTGAAAAAGTAAGCCCCACGACATTCGCAACTGACAAGTATACTCACTTTTCGTCACGATGCGCAAGTCAGCAGACAAACCAAGGTCACGATTCTCCGTGCTAGACGTGCAAACATCAATTGAGAACTGACATTCAAACGAAGAAAGGAATATAAGTACATGTCGAAGAAGCGAAGCCCTTTGGCTTTGGCCTCAATCTAGATGACATGTGGTAAGTAGAGAATCAAACCCGCAGCAGCGGTACAATGAGTTATCCTCACCTTCTCGAGTTCTGTCATCCATACCGGTTCCTGGCCTTCTGATAGCTGGACTAGCCGGAGTTCGTCCAAGTTCAGATTGAAACCGGGTTGAGGGTTAGAGGGCACGTCAAACACCTGGCCTTGCATAACAACCTGGCGGTTGCCTCCTGCATCATAGAAAGCTTGTTTGACAGGTTTAGAAAGTGTAATTCCACTGAAAGAGAGTAGGAGTATTGAAATACTTGTCTTCATCTTATCCCCGACTCTCACGAAGTGTAGAGCACTCTAGGTAGACGTCAAATGGCTATTTGTCTGGTGTCTCAAATTCCCACGAAACAGCTGTCGCTTGTGTTCTCACGGTTCGTCCCTCTCGGCTTGGAGCCAGCGGCGTTCATGCGGCGTGCCTGTCCACACTTTATGTTTTGATGGAAATCTCGCGTTAACTATCGTCTTCAGCCTATAATGTCCCTGGACCAGGTGTCTCTTGGAGCTGCAGAAATTTAGGTCTATCCACAACTTACCTGGCAGATTCGTGCAAAGTAACAGATCATCACTTTTTTAGGTAGAGGCGACACAAAGTCCACTATAGATTGAAAATAGGTTCCGGCGCAATAACTATAGCTAGTGCTACAACTGTCAACCACTGAGATATCCAATATTACACTAGAGGGTCACAACATATTGATGTCTATCATGCCCAACGCCCCAGAAGCGCCATAATCCCACATCCAAACAGCATGCATGAGAGGGCATAGGCAACGCGACTGTTGGAACCGTTGATCATTTCTTTGTTGAAGATAAACTCGTGGGCAAGAAGCTGCATAAAAATGATGAGTGCTCGGGCTCTGGTCACGACACTAAGAAATATAACATACCTCAACGAGACCAGTGTACAACAGGATACCCGCACTCAGCGAGTCGAGCACTCCACTTACGATAGAGGCGGTGGTGCTGTTTGGGTTGTACGTGCTTTGAACGCCAAGCCCGACTGCAATGCCTAATGGTGTGGTTATTCCGTACAGCAGCGCGCCACAGATGGCTACATAATTGTACTTCGGGGGAAGCTGTAAGTGAGCAAGACGAGTGCCGACTCCAAGGCCCTCAAAGCTCTCTGCGTATCATGTCAGTCCACCAGTGAGTCGTAGGATACTGGGATTGCTCACGATGGAATATAATGACAACAAACAGAGTTATGAAGTCCGGATCGACCGCCAGCGTCAACCCAATGAGCATACTTTACAAAGAGTAAACATGAATTAATCATTGGACGAGAATCAAGAGAGATCGCACCTATGCAATAATACGCCAAATTCTAGGATGAACACACCGATGACCTGCCCTGTAGCACCAAGATCCACCTGATGATCATGGGCAGATTCTAGATCTTCCTTGCTCTTCTCAGAGTTTGAGTCATTCGGCATTCCACCTTCAGGTCCATGTGCAGCGTGCGCACCGAGACCGTGACCGTGTGCGTCTGTTTTGGAATAAGGGGAGCCTTGGCACGCGATCAATCCAAAACGCACCATGCCTCACGCCAAGGGCGGCCAATTTGGCTGTACCCCACCTAAAGGCCACCAGCTCAACAATGAAAATCGAAAATACGCTGAGCAAGGCTAATGCGAGCGGGTAAGGCTGTGATTACGAAATGTACATAAGTAATGATACTGCCTCCTAGAGACACTGACTTACATACACCTGCCAAGCCGGTGACAGACATGGAGATGTAAGTTCACTGATGGCAGGGCTGAGAAGATGAATAAAGGCTGTAGCTATCTGTGTAAATGTGAACGACTAATCCAATCGACGAGCTGATAGAACGCACGATAACACCGGAACCGAAGTATTTGGCAAAGCTACGAGATTCAGATCAGAACGCTGCGCGTATTCGTGTTGAATAATCTCACTCAAAAACGCCTTTGGGAACGTGAAGCCAGCTTGACCGTTGAGCAAGCACTGGAAAAAGTGCGCCGCTCAGTGATCCGATGAGGATGATGAAAACCGATGCGATCCGCAACTGTGGGTATGTAGTCGCGCCTCCACCAGAACCGCAGTTTAAATCCGACATAGTTTGAAGTGAGGTCGCCTTTCACGATCCTGGCAAGTCAGAGAGAAGATTGAATGCTCTGGGAGGAAATTAGTGAAGCTTGTGAATCTTATATATCCCCTCTGACCTTCATGACTGGGAGGGTCCTCCTCCCGATGCGGAATCCTGGCATGTTTAACATCTACACATGCCATACAGCCACGCCGTCGATCCACTCGCCACCCCATGTCTACATACTCGATGTTTGGTTCCAGATAGCATATTATGAGTCTCTGACTATGCAGTACGTACTAGGCATCAGTGAACTGGTGGATCTTTGAGAAGAACATATATAACAATATACAGCACATAATCACAAAAATCTGCATAAAAAATGGAATGGAACATATGGAGTAGGTCGGGCTACAAAATAAGGCCCTCTGCCGGCTGCATTAAGTGCACGAGGTCCATACACCTACAGCTCATAATTTCACGGCCTCCACGGACTCGCACCCATACTATTAGTATAATGCATCTCCACATGCTGTCATATATTTTTTTAGGAGCCGTCGATTAACAGCAGACCGAGCCTCCATGTTACTGAAGATACTCCGATGGCCCAAAGCTTTGGCCGCTGGTTATAATATCAGGGTTCGATGCCAGCTTTGGCTGTGAAGCGTCAAGGTTCTTCCCTTGGAGACTAGGATTGCTCATTACTGATCCTACCTCCGCCTTCAGGGCCCGCGCGTAATCTTGTATTTCGTTTGCAAGTGCACGAAAAACGAGCGGAGGCGTAGAGAGGACTTGGGCGGCGTAAAATCTAAGTTTCATCTGAATGTGACTAGGCACACCAATCGAACGTGGAGCGAAAAGACAAGAGAGGTCCGATAGTGCGGCTAATAATGTAGCAGACGGATGATCGCTTAATGAGCTGTTATCGGAAGATGCGGTGACAATTAATCTGGGTCTCGCTATGATGGACAAATCACGCAAGAGCACCGACAAGGACCCGGCGCCCACGGTCCCCTTGAATAGGACTGAGTACCACATCGGTGATCGATAATAAGGGAAAAACGTACAGGGTCAAAGCGTGACCACACATCAGTGACGGCACTGCTCAACGTCGAGTACAGCACTTGTGACTGACGAGCTACCAGGAATGGGACAACTTGCGAGATAATTCTGCGCGCCTCTGCTTCATCTGGCACATCATTTTGCGCAGAGGATAATGGTGAAATAGATAGGTGACGGGTAGCAAAAGCATAAGAAACACTATCACAATCAGGAGATCACCTAGTGACGGCAGATTTTAAAGACTTACAGGACAGCGCAAATGTTGTAAATCAGAGAAGGACTGCTAGCCTGGCGTTTTACAATGTTGAGCGGGGCCTCCATAAGTGCAGGCTTTGATCCATATCGCATGCTCCCGCTCGAAGATCCTTCCAGGGAAGCTTCCCACCATGGCTCTTGCCTCACAGACTGCAATTCCTCGCTAGACAGTAATCGTTGGGCCAATTGACTGGTCGGGTCTCTGAGCGCGTTGAAGAACCTGTCTATTTCTTCCTTGGTCATAAGTCTGAGTAATTCGTCGGATGATGCTGAGGCTAAACAGACCACGTTTGGTTGCAGACCAACTAAGGAATCGGGATCACGTACAAATATCCACACTGGCGAATCTAGAGACGAGATTGTTAGAGTCACTGTCAGATTCATCCTGGTCACGCAGCAGGTTGCTGTCTTCCTCCTGAGTTTGCTCATCGAAGCGCTTCAGCAACTCGAGCATCTTTTCCCTCTCTTCATGTGTTTTCGAAGATTTCGTTTCGATGCTGGTTTGGATTTCTTTTCGATAAAATGCCTCCGAACATTGGGAGTGAGCCTGCACAACTTAATTGCCTTGTTATTCAAAGTGGGTTGTGTACCTACTTCTGAACGAAAACACGTCAGGCTGCAGTAAGACACGTTGCACCCCGGACATGTATACCTATAAAACTGTCTACGACAGCTTCAGAGAGAAATAGCATTTGGAAAATAAGTTTTTGAGATGACATAGTTCAAATGCACGTACATGCCACACAAAACCTTGCCCGGCCCCTCAACAGAATTTGACTCGTCTTCGTGAACTCGAATTTGTTCCGCGTCGTTCATGATGATGAATCCTGCTGCAAATGTAGAACAGTCAGGGAGAAATGATGAGCACCTTCATTCTAGATAGTACTGTGATCGAGTGACTGCAGCCTGCTGCTACTATAGCTTGACTCATCGGGTCGCCGGGAACATGCCTTTCTTGGCCGGTTTACTACCGTTTATGATAATCGAGGTTTGAAAACGCGGTCGGTCACAACTCTGCAAGTAAGTACTGCTGAGAGACCACGACCTTCGACCTCGCTTTAGCTGCTATCTTCTACAGGACGACGCAGTCCTGGCAAAAATGGTCGAAGCACATTTGGTTGATTCTAAATCAACATTCTCGATTTTTGCTCATTTACTTGATGCCCGCTTACTACGCGCCCTCGCAGACATGGGCTTCGCTCGCCCAACCCTCGTCCAAGCAAAAGCCTTGCCCATTGCGCTGGAAGGCCGCGATATCCTTGCGAGAGCTCGGACAGGCAGTGGCAAAACCGCCGCATATTGTATCCCAGTCGTGCAGAAAATTCTTAGTGCGAAATCTGTGGGTGTATCACATTGAGATCGGCTGTATCGAGCACCCACTGACTCGTGCAACAAGTCGTTATCCGCCTCAGACGAAATTCATCAAGTGACACGTGCTGTAATCCTTGTGCCCACTCGCGAACTGTCTGAACAGGTCACAGCATGTCTTCAAAGCCTCCTTACTTATTGCGAGAAGGAGATTATCGTTGTTAATTCTGCTACTGGTTCCTCTACACATCTGCAACGGTGAGATGTTTTCGGCTGCTCATATCGCTTGCTTATGACTTGAGTATCCAGTGCACTTCTCGCAGATAAGCCAGACATCGTCATTTCAACTCCTTCTCGTACCCTCGGGCTGCTTCAATCAAAGGTGTGTCATAATCTCACAGCACATGGAGTGTATCTCATGTTTGTCCAGACTTTCAACCTCTCTTCATTGGAATCCCTTGTTATCGATGAGGCTGATCTCATTCTGTCCTATGGGCACGATGAGGACGTCCGACAAATCATTTCCGGGGGATATCTCCCGAAGGTGTATCAGTCATTTTTGATGAGTGCAACCATGACAGATGATGTTGAGACATTGAAAGGCTTGGCTCTTCGTAGTCCAGTGAGCTCATCTACTCACCAACTTTTGTCTCTACTAACTTCGGTCTTCAGGCCATCCTAAAGCTGGAAGAAGATGAGGATGAAACCTTACTCCTCAGCCAATACTCTGTTCGGTCAGTCCCGTATGGTTTCATCACTTGTTGATACTTACCTCTCCTTAGGTGCTCCGAAATTGACAAATTCCTTCTCACGTATGTCATCCTCAAACTCCGCCTCATAAAGGGCAAATGCATACTGTTCGTCAACGACGTCGACCGCTGCTACCGCTTGAAACTATTCTTGGAACAGTTTTCAATAAAATGCTGTGTGCTAAACTCTGAGCTTCCCCTTAATTCAAGGTGCGAGAAAACTTGCGACACATGTTTTCACATTTAACATTTTATAGATACCATACCGTACAGGAGTTTAACAAGGGTGTTTATGACTACATCATTGCAACTGATGAAAACGGTGCCCACACGGAAGCTGATTCTGACGATGAACCTGAGGAGGATGGACTTCAGGATGGTGTTGGCGACGAGTGTAGGTTCTATTTGTTCAGAGCCTTGATTGTTTCTTACGGCTTCTCAGTGACGCCAACACAACGTGCGGAGACAAACCAAGACGAAGACACGCAACTTGAACCCGCGTCTAAGAAGCGGAAGCATTTCCAAAACGCTCCTCAACCTGGCCCCTCCAAACCAAAGAAACAGAAACGCCGTACGAAGTCAGACAAAGAGTATGGCGTTACACGTGGAGTGGACTTCGTCGACGTTGCTTGTGTACTCAACTTCGATCTACCCACATCATCTCGGTCATATACCCACCGCGTAGGACGCACTGCCCGTGCTGGGCGGGCAGGCATGTCATTATCCTATGTCGTCTCTAAAGACCAATGGGGTAAAAACAAGGTCGTTGGTGGTCTTGAGAGCGCAAAGAATGACGAGGTTGTATTTACAAGGATCGAGAAAGAGCAGGCGGCACGTGGTTCCAAAATACAGGAGTACAAATTTGATATGAAACAAGTGGAGGCATTCCGATATCGAATGGACGACGCACTGCGGTCCGTGACAAGAAGCGCTATCAAGGAGGCCAGGATCAAGGAACTCAAAACTGAGATTATCAACTCAGAGAAACTCAAAGTGGGTACTCTGATCGTTTTACTTGTGTGTTGCTAATGTACTGCACAGGCCCATTTTGAGGACAACCCACTCGATCTCGAATATCTACGCCATGACAAGCCGCTACATCCCACTAGGGTTCAGGCTCATATGAAACATGTACCAAAATATTTGCTCCCTCGTCTAGTTTCAGCTCCAGCTATAGAAGCTGAAGAGTCTCAAGTTGGTTTCGTACCTTTCAAAAAGTCCTCTGCACGTGGTCGTGGCCGCGGTCGTGCTCGCGGTGGCAGAGGTGGTGGGGGTGGAGGTCGCGGTGGGAAGAAAAAATCTGATCCTCTTAAGAAGTTTCGGTAGTGTGTAACCCAGCATATGATGGCACCCAGAATTATATTTCATCGCATCACTTCCATTTTATTCGTAAACGCCTTCGTCCCAGCCCTTTGACCTCTCGACAGCACGCAGCCATGTAGTCCACCCTTTTTCCCGATCCTCCTCGGGCATATGGGGATTGAAAGTTCGGCTACCTTTGGTATTGACTTCTGCCAATGTCGCTGGCTTAGATATATCCCAACCGAACAGCCGGATGGCTGAGCCAGCAAGAAGGGCCGAACCTAGGGCAGTTGACCTGCCTCAATAGTTAGTGTATTATCCGCCGTTTCTTGTTATAAGTATGCGCATACTCTCTCATGTCAGGACGGACAACGTCGAAACCACCGATGTCCGCCAAGATCTCCATACAAACATCGCCATTGGTCATGCCTCCATCGACCTTGAGGTGCTCGAGCTTTGTGCGTGAATCAAGTTTCATGCTCTCAAGGACTGCACGGGTCTGGAAAGCAGTAGCTTCCATAGTCGCACGAGCAATATGTGCGGGAGTGGTATACGAGGATAATCCTGTCCTCAAAATTCGCTATTGTGTCACAGGAACATGATAAATTTAGCGTACCGATAAGTAGGCCTGCAGCACCGGGGTCCCAATATGGTGCGAGGAGGCCAGAAAACGCGGTTACGAAGCACACGCCTCCAGTATCAGGTACTGAAGCTGCCAATGTGTTTATCTCGCTGGCGGACTTAATGAAACCCATGGAGTCCCGTAGCCTGACACGAACACTCAGGGGGTGCAATAAATCAATGCTTGCATCTTACCATTTAATGGCGCCTCCAGCAACCCCAACTGCACCAGGTTATTACGTGCGTAGTACAAAAAAATCAGCACTTACTACTTCCTTCCAGTGCATAGACTGGGGCAGCCCCTGGACCGGGTTGGTAAGCGACCTTGCGAAAAATTCGTGAACAATAGTGCGTGACATCCTGAGAAGGCTCTCTACCGTGCTCAGAAGTCCATGACTACTGTTGACAATGTCCTTTCCCGTACAGAACAGGAGGAACGCACCCGTACCGTATGTGCATTTGGCTTCTCCTTGACGGAGACACTTGTTTCCCACTAAAGCGCCTTGTTGGTCCCCGATAAGTCCTCCGATAGGAACCCCTTTCAGTGGGCCGTGAGACATATGACCATACACCTCGGAGGAAGACACAAGTTTTGGTAGCATTGACCGTCGGAAACCAAAGAACGTCAGCAGCCGCTCATCCCAAGTAAGCTTGCGCAAATTTAGAAAAAGGGTGCGAGATGCATTCGTGACTTCGCCAACATGAATACCGCCCTGGACACCGCCTGTAAGGTTCTGTGCATACATCAGGAAAATCCATCGCATTCCTTGACAGAATGACACCTACATAAACAACCCACGACTCAATTGTTCCGAAAAGTAGATCATCTTCGTCGTGGGCCTTCTGGACTTCACTGTAGTTGTCAATCATCCATCGAAGTTTAATCCCAGAGAAGTACGTGGAGAGCTTCAGGCCCGTACTATCCAAGAATGAACGACCAGATCCCGTAGAGATACATCACTCACATGTCACGTACAGCTTCAACACCTTCTTCTCCGATCTTAAATTGCCCAGGCTCTACCTCGATGCCGGTCGTAGCCAGCAAGTGCTCAAAATGAGCGACAGTGTTCTTCGTACGAGAATCGGTCCAAACGATAGCCTTACACAGAGGTTTACCTGTAGTCCTACTCCATGCAACAGTGGTTTCACGCTGGTTCGTAATTCCTGCAATTCATGAAGGATGAGGACCTTTTGGTAGGATGAACGCAAGTACCGATTACTTTCACGCTCTCCTTGGCCCATCCTGCTTCTTCGAGTTTCGCACAAGCCTGAGTGATGCACTGCTCTGAGATTTCTTGGATCTCTTCAGGGTCGTGCTCATGCCACCTGTCATATGCAACGCCAGTAAGGGATCCAGGGTCTCAGAAACTAGGGGCGACTACTCGCCCTGGGTTCGGGTAATATTGGGGGAACTCCAATTGATGCTGAGAGACGATGTTTGCATACTGATCAAAGACGATGAATCGCACGGAACTGTAAACATGGGCTCAGCCGCCGTTGACTATCAGTAATCACGAGGAAGATCGTAGCCATACGTTGTGCCGCAATCAAGAGACCCAACGAACTCGCCCTGCTTCAAAATCGACATGGTGACGCAGAGATGGGGTGCCAGTGGTAGAGAAGGGTCCTTGACGCTGGTGGCTCCCGACTCCAATTACATTCCGTCGTCCACCTGAGTAACTGTTCCGAACCGGCCGGCCCGCAGACCAGCACCGATCCTCGACTGAGGACTTACCGTAGAGCTTGCTCAAAGTAGCGTTGACCATGTAGCTTCATACAAGTTAAGAGAGACGGTATGAACGGCACGATACGATAATTAGCTAACGAAGATAATACGCTGACAGTTCGTGTAACGATAACCGCTGAATCTAGTGGGAGTGTGTAGAGTACACATCATGAAACACCATATGTTTCTTTCTCTTTTTCCGTCCACTCAAAGACAGGAAATGGATGTGCTTCTGTATTGAACACCCACTTATCCAAGGGGACGAGGTCGTCTTCTCGGAAGAGAAGATAGAGATACTTCAACGTTTCGGCCAAGAAAAAGCTGTCATAACAACATTAAAAAGAAATATAAGGAGACGCGTAGGTGAGGCACGAACCTAGGCATTACATCAAGCTGTTGTGGGTTGTATGTGTCCACCTTGTCAACATTGGCGTACCCTGATGGAGTCTTTGCTTCCCTTTCGATCGCCTGGAAGATGTTCCATCCACGATGCCGCCATTTCACATCGCCAGTGACACGATAAAGGATGTAAAGTGACTCTACAGTCTACAAAGCGGATGTCAGAATGTAACACCATGGAAACCTGTTTTCTTACCTCGGGTCTTAGTTGGTAGTCAGCACTCTTAACGTAGTAGTCTCTCATAGCGTATGCCATCTCACGTTCTCGTGCATTCCTAGATATTCCATCTCCTACCCAAGGGTGCTTATCTCCCACTCCAGGTGGGGGACCTCTTCTACCAGATGTTCTCCACTCTTGCATGGCATCCATCCACAGTATTTCAGAACGCGCGCCCCCAGATAGCATATTAATGATATCGGGTCCCAACCCTGTCGGCTGGTCTGCGTAAGTCAGGTAACAGGTTTGTGCCAGCCCTTCGGCGGCCCATAAATGTAATTCCTTTAGATCGAATGAGGCAAGCTCCTCATAGCCCAATTGCTGTCTGGGGAGCAGATCGTCTGCAAGTGCGGTAAAGTTCAGCCCAACCTCTTCAAGATTATTTAGGGGAAGAGTGTGAGCTCCAAGGGCGAGAAGGCCGGGGAAAAAACAAGATAGATGCTCTAAGTTGTGTGTGGGGCGATTACCGGTCCTATATAATTTCGAATCTGTGACGTACAAGAGGTGGCGGTTCGGCGAGATGTACATCAAGTTATTGAGAACGTGGGAGGTGAAGCGGAGATCTACAGAGATTAATTAACTAATGTGAAAGGTTGGCAAACGAAACCTTACACATCTCGAGATTTGCCTTGTCCTTGCGAGCGGTCATTAGGTACTGCTTGAGGGTGTACTCGTGGGCGCTGTCGGACGCTGCACCAACGGAAAGGTGTGCTGGCCATTGCAAGAATGTAGTCAGCGGGAGTCTATCTACTATGCATCAGGCACGTACAGTCTCTTGGCTGTCCCGACGATATATTCCAAAACATCGGATACATACCGCCGTGTTCGCGCAAATCAGCATCGACAAAGTTACGTGTAGCGGTCGTAGCCTGGGTGCAATAGGCTCAATCTTATGCGCGATGAAGTTAATTTTGCACTCACTCGGTCGACATGTTCCTTCTTACCAGTAATCTTACCGAGATAGGCATATTCCATCTGATAGCTTGCAATCTCTGCCAAGCTTCCAATCAAAGGCCCGTCGCTTGTGCCCCTAAAGCAGAAGATTAGGCCTGCAGAAGCTATATGAGTTGGAAATGATGGGGGTTACCTTACAGTATTTACGCTGTACTGAGGAAAACCACTGGCGGTTCTGAATGCAGGAGCCAATATTGTGCCAAGTTCATCAGCGCGAGTGCGCAATATATTGTCATTTGTCAGTGCATAAGCGGAGAGGAGGCCGCCAAGTTGACGTATGACAGTCTCAAAGAATGGCACGCGGATATTCTATAGGCAACTTGAGCATCATCGAGAGATGCTAAAAGACATCGCTCACCGTGGGTAGAGAGAAGTTTGTATTATGTACAGCTGTCATTGCGCGCTTATATTCTTGTTCTAATCCCATCATATGCATTGTGTCAAGCGAGTCAACTGCAGTGACGGCCCATCCATTGAAGCTTTGTGTTGTTACGTGAGTAGATGTGAGGTGATTGAAAGGCATACGTAAGCTCACTTGTTGATGCTAGTATTCGATAAAGGACGGAGTTCGTCATTTGGGAATGCAAAGCGCTCATAACCATGGTAGGCATGCAGGAAGGCGTCCCTCACTTGGAAGGATCTTTCTGTCCATACCTCTGGTGTCTCGGGAGCGTAGTGCATGACATCGGCAGGAAACAAGTGGCCATTACGCCGGAAATAGTTGAAATAAAGCGTGAGCAGTACTATGGACAAGGCGAATGCAGATGCGATGTGACGAATGGAGATGCCTCTGCGACGCAGCGATGAGGAGGCCTTGGCAGCTACGCTGTCTCCTAGGAAACCGGCAGGAAAATTCATAGTTGAGGAGTGAGATATGGGGAAACCTATGCAGTGAGAATGAGTGGTACAGAGGGATTTGCTGCGTGCAGAATGAACTCGGAGTCCAAGCCCAAACACCCACGGTAGATAGATGGGGGTGTAAATCGATTAAGCTCCACCTGCAACCAGCGAGAAGGTAGCAAACCGCGGACCACACAGACAACACTGACACGATAATTAATCGACCAGGGGAGTGTTTACACACGAGAGAATCGCAGTCATAAGGCAAGAGTAACCACGTGCACGTGGCAACAGCAAATGAGGAAACCACTGGGCCTGCGGTCAACGGTCAACTTGGAAGGTTGCTCAGATGCAACAGAAAGGATGCGAAGCTACTTTCAAAATTTCTAGGAAGATGATTGAATATTTCACAAGCTTGGCTTCTGAATATCCTATGGATGAAGATGCATGGGCGGAAGCTGGCGGAGCTGAGTTTGAAGTTCGTATGAGAACTGGGCAAGGAGTGAATATGTGAATGACTTATGACCAACATCATCTTCGAGCAATGTCCAGCTTTGACAAGACAGTCAAGTTAGCTTGCAAACCAAAGGCAGCTCCTCCAAAGGCAAAGGTGTCTCTTTAATAACCCTAACATTTCTCGATTTCATACTAACATTTATCCCCTAGTACCTAGATCCCATAATTGCTGCTACTTGGTCAGAAGATGGTGCTGTCCATGACGTTTGCAAAGCGCTCGTTCCTCGTCTTCGCGAACCTAATGCAATCGTGCGCAATAAGCCTTATAGCACCTTAGATTACAGCTGACGATCTAGCATAGGTCGTGTTCAAGGCACTAATCGTGCTTCATACCATGATTCGCAATGGAGCGACAGACAACGTCTTGTCTCATCTATCTTCTTCGGAAATTCTTCGTCTGCGAAATGTCTCTGCCAGTAACTGGGAAGGTATGTTTTGCCCATGGTCATGATTCTCATGGAAATATAGACCCACTTTTGCTGTACTTAGGATACAACGCCCCCCAGAATCTCCAGCATTACGCAATTTATTTGGACTCCCGCATACGTGCATATCGTGATTTGAAGCATGATGCAATCCGTGTCCAGGCAGAGTCAAATCGTGACTTGCGCGTCAACAATTCCATCGAAGAGGATATGGCATACTCCAGTGCCCCGGCCCCAAAGTCAGGATCTACCAAGTCCAGGGCGCCCCAAAGGAGTAAAACAATAATGGGAAGGAAATTACGTGTCATGACTGTGGATAAGGGCCTACTCCGGGAGACCAAGACCGTGCAAACAATGATTGATACCCTGGTAGAGTGCAGGGTACGCCTCACATCCGAATCTGCCAGATCACTTACACAGTATTTATTAGTTCTATCTCGATGATCTAGAAGACGAATTAACTATAACTGCGCTACGCATGCTCGTCAAAGATTTACTCATTCTTTTTCAGGCCGGCAATGAAGGCGTCATCAATGTATTAGGTTTGTTTACCCGTCCTCGTGTCATTTTGTCGCTTAAAGAAATCCCAGAACACTATTTCGAGATGTCAAAGATTGACGCCGAGCAGGCGCTCTCCATATATCGTCATTTCTGCACTCAGACAGAACGAGTGGTCGAGTACTTGGGCGTCGCAAAGAAATTGCAGAATCTACTCAACGTTCCTATCCCAACATTGAAGCATGCAAGTAGAACTTTCCTGTTTTTGTTAAACCACTCATAGATGCCATCAGGCTCCTGTATCGTTGGCGGGTGCACTCCAAGAATACTTGAACGACCCCAATTTCGAGCAGAATAGAATCGAGTACAGGACAAATAAGGAAGCTACCGACAAAAACGGCAAAAATCGCAGTGGGGCTCTATCTTCGGCGCCTAAAGGTGACTAAGTCCACTTTCGTAGAGCTATAATTTGACTTCTCTCAGCCTCATCGTCACAAGCCACCTCCACTGCATCCACATCTACCCCATCAAATGGGACATCCGGTCAAGCTTCCAGTACCGCACCCAAGCCTGAAGCTTCTCAGGCTATGGCAGACTTCTTTGCTTCTATCGAGGAAGATCAACCTGCTATGTTCAATCCTACGAGTAGCAGGTAAGCCACTGTCAATTGCAGAGATCTCAAGGACGTTGCTCATTTTTGCACAGCTTGACATCCAACCATCTTCGTCAACAGCCAACGTCCAATCCTTTCGTTCAGCGACAAATGACGGGTGCTTTCCAAGGTCAACCCTTCGGGTTCCCTGGTCAAATTCAACCACAGGATACTGCCTTCCCTCAGTCCTTCCAGTCAGTTCAGCCCAATGTCTTTGGTCAGCAACCGCCATCCACTCAACACCAACATCGACCTTTCTCCACCTTCTTGCAACCACAACCTACTGGATTTATAATGCCACCGAGTACAGGTTTCCTGCAGCCGCAAGCCACTGGCGCAAACCCATTTAGACAGAGCATGATGATGATGCAGGGAACTGATACACCGGCTTTCAACTTTGGGACAACGAATGCCTTGCCCCAATTGCAGGGACAAACCAACATACCGTTCCAGCCAACTTCCCAGCCTCAGCCGCCGTGGTCTTCGAACGGATTTGCTATGCAAACGGCATCAACAAGTACGCAGTTTGGACAGATCAATGGAACACGCACATCATTTGACGTCCCTACTCGACCTGCTTCTACTCCCCTCACAACTTTCGGTCCAGCGCAGGCGTCTTCGACCTCGCCACCAGTAGCACAACCTGTCAAATCTCATCAGACTGGTTCGCGCAATCCGTTCGGAGTGCCAACCATGCCAGCCCCGCCAGTGCCAAAGCCACCAACACTGATGGAGCTGGCCATGGGTATCGGAAGCTCGAACAATGTTCTGCCTGCTGATTCTGCACCACCTCAGACTCGACAGCCTCA